GTGAATATCCCTTTAAGAAAAAAAAAATGCAAAGTAGAAACTCCTAATTTTAACAATTAAAAACACTATAAATCTATTACAGAGGGGAAGTAAAAAATTCTGGTAAAGAACAGGCCCAAAATAGAGGAATTCTTGTTTAACTTTTAAGTTAGAGGAATTCTTGATTTAACTTTTAAGTTAAGAAAAATAATTAAGGAGACACTATAAATGCTTTAAAGTGATTATAATCTATCCTTTAAAACTACAATAGACATGTTTTTCTTTTCAAAATTCTCTATTTCAAAAAGCACCATTGTATGTATGCATTTTTATTTATAAAATATTGCGATATCTTATCATTTCTCTTTTTCTTTCAGGGGTTTCTCGTAGAGAGTAAACTTCTAAAGCTGTTGTCTCGTCTGGAGAAGAATGAACAGTCCCTTATAAAGCTAGATGCCATTTTCTCGGTAAGTACAATTATACCTGTACTAAATTATTTTTATTTTAGCTATATTAACAAAAAATTATTAAAAATGCAAAAAATTAATAAATCACAAAATCAAACTAACACTATATTTGTGAGCAGCACTGTAGGGCTGTTCGATTCCGGATTTTTTGGAATCGATTCCGATTCTGATTCCTGGTTCTGGAATCGAAAAGAATTGAATCCTCACAGTTTTTTTTTTATATAGGCATTTTATTTTTCCATCAATGAATGTTTGAACGCTGGATAATGACTGACAGGGAAAAGTTTACGTGAACTTGAATTTAATAACTTAAATATTAATTTCTATCTCACATTATACTATAGTATGGCTTCATATATTATTTTTGTGAACGGCCCTAAGATGTTTTATCATTGGGGATGCTGTTTTGATAAAATTTATCGCAAATTTGACATTTACATTTGTTTTTGTCGAATCTCACCTTGGAGTCAAAAAAGTAGAGAACCACTCAATTAGACAAAAAACAATCTAAGCTGATTTCTTCTGTCTTGTATGCACACAGGCAATAGGGATTGAGAGTGAGGTGGATGTGTATAAAATGGCTGAGTTCTTTATGAATTACAAACAACATGGTGGTGAGCAGAGGGAACAGATGGAGGTAAACGTGGATCCTATCACCCTAAACGTTCAACCTCTCACTGTGCCACTCTGGATACAAAACTAAACGTGTTCCACTTCTCTTTTGTCTTTTTGTTAGGAAGAGGAGACAACCAGTGAGCAGGGAGAATCAGTTGAAGAACCCACTGACCTCATCCATCCTAATGACCTACTAGTTGCTCTGAAAGATTTTACTGCCCAATACTGCAGACCAGAGTCAGTACACTTGCATTTCGAACCTAAAAGTTTCTGTCATCACACATGTCTGAAATCTGCTCTATACTATTATGTGTCCAGTGATGTCCAGGCCTCGCAGAAGAGCAGTGTTTTGGGTTTGGAAATGAGAGATGACTCAGAGGATGAAGCATACTGGGAAAGCATAGCTAATGTCATGCCAGAGTCCAAACTCAAGCTCTGGAGTGCTCTAGATACAGGTCTCAACAAGTACCAGTAAGTGTGCATTTCATAGTCAATCAATACAGCATATAGCGCCCAAATCAAAACCTTGAATTTGACTTTAACCTGTACTAGTATTAATAAGGATGTTTTTTCCTCAGTACTGCACTGACTGAAAGGGCTGAGCTTCTGGTGGAAACACAGGATGTACAACAACAGAATAATGAATTCAGACAGCTACTGCGTCTTTATACATCCTCCAAGGTGACTGAGTGTGTCACATGATGTTAAGTTTCAGTTGGCTGTTAGCTTCAAATCACCTAACTTTGATTTCTCCTGATAGGCTAGTGCTGAGACAGAGACCCAGGCCGCCAGAATGAGGCAGTTCCCTAAGTGATAGAACTTCAGCTTGAACATTTACATTGTAGTGCTGAAGGTATGAGTAAGAAATAAATCATTTTCAACACAAGAATCTGAAGATTTTTATTTTGAAACATGAATTGCTAAGTATGTTAGTAATGCGTTGCGTGAATTGCAAAGGTAGCGAGAGTTTTGTCAAGTGATACGATTTACTGCATTGCAGTTATCACATTTCACCACTAGATGGGGATGTTTAAGAATTAAATACAGAAAAAGCGCTGTATGCGTATATAATCCAATATACACTCACCGGCCACTTTATTAGGTACACCTGTCCAACTGCTCGTTAACACTTAATTTCTAAGCAGCCAATCACATGGCGGCAACTCAGTGCATTTAGGCATGTAGACATGGTCAAGACAATCTCCTGCAGTTCAAACCGAGCATCAGTATGGGGAAGAAAGGTGATTTGAGTGACTTTGAATGTGGCATGATTGTTGGTGCCAGAAGGGCTGGTCTGAGTATTTCAGAAACTGCTAATCTACTGGGATTTTCACGCACAACCATCTCTAGGGTTTACAGAGAATGGTCCGAAAAAGAAAAAACATCCAGTGAGCGGCAGTTCTGTGGGCGGAAATGCCTTGTTGATGCCAGAGGTCAGAGGAGAATGGCCAGACTGGTTCGAGCTGATAGAAGGGCAACAGTGACTCAAATAACCACCCGTTACAACCAAGGTGGGCAGAAGAGCATCTCTGAACGCGCAGTACGTCGAACTTTGAGGCAGATGGGCTACAGCAGCAGAAGACCACACCGGGTGCCACTCCTTTCAGCTAAGAACAGGAAACTGAGGCTACAATTTGCACAAGCTCATCGAAATTGGACAATAGAAGATTGGAAAAACGTTGCCTGGTCTGATGAGTCTCGATTTCTGCTGCGACATTCGGATGGTAGGGTCAGAATTTGGCGTCTACAACATGAAAGCATGGATCCATCCTGCCTTGTATCAACGGTTCAGGCTGGTGGTGGTGGTATCATGGTGTGGGGAATATTTTCTTGGCACTCTTTGGGCCCCTTGGTACCAATTGAGCATCGTTGCAACGCCACAGCCTACCTGAGTATTGTTGCTGACCATGTCCATCCCTTTATGACCACAATGTACCCAACTTCTGATGGCTACTTTCAGCAGGATAATGCGCCATGTCATAAAGCTGGAATCATCTCAGACTGGTTTCTTGAACATGACAATGAGTTCGCTGTACTCAAATGGCCTCCACAGTCACCAGATCTCAATCCAATAGAGCATCTTTGGGATGTGGTGGAATGGGAGATTCGCATCATGGATGTGCAGCCGACAAATCTGCGGCAACTGTGTGATGCCATCATGTCAATATGGACCAAACTCCCTGAGGAATGCTTCCAGCACCTTGTTGAATCTATGCCACGAAGAATTGAGGCAGTTCTGAAGGCAAAAGGGGGTCCAACCCGTTACTAGCATGGGGTACCTAATAAAGTGGCCGGTGAGTGTACACTCACCTATAGGATTATTAGGAACACCATACTAATACTGTGTTTGACCCCCTTTCGCCTTCAGAACTCCCTTAATTTTATGCGCCATTGATTCAACAAGGTGCTGAAAGCATTAGAAATGTTGGCCCATATTGATAGGATAGCATCTTGCAGTTGATGGAGATTTGTGGGATGCACATCCAGGGCACGAAGCTCCCGTTCCACCACCATGCTGGAACTCGTGCAAGATGCTGAGGGTAACCTGGTGGAACACCCGATCCTTGACTCCATCGAGACCGCTTGCATCAGCTGGTTTACGGTGAAATATATTTTGCGATTCGTGTCCTCTTCGAACAAATTGCTTTTTATGATTTCCTTCTAGCCTGGGTTTCCCCATACTGCCTTTGCGCAGCGCGATTTTATTCACGCCGCTAGGTACCATGTCTGGATACCATGGACCACATTTTCGCCTCAGCGAGTGGACCAATCACAGAACGGCGAGGAGAGAGGGAGCAGCAAGACGATGATGATGTCTATTGCATGGCAGCAGACACAAAATTACCTTTCGATGCAGCCTTAGATATTGTTCTAAGTAGTTTAAAACGCAAATAAATCTCTGACCCATCATCTTCTTCCTCATCTAATTTCTTTCGCTCTACATACGTCAGGTGCATTTGATAGACATTCGTAGCACCCAATAAACAGCTCTGGAAATTCCTAAACCACGCCTAAAATACGAGAAAATAGGCTTGTTTGAGATCGAGATGAGCGAAATCCATAGACAGTAAAAGGCAACCATTCGGTGTGAGATAGTGCTGGTGTGAACGTACCGAAGTAACAGATGTAGGCCTATCCTTGTTACTCGGTGATACAGCAACAGTGTCCAAAGACCAATCTAAAAATTCTAGAGCAACTGAGTGATTCTTTATCAACTTCAAAATAATAAACTACTTCGGAAATAAAACCGATCAGGTTTTAGGTAGGCTATCTATCTACCAAATTATTCAGTGGCTAAAGCGATCCATATTTTTAAACCTACCCCGTTTCTTAAACATACTAACATTTTATTTTGACGTTTTGGGATGAAATAAAACATTTGAACACTTGATAAACATATGAGCAGCCTATGGACTGCAAAAGCTAGTCAGTCTTTCCCCAGTTTATCACATGGCACAACTTGCTGCCTTGCAGTGTCACCTTTTCGAAACTAGAGGGAGATATTTTAACATAAGATCGAGGTGAAGCAACTGGGGGAATGCTGTTGACAAAAAGGACAAGTAAGATGTTTTCTAGCAAGCGTGCACTTATTAGTATTGAGTGGAGAAAGCTGTGTTTAACACAGGAAAGTATTACTTTTTGGCGAATTAACATTTCTCTCATATCAAAATAATATAAAAAATTGTCTAAGGGCAAAAAGTTGAACAAAGTGTAAATGCCATAAGATGTCGAAGACCAAGAAATGTACTTCTATCAGTTAGGGTAATATAACCACTAAGAATGTGTAGGCCTATGTTTTATGACTGCATGAGTAGCAACATTTTCATGTCCTTCAATCAGAAAACATTCAATCAGAAAATTATGACTCTCCCACCCCTCCCATCACGCCGGCTCTAGCTTTCGCGCGCGCACGCACACGCACACACACACACACACCCCTTAGTTTTGCTCCTCTCACCAATCATGTTGCTTACGGATTTTATTCAGCTCTCCACACGGACATGCAGCTGAAGTCAGAAGCTTTTTGAGACTTTCTTCACAGCTTTTGGCCCAAATATAAGTAAGTTTATAACAACCGAACCTTAACAGCATAATTTTGTTTTGTTTTTTCCATTATTATTACAGGCTAATGATTTCAATATATTGAAATAATGTATTGAAATATTTTATAAAACATCCATTTTACAACATTTTTAAATGAAAACTATTTAATCTTAAAGTGTGCAAAATTAGTTTCTGTTCTCTTTCTTGGCTATTTACATTTAGGTACCGGAAAACACCTTAATTTACACCATTAGTTAAAACATGTTATTAAGAAATTAATACAAAATTACACATAATTAATAGTAATTAATTACTTAATCTATGAATCATATAGACTCTTTATTGGTTGCTGATGCAGCAATAATAAATGGTTTAGTTCTTCATTTAGTTTAGTTAGCAATAAATTAAATCATGTCTATATGTGCATTATAGTTAAACATGAATTAATGCATATTAGTGCACCCGTATTGTAAAGTGTTACCTTAAATAGGTACAACACATGATTTACAATATATTTTTTACCCGTACAATGATTAGATATTTAAGTTTCTTTTTTGTTTTGTTATCATTTTTGTTGTCATAATTGTGAATGACAGGTTTCAGACTTTATCTTTCTGTCTTTATGACTGCTCTGCTGTTGGCGTGGCGGATGTCATAAAAAGGTCCATAACACTGGAAACTTATTTAAAGAAATTCACACAGCTTAAAAAAGTATGTGGCAGTGTCTAGCACCGGTCTCTCCTATGTTGCTAATGGACCATGTTACTTTTTATAACCTATATGGCCCTAAAAAAAGGTTATGTTTTGTTTTGTTTAAAACGTAATTTTAGATGACATGTGGGAGTTCTCAAGGACTCGTTACGCGGACTGTAATGGCTCAGAGGCGAGCGAGGAGACGGAGATTGTTGTGAACATCGGTGGTGTCAAGCACATACTCTATGGGGACGTGCTGAACCGATATCCCGAGACGCGTTTGGCTGAGCTGGTGAACCGAGCCATGGATTCCACGCGAGAAGATCTTTCTGCTCTCTGCGATGACTACGACGACTTAAAGCGAGAGTTTTATTTCGACAGAGATCCAAAGGCTTTTAAATGCATCCTAGAACTGTACTACTACGGAGAGATTCACATGAAGCAAGGAATCTGTCCCATGTGCTTCATGAGAGAGATGGACTATTGGGTGATCGACACAGAGTATCTGGATGAATGCTGCATGAGTAGTTTAAATGAGGTGGAGACTGAGCTGGCGGAAATAGCAGAGAAGGTCAAGACTATCCTGGACGACCTGGAAGGTGATGCAACAGTCACTAGAGGCCAGAGGTGCCAAGCGTTCCTGTGGAAGCTCATGGAGAAACCAGAGTCGTCTTTAGCAGCGCGCATAATCGCTGTTGTGTCGTTCGCGTTCATCCTGCTCTCCTCAGTGGTCATGTGTGTTAGCACCATCCCGGAGCTGCAAGTGCAAGATGCCGAGGGAAACCTGGTGGAACACCCGACCTTTGAGTCCATCGAGACGGCTTGCATCATCTGGTTCACCGTGGAATATATTTTGCGCCTCGTGTCCTCTTCGAACAAATTGCAGTTTGTGTTTTCCTTCATGAATATAGTAGATTTTCTATCTATCATGCCTTTTTACGTAGTTTTGATTCTTAACCATTTGGGCACTGCTATGATGGAGCTTGCCAACGTCCAGCAGGCAGTGCAGGCGTTGCGCATCATGCGCATTGCGCGCATCTTCAAACTTGCGCGCCATTCATCCGGTCTGCAAACTCTCACCTTCGCGCTCAAAAGCAGCTTGAAAGAGCTGGGTCTGCTGCTCATGTACATGAGCGTGGGGATTTTCCTGTTCTCAGCACTGGGATACACAATGGAGCAGAGCCACCCAGAGACTATGTTCACCAGCATCCCACAGTCCTTCTGGTGGGCCATCATTACTATGACTACTGTGGGGTATGGAGATATCTACCCTAAAACCACTCTGGGCAGGTGTAACGCCGCTGTCAGTTTTCTGTGTGGCGTAATAGCCATTGCGTTGCCAATCCACCCGATTATTAACAACTTCGTCATTGTTTACAGTAAGCAGCGTGTACTTGAAACCGCTGCCAAACATGAGATCGAACTCATGGCGTTACGTGCGAAGGAGGAAGCGCAGGAGTGTTCGGGGGCTGGAAATATGGCTTCGGATGACAACAGCTCGGTGTGTACAGTGCTGCTGTGAGCGCCTCACAAAGTGACACATATATCACGTTACTTGGTGAAACAGCGACTGTTTCCAAAGTTCAACCTGACCACAAACGCAAGAAAAAGTAGATTCATCAAAAATTTCGCTGTGATTACTGGAAACGGGCTAAGCTTGATATCTATCTATCTATCTATCTATCTATCTATCTATCTATCTATCTATCTATCTATCTATCTATCTATCTATCTATCTATCTATCTATCTATCTATCTATCTATCTATCTATCTATCTATCTATCTATCTATCTATCTATCTATCTATCTATCTATCTATCTATCTATCTATCTATCTATCTATCTATCTATCTATCTATCTATCTATCTACTCCAAGTATCAATTCCAAGTTTCTGTTTAGAAAAGAATAAAAGAAATGATTATTTACTATAATAGCTAATTCAAAATAAAATGATTATCTGTTTTACTTTTCTTTCCACCTCAAACCATTCTCCTCAGCGAGGTTGCACTTATTTCTGTAGCCATTTGGCATTGAACAACATCAACTGATTGTTTAAATTATTATTATTATTATTATTTAGCTTGACCAATGGAAATAGTTAAAAACTAAAGCAAAACCAGCAAACGATATATGTTTTTACTGTGGTTACTGAATGTGCATGCTAACTATGCTAATCGATGTCTAAAACCTCGTAGCTATTACAATTTGATGTTTCAGATACATACATTTTTTAAGGGGTGGTTGATTATGATTTCACTTTTCTAACTTTAGTTAGTGTGTAATGTTGCTGTTTGAGCATAAACAACATCTAAGTTACAATGCTTAAAGTTTAAAGCAAAGGAAGATATTTGCTTTCAAATAAATCGTTTTTAAGGAGTACAACAAAGGCTACATTCCTATGCCTAAAATGCCTAGAAAACATCCCTAGTGTGAACCACCATCCCTCTCTCAGTGGGAATTTGAATGAAATATCACTAGAGGGTTCGAATTTTGCCCCGGGGTGTTGGCAACTCATTTGTTGGCTACTGGAAGAGATGGACGGACATAGATGTGGGTGTGTTAGTGTGGGTGTTATTCATTCTATCCGAGTGAATTAATACATTGAATGTGTTTTTGCCCACATGAAAAGGCTTTTGTGTGTAGGCCTACTGATGGCTGGACACTGAGATATGGCTTAGATCTGGCATGTGGGTGGAGAAAAAAAGAGCAGCTGGTCCTAATGGCCAGTAATCACAGACCCCACCAGCACAACTAAATCAGCATCACACAACACAGCATTGCTAAAATGAGGAATACGGGCCATATATCAGTGTCTACAATGTAAATAACAGCGAAATGCACCTCTATAATTCACAAACACTGTGTTGTTGTTGCGTTGAGCAGCGAAGAAAGAAGAATATGTTCTATGCAGCCGACGGCATCCAAAATCTCAATTGCACATGGATCAGTATTGAGTTACACAGTATATTGTAACCTGAGCACATAGTCAGCCCACCTCCCACATCAGACACATTTTGGAATCTTAAAGCCCACCACTTGTCAGCTTCTAAAAATAAGTTTCCCTTTTAGAAGTTCTTGGAGGTAAAATCAACTACTTTGTATTACACAGACTACAACTTACAAATAAAGTAAAAAAAAAAATGCATTGTCAATTACCTACAAAACATCTATTTTTCAAAGGTTTTTGTACTTGACCTTTAGAAAGTATGTGGAAGTGTTTATTTTTTAAAATACAAACAGTCGTGAGCTAATCAATTTTCGTCGTTTGTGCGCAGTCCCTCCCTGAGGAGGATGGACTGTAAATAACTGGAATCTAATGAAAAAAGAAATATGACTGTTTAAATTTGCAGATCCACCTAGGGTAAATGTACCAAAAGTCATGCTGTGATTTAAATGGAGTGGATAAGTGGAAAATTACAGTACGGAAGAGTCTACCTTCCTTCACACCGTAGAAACAATTTAAACAGAATACATTTCAAAATGGAGAAAAAAATCAGTTTAAAATTACTGTAGTATTTTTCTTTTAGAATAAAGCTATTTGTTCACAAAAGGAACTTTTACAAGTACTCACCAAACTTTGGACTTTGGACTAAATCTAGAGTAAAATAATGACAGTGATCAAAACTGACCTTGATGGTGCGAAAATAGAAAAGAAAATGAGAGAGAAACTCTGAAAAGCAAAGAAGAAGAGAGGGGGGTTTCATGGGTTTAAACTACCGAAGGGCTGCAATATGGTGCTAGGCTGTCAGCAGAAAATTTGAGAAAAAAAGAAAAAAGGTTTTACATAAAGTGTTTTAGAGCACTGGAACAATATATTATTTACTGTGAAAAGTGCTTTGGGAATAAATCTGAATTCAAAATGTTTCACTTCAGTTGCAGTCATTCGTGGAATTATCAACTTAACGTGAGTTGTACTTCGACACAGCACGGCACAGTGGATGAACACAATGTTTGAGGAGACTGAGGCTGTCAGTCACCGCGCCGGTGTGGATACTGGCATTCAGAATCACAGATTATTCTTTTTGGAAGTATGACCAGTATAATTTTCATCGGGAAAAGTAATCTGAACAAGTAAGATCATCCACTTTAGTTCTGATTTTGCAGTAAATCGCACTGATTAAATCTAACAATCGCTTATAAGTTATACACAAAACCGTGCAAATTATACTTGTTCTCAAATTGTTAATGTTAACAACGTCAGCATTGCGTGAATCCTTGTTTTCGCATGTCCGGTCTCTTTTTTTCTGTAACCACTCCGAAGTCCAAACGAAGTCTTTTGCATTTTACAGCAGGTGAGTCTCTAGTCACTGGTGATTGTCATTTGAACCTTTCTGGATCCGCCATCAAATTGATATGTTTAATTATATCAAGTGCTATGAGAAAAGGCTATAAATCTCCACCTTGGCATCCTCACACGCAATATAGCTTATACTAGCCGAGACTCCTTCTTCATGTGTTCATACGTGAAGTAAAGACGCCAAGACATGCTCAAATCTCCCGCGGAAATCCACCAGTCTTACATAATTCTATCCTAAAACTTTCCGAACTTGTGGTATTCATGTGACATTGGAATAACTACTTAAAACAACACGGATTTAGCTAATAGCAGCCTCTGACTGAAATCAATGAAAAAGTGAGTTATGTTGAGAGAGTTAAGTGTATGTTAGTGGGAAGATGGCGGAGTGCCACAACCACATTAAAGACACGGTACATACCACCCTGTTTGCCAAATAAAGATGAAAATTAGAGCATGAAGGAAAACATAAATAAACTGGATGGTAAACTCTCAACTTCCAGTTGACAGAAGGTATCAAATCATTTACATCTGCGGCCACTAAATATGTCCAAGTGTTTAGCTGTCAGTGTCTCCTAAGTGCATGAAAATATGAGACACGTGGCTCTCAGGGAGCCATTCTTCACCACCCCATGTCATCTCAGCTGCTGTGAGGAATCTCAATCCGGTAGAACTCACTCCACATTAAAGGAAGTGACATTCACACTATAGTCTACTCACAGCAGCAAGGTCATTCTTAGAACAGCACAGACAAGCTGAGATTGGAAAGCCTAGTAAATCCCTGCTCTTAAATCTTATGGCGGCACACTCTGTCTACAACATTCCCGCCCTTCAGTCAAGCAAGACCCTACAAAAGACACAATTTTATTGAAGATATATTTCACACACTGTGCTTACATTTTCAGCGGACGACTAATTAAGGAAATTGGCCATGAGGGGCAGAGCAAGCCGATCCAGAGCTGAGCAGGTCCATTACTCTGGATAATTAATTACTGGTATAAAGCAGAATTATGATCATATTTCTCTCAGGATATGGGCACACTGATTTTGGCACAGAGTTCTTAAAGAGTGAGTGTGACCTTTTTAAAGCTTTATTTTTGTTTTGTTTTTTACTAATGGATCAGTGCTTCAGACTGAATTCTATTTTTGTCCCCATCTGCGGACTATATAACTCTATAAAACTTTATGCATTTTTACATTTGTAATAAAGCACTGTCTAGTACAGTACTAAAACGTTTAGACTTGTCCACATAAATCACGTTCATGCTGTAATACCAGCACCCATGTCACTTTACACCCAGTTTGCAATTGAAAAACATTTTGCATAACATTTCAAAAACACAGTTCTCAATCTCTACATTAGATGCATCACTCAAAACTAACAGCTCTTGTGTTTCATTTAGAAAAAAAGGCACTCTTTTACTGATGACCTACACCAAATGATCATGTTTAAAAACACTTATAGCTAATTTTTTTTACTTAAATCAGAGCTTGAGCACTATATTTAGACTTTAGGATGGCATTCTTGGTTTAAACAAGAAGGAGGCCAATTTTGGAGAGAAAGTTAGAGGAAGAGGAGTGAGAGTAAGAGGGAGACGAGGAAGAGAACAAAGAGGACGAGGACAATGAGTCCGATGACGAATTTTAACACCCAATAGAAAAGTTATTGCCAGAGAGAACATTGCTTGTGATGTTGATGGGGTTTTGTGATGGGATGGGATGCTGAGATTGAGAAATACTCTTCGATTGAGAAAATTAAGCAATTTTTTCCATAGTCAAATGTATGACAATGCCTCAATTTTTGTGATTAGGAGTAAAAATATCTATAAATATATATACTGTAAATATAAAATAAACAAAGAAATGGGAGGTATTGGGGGTAGAAATTAGAACAAGGGCATGTTCTGATCATTTCTATCCTCTTTAACCCTCCATGAAAAGCTTTAATTTTCAAGTACCCTCCCTTGGAGACAGCCCTTGTTAACAGGAGTTATAAATCTCTAATGCACAAAGGCACATTTTATTAAGATAATAAACTATGGATTTCTGAGGGCATATACATTAGAGACTGAGAGAGACATGCAGATAGAGAGAAATGTGAAAGAAATCTGAGACAAATCAAGAACGAGAGATAACAATGTGAAATAATCTGAGACGGATAATGTGAAAAAATAGTTTTGTAATGTATTAATAAAAGCAATAACAGACAGAACTGTTATAATAGACATGTTATAATCTAAAAATGTAAATTACTTTTTCTTAAACCACACTTCCCAAAGGACAAAGTGCATAGTAGTGTGTGCCTCTATTGATTAGAGTTTAGTGCCCTCTGCTGACCAAAATCAGCTTCTTTCTTTAAAAATAGTCCAAAACCTGGGGTTGCGTTTCCCAAAAGCAACTTAGCCAATTATGGTGGCAAATTCCGTTGTTTTCAGCATAGTTCATAGAGTTGGTGTTTCCCCGAAACCATCGTCCCAAGCATAGACAGGTCCCAACGGACATTTGCAAACAACATCGCAAACTTGTATGTTTGGAACTGTAAAGGGGGTTAGCACGATTCGAGCTGTGGGTAGTTTCTTGTTTGCCTGACCTCTGGTCTGGACTCAATAAATCCTTATCTTGAGGCAAATAAGCAGGCTGACATTCAGTACAATCTATTGTGTATTTAGAATACATACAAATGTAATTTACATCGTAGTTTGTCAAGGGATTAAAATATTTTTTGAAAAGAGCGCATGCGCTCTACTGCGTCAGAACGAGCCTGTGTTGACGAAGGCCGGAGCAACGGTGGGAGCATAGTTAGGGTTAGGGAGAGTCATTCATTCATTAAAATTGATTTGCAGAAATGGAGCAAGTGGTGGAACCTTTAGGGGTGGAACTACTTACTTCCGCATTCTGTAAAACAGGTCGCATCGCTTCCGGTCCAGGTCTTTTGTCTCATGAATTTTTTTGCGGTTTTACTCCAGATAACTTAAAAGGAGCGAGCAAAGATTAGCATAACCAATGTCCCTCACATGTGCAGATTGATATTTAAACGTTTTATATTTTTTCTTCTTCACAGTAACGCTTAGATATTTAAATGGAATAAAACGCCAATAACAAAGTGAACAAGGTAAGTTAAGTTAACTGATTACCTTAAAAATCCATAGATATCGTAGCCAGTTCTAACGGCGGTTAACCCTTTCAAGCGGATGCGATGAGACCTGGTATCCGGTTTGGTCACGTGACGCTCGGGATAAAGCCTAGTGTGTGTGCTTTTGAAAAGACACATTTAAATGCAAACATTTTTGCATCCGATGACCCCTTTAAGTTCTTATGAACAAGTTATGACAATTATGCTAAATGAAGACTTTTAAGCAATGTTTATCTTAACTTAATCACATTTATGTGGGCACATGCACAACCTAGTCCACTCCAGTGGTGATGTTTGCATAATTTTGTATCCTAGAATCATGTTTATAGTTCTATATAAATTTACAGATGAGTTTGGATCATCACACACAGTGAGTCAGAGGTTTTCCATCAAATAAAGCTTTTTTATTAACAATTTCTCAACAGTTTGTCAGTGGCAACATGACAAAAAATACAGAAAATGTTTGGACCAAAGGTCATCATGTTCCACCACCTTGCATACAGTTGTGTCTAATTTTCGTTACAGTTTTTAATACAATGTGCTACAAATAGAATCTTTGTATCATGTCCTCAATAATGCATATATTTTGAGCAGATGTTAATAAGTAATGCACCTTGAAAAGCAGTGTCCTTTGATGTAATGTCTGATAAAAAATATAATCTGTTCCACTAAATGTATTTTGCCAAACAAAAAAAAATAGATGTAATACTTGAGTATATAAATTCAGATGATCATATAAATGCAGCACTTAAGTACATATTCTGTTTCAAACACACACACACAGGCACACTTACTGACAACCTTGTAAGGAAGTAGATAAAAATAATTTCTTAAATTTAAAATGCTTTTTTAAAGAATTGTATAATCTACAAAGACATGAAACAGTCTTAAATTGACTTAAAAAATAACTAAACCCTTTAGAGAATTTATGGTTTTAGCTATAATAATATTAGACCTACCCAGTAATTCATACTTGTGGAGTTTGGCACTTAGAAGTCCGGCGATTTGCAAAAAAAAAAAAAAAAAAAAAAAAAAAAAACTAACAAAAAAACACAATGACAGTCTCTGCTTTCAAAGTTCCCAGAATGATCATCATCTATCCAGCCTTCACCAGTGTTAGCTGAAATTAAGAGAAAGGAGAGAGCACTGAGTAAAAAACAAATAAATAAAAATCCCAAGAATCAAATATGGCAAACATACAGTATTTCATTCCATTTTCTTTTCAACCACAAGCAACAGTTTTCAAATCTACCTTGTTCAAAGTAACCAAGATGTTTTTAATAGAACATGCCCACACAGATAAGTACATCAAACACATTGGCAATATTGAAAAACTTGCCCTAGTTATAGTTCCTCAAAGGGGAGCAAAACACACTATTAATACCATACTTCAAAAAAACCCCAGCTTTTAAGCAATTGCATGAACAACACACAGACACAAATACATGCTAAGGCTTCACTGTGGTTACCACACAAACTCAACTCCTCAGAAGTCTAATACATCGTCATCATCCATTTCAACATCAAAAGACCAACCCCAGTCCTTCAGGCCCAACTCAAGCAATCTGGAACAAAGAGGAGTCATTCGGCCTCATGTACAAAAGTCAACATAAAAAACGATAGCCACCCATGTTTAACTGGAAGTACAGTATATCGTTTAAGTATTTTAAGTGTTTTCTTTAAGCTCTAAAAAGACGTAGGGGTGAAAGAGGCTACCCTTCAAATACAGATTATTGCTATATAAAATCTAATTCTACCATGGCATTATTTGGCAGATATCCAACCCCAACCCAAAAACCAAAAAAAAAACATGACATTCATTTAATTATTATTGGAAAAGTCATGGGATATTGGGTTAGACATGTCACAGTTCAGTTAGAACTGAGAGATTGCATCGTTAGTGGATGTGTTTTTTATGTGTTGACACTGAAGCAAAGATGTTTTCTGTTTCAGATACATTTAGTGAAGGGTACAGACAGCCACACACCTGAAGGCGAGGTTTTAGAGCTGCACAGGCAAGCAGAAAACCTGGTCGATAAGCAGTGATGCAGTGTACTTACTGTCCACACATATGCACAAGTAGGGAAGGTGAAATGTCAAATGTGAACAGGTCAGTGAAGAATGATACGGATCATGGGGCCAGGGCTATAAAAGTTTAGCAGTATAATGTAAGCAATTGAGAACAACTTCATAGCCAAGTCTAAACCAGGTCAACATACACTGATATATAAAGCAACAATAAGGAATTATACAATAAGTGATTAATTATAAGAAGCAACATCATTAGCAATGCTGAAATACACATTTTGAAAAGATGGGCATAAGAGTTAAAGCTAATAAAGAAGTGTGAGTAGGAAACAGTAAAGCAGATTTTAAAGATTATAGAAAAAGCCTTCATATAAATGGTTATGAATTATGCATTCAGATGTTCATGGAAGAGATCATAATGAAATGTACATCAAAACATCAAAGCCTCTTCAGACAAAATAGTTGTTTAACAAAGGGCAGGGATTTGGCTCCTACATTATATCACATTAACAGAATTGTATGTTTTATGATAGTCTACCTCCATGTAACAGAACTCTGCCTCAAGCTCCTTTTAATGAACCTGTTGATCTGTCAAGTGGTTCTCACCTGGTCTTGGTTGAGGGCTGCTGTCTGGTGGAATGCACTTTGACGGCTCCTCTGTGTGAAAGTCTGGGAGATGAATGGGAGGACAGATGAGGAGAGGGCGTGGGGGACAGGCCAGTTGGTGACGCCTCAGAGGTGGGAGAGGCTATAGCTATGCTTGTGGAGTGGGCTATAGGTTTACGCGGGACCCGCTTGAGTAATCGGTTGACCCATTTCTGCTGCTCTTCTGTGGAGTTGGCCAGCAGCAGCATCTCTTTCGCAGTGGACATATCATAGTTCACTGGAGAGAAAGAAAGGCCAAACAAAACAGGTTAGTTTCATCCCAAAGTACACAAAAGTCCATGTTTAAAAATTATTAAGCAGCACAATTGTTTTTAACATTGACAATAATAAGAAATGTTTCTTAAGCACCAAATCAGCACATTCGAATGATTTCTGAAGGATCATGCGACACTGAAGACTGGAGTAATGTTGCTGACATTTGCCATCATGGGAATAAATTATGCTTACAAAAAATATATTAAAAATAGTAAACAACAATTGTAGTGTCTTTCAATTAAATTTTCAATGAATTTTACAGTTTTTACTGTATTTTTGATCAAATAAATGCAGCCTTGGTGAGCATAATAGACTTCTACTCTTCTAATAAATCTTACTTATGAATGACAGAGTAAATACTGTATACAAAATAATAAAATATTGAATAAATAATATACAAATATTTTACAGCCATAATCTTTATCTATAATGCAGTTATAATATATTATACTGTGTATACTCATACAGTATAACATAAAAAAATACAAATATAATAATCATTAAATATATATATATATATATATATAGCAGAGCAAATTATGAAATATTCTAAAGTGTCTAAAAAATTACAGTAATATAAATTTGAATTTGCAGTGCTTTGTGAGTGTGACCTTCTGACCTCTGCAAGGAGCAAGGACCTCTTCCTTGCGATCTATGTGGTCTTTATGGCATTTAACTCGGCAGCGCCTGCACTCCAGGGCTGGTGGGGGTTTGAAGACATGCCACAGAGGCCTTGAACATGCTTCACAGCTAGAGGGGAAGTGGTAAAGCGTGAGCACGAACTCGTGACCTTTGTGTGGGATATAGGACGACCTTTCAGCTGCTAATAAGGGTTCCACAGCAAGCTCCTCTTTCTTGCTCTCTCCCTCATTAGCATATAATATCTACAGACAGAACGGGAGATGAAAATTGAGGTTTAATAAGGTTCATATCAAAGCATGCTAACACATTTCTTGTAGAACAAATGAATCATGTTACCTGGAAGATGCGTGGGATTTCTCTGGGATCGGCACGGTACACGTCTGTCTGAGTGACAGGTCTCACATGGAAGAGTTTGCTAAGAGGGAAAATGGAGACATTAAAAATATAGGCTTATGGTGTGCAAGAGAGCAGTAAATGGTTGTACTCAAAAATATTTAGGCCTAAATTTTAATTTATGTAACTGAATCATGTATAAAATTTCCATCCATTTGGATTACACAGTTTTAACTCATCGTGCAGGGATGAGTGATGTATTTTTGAAGGCCAAAACATGCAGTCAAGTCGATAGGATTTTTGAATGGGTTTTTGGTTAAATGCTTTAAATAAGGACTGAGGAGAACACATTTTCACAGTTATTCTACAATATGACATCCCCAATACCCTCTTGGGGATTTTAAAACATTTACTTGTCTTGCTAACAAGTGGCTAAAAGGGACAACTGAGATTGTCAGGGATGTTAAAAATCATCACGCCAAACAGGACAACTCATCTATTCACTTTTTTTTTTTTATAGCCTCATTGTGCGTATAGTCACACTCTTGCAAACAATCATATCTCGAACCTTCAGGGAAAATGTTTTTAAACAAAGACTAAGAGAGTTGTCTGAAGCTTAGTGGCGGTGACGTTGAAGTCATGATGTGACTGTGGTGTAGTTAGTTTATGTAGCATTTGACTTGTTCCAATTGTATTTATGCCTCAAAATTCATTAAAAAGTTGAACAAAACGTGCATATTTGTCAGTCATGCATTATGAAACAGGCAAGATTTCTATAATATTACTAATAAACTGAACTTGATTTAAATGCAAAACAACCAAGTTTATATATTTATCATTAAATCAATTCAATTAATTTCAATCTCAAACATTTTTACAAACTGAATATTGCTTGTTCCACAGCTAGCCATATATTAACCATGTTCATGCTTTTTAACTCAATAAATTTAATTGTTTTGAACAGTTTTACACTGATTCATTAGAACAATTGCAGTTTGAAAATAGGATGTAAATATCAGTATATCATATTGATATATTTAAATATCATCAAAAAGATGCAAATTGTTAATAAACCAAATATGCCTTTTTTTGAGTGCAGCTATCTTGCTCGACTGATAAATATGCATCACATTAAGTTTTTAGTTTATGTGTAAACTGTGTAGTGCAAATGAATGGACATGTTTTATGCAATTTAAATACATAAATCATAAATTTAGGCCAAGATAATTTTTGATAGCGAGTAGCATTTTCCAAACTCACTCTATGTCCAGAATCATGAAGGGGCTGGCCTGCTCTCTCTCTTGCTCTGAGTCATAAAACAAGATTTTCTTGCTGCTGACCACCACATACTGCAATTTACACAGAGATACATGCACAAATGATCAGACGGGGTTTTTTGATGTGATGTGAGAGTGTATGTTTAAACCTTTACCTTCTTTTCCCATCCAAACCGTTTGGTGTTTTTGGCAAGCACTGAGAGCCATCCCTCAAGACTAGAATCTGTGGTTAAAAAAATAACAACAGAAGAGTATTTTTTACATTACAAAACCACGTAGGTTTGAATGTGACAAGCAGAACAATTTCAGAAACATCTTTCTGAAGAACAACCTGTACTAGAAGTCTCTTGGAATGAAAAGGTTTTGCTTTCCAGAGTGTTAAAAGTGCAGTAAGTGATTTCTGAGAAATGCTGTTGAAAGTGGATCTGACCGAGCACCACAACACACTTATGATGGGGGAGGAGAGAGAGGGAGCAAGAGGGAGATTTAAAGACTGTAATAAAGAGATGGCTGAGAGACCAATATTAGAAAAGCTTTCCAATGCTGGAGAGACCTCCAAAACGGACGCAGAGATTGTGTTGTTTCTGCTCCATACCTGAGTAACATTGGGTTTACCGTTTCACAGAATCAAGATATGTTGCTGTAATGTTAGCTGTAGTAACAGGACAGTTTTGAGGCTCATTTAAACATTCACAACGCCCAAAAATGCTGTCTGTGTTTAGTATTTAAACTCCACACTGCATAAAGTGAACGAGAGCAGGGGGCAGTATGCATGCTAATTTGTTTCCATGCAGGGTCACCTGCAGTCTCTTGCCCAATAGGCTTCTCATATGTCAGGGCAGGCCTTTGCCTCCACTCGTCTTCCTCATACTCCTCTTCCTCTGAGTCGGAGGGGAAACCAGAAGCAATCCGGCATGGCCGGGTATCAATACACACTGACTTGGAGCTCCGTTGGTACATGAAGGACATAGACTCCGAGGTGTGCGAGTGTGTAATGCGCACTACACCGGCATCAAGGTGAGTGGGAAGGAATGAAAGAAGAATGAGATAGGATGCATACATTTAGAAGTGAAACAGAGTGAAGAGGAAAACAGGAAAAAGAAGAAAACCAAGTAGGAGTTGTGTATTATTTATGTTATGTGTTGTAGGTTCAGTGGATATTTGTGGATATGAAACCAGACCTGTGTTAATTTGTATGGGGACAAACTTTAATAAGACATTAAATTAAATTTTAATTCATGAAAAGAAGATTCATCAGGTGTTTTGAAGTTTGTTTTCAAGTAAATAAAATTAATTAATGAAATAAATTAACTCTACCTCAGTGAATTTGTATCGGAACAGCCTTGATAAAACATTCAAATAAGCTTAAATAAAGTTAATGAATGAAATAAATTAATGTATAAATAGATAAACAAATTAAAAAAATTGTGCGCTAATTACCCTCCATCCCCAGCTCCTCTCATCCAGTCACGATTTGGCATAAATTCTCGAATTATGGTGTACATTAAAATATTGAATTAATTAAATCTCTGCAATACATTCATGTTGGTTCTGTTCGGTTTACCCTAAGGGGGGGTTATTGTTGCTCTACCTGTTCTTATCCATGCAGCCTAGTCATTCTTTCCCAGAACATAGCCCGAAATGAAAGGATGAAGAAATAAATCACAATTGATTTGCCGGGTGTTTTTAAGTTTGTTTTGAAGTTACAGTGGGTGCTCCTAAAAAAACTGTTACGATTTTTTGAGCCATTAAATACTATAATTATACATTTATATGGTCTGGTTTGTAATAACATAATATATTTTATGGTTCTAAATGGATTACATGATGACGAAAATTACTATTCAGAGCTTTACTAAAAGCATTTGGGGCTTAAGCTCACCATAGCACCAATTATGGCACATGAATGATAATAAACACTTTAGGCAGACCTGTGCTCGATGGGACGTAACCTGGATATTCACCTGGATAAGCATCTTCCCCCTCCAGGTCATTTCCCGTGCTACTGATGCTGGTGGTGTCCAAAGAATGGATGCTCAGAGAAGTGATCTGACAGCGCAGACGCTCAATATCACTGTCTTTACTATCCAGGGCCATCTGCATCTCCAGTCGGACTTGGGACTCCTCTGCTATCATCTGCAAACGAAACAACACTTCTTCTGTGCTTTGTCATTGAAGTATAGTACGTAGACCACTAAATAGGTTTTCTAGTGGTTACGTTTCTTTTGCATTTATATTTAAATGTCACTTACAGCCTGCATATCATTCATTTCTTTCTGGTATTTTAAGATGGTGGTGTTGAGTTTTTCTTTCTCTGTGCGGAGCTGCAGCTGGAGCTGTCTGTTCTCCTTCTCCTTCCTGCGGATGTCGCTGTTGTTACCGTGCTGTGGCCTGACATCAGTTTTCTTCATAACCTCTGCCAGCTTGTTTATAGCCTACAATACAGACATCTGATGCTATAATTTACATGAGACATGGGTAGTAACACCTATTTTAAAATATGAATGATAATAGAGTAACGTGTATAGTAACAAACACTTGATTAAAATTCAATAAACCTTAAGGTAGATGTTTCTCCAAAACACACCTGAATCTTGAGGGTTTTCTCAGACTGTATTTGCTTCTCTAGGGACAGTGTCAAAGATTTCATCTGTTTCTCTTCTTCTTTGACAATCTCCAGCTCTGTGTGTATACAATTATAAATGTTAAAGCACATATATTAACACATATGGACATTATAACATCAATCCATTCATATTTTATATAAACTTCTGCAATATACTCACTTTGCTGTAGGTGTTTGAACTTATTGTTGAGCTCCTCTTTCTCACTAGCCAGGTTGGCCACATCCGCAGTGAGTGTTCGGTTTGATTCCTCCAGCTTATATTATGTAGAAGATTAAATTAAAATGAATTAATGTTTATATTATGTGGACACACAAAAACACACATATATCCATTCTTATACTCTCTTGTATTCTCACAGAGTTGATGGTATTGTCCTTTTCGCAGAGTTCCTGCCGATGTCGGGCGATCATATCTTTGATCTCCAGCTCCTTCATGATCTTTTCTTTCTCCAGGTCTGAGTACTGCTCCTCCGCGATGGAGCGCGCCAACTGTTCAGAATCTGCCTTCGTAAGGCTCGCCTCAAGCTGCGTTGCTAACGAGTCCCTATACAAACACACACAAAACAGTTTGTATTGAACGAGAGTTGCTCTAATTGATATGGTTTCACCTTTAAAAAACCTTTGATATGTCTCGATATCCTTTTTTAATACCAAATACACACACACACTCTCTTCCAGCAGATCCTCTAGTCTCTCCTGAGCATCTTTGTAGAGTTTAGCCTTTTCATCATTCTCCTCTTTCAGCTCCCGAATCTGAGTTTTATACAGTTTCTGGAATCAAGGAAAAATGTTTCGTTTAAAAACAAATATGAGCACACAGATACACAAACCAATCCAAATGCATTCCTCCACACACATTCATAGGCAAAATATGATAAAGCTGGCAGACATACTGTGAAGTACTGCTGTGCCTCCAACTGGTCCTTCAGCTCTTTCAAGTGTGTGTCAGCTTCTTCTCTCTCCCTGGTTGGACACAGAGAAAATAGACCTTTTACAGAATGCTGATCCTCAGTGAATAATATTTGTATGCACTGTGAATTACGCTTATAAGTGTATCGCCTTAAAAGTTCAGCAAACAGGTTAAAGGCCTGTTCAAACAAAGAACAATATCTATAATGATAAATATAACTATACATTTATAATAATCATTCTAATTCTATTAGAATAGGGACATCCAAACAACAACTAAAATGATAACACAGATGAACAATATCATTGGAATCCCTTTCATAACGATTTTGTTTCCAGCTGATGAATGATAAAAACACTGACAGACAATTAGAAAACACCCGACTATGACATAAATGCAAAAAAAAAAAAAAAAGAATGTTATCATGGTGTAGATGCTAATATATTTATTGTTATAGGTGTGAATGTGCATTAACACGCAACTCTATTGATAGATAGATAGATAGATAGATAGATAGATAGATAGATAGATAGATAGATAGATAGATAGATAGATAGATAGATAGATAGATAGATAGATAGATAGATAGATAGATAGATAGATAGATGGATGCTCACTAAACACGAGTATCAGCAGTGGGAATCTGTGGATCAATAAGTCACTCACCTGCGCAGTTCCTGATTTAGTTTTTCCAGGCTGAGTTTGAGCTCCAGCAGATGATTAAGTTCCTGTTTGAGCTGTTTCTCCGAGGAGCGTAGGGTGCTGATCTCCTCCCTCTGCACTTTGAGATCATTCTGACACAGAGTCTTCCTCTGAGTCTCCTGCTGCACACGCACACTTAGCACCTCCACCTGACACAAACACACACAGACTGGATTCAATCAAATATCTTGGACTTCCCATGAACTATGTGATGCATAAATGTAAGTTTTAATTGTGTTTAATACTTTAAAAAAATGTACATTTTTTTATTTAAAAATTATGTAAAATAGTGCTGAAAATATGGACAGAAGACACTACTAAACATTCCAGAGCAGTAAGTTTGATATAATTAAAATCATCAGGCAGACAGACAGTTACAGCCAAGCAAGAAAAACAGACAGACAGGTATACCTCCTCAGTGAGTTTTTCTTTGAGTGAGCGGAGCTCCTGAAGCTCATGTTTGGCTTGTTTGTAATCACAGTCTAATCCTGAGTTTTCCTTCTCCAGCTGCATCAGTCTGTTTTCCAACTGTTGCTTCGCAGATCGTTCTTCCAGCAGCTTATGTTCCATAACTGTCACAAAAACATACACATCACCACCAAACTCCTTGTACTTCAGACTTCAGAAAGATTTACTCATTGAGAACTGAATGCAGAAAGTATATTTTCGTTTTTTATACAGAGTCGAGTAAATCTTGACAAGAAAGTTTCTAATGTCCAAGTCAAGCCTTATTTTGTATTTTGTTGTGAGTATTTTGTTGTATTTTGTTTGAAATTATGTCTCAAATACCTTTAGGAAAGTAAGTAGTACTAAGGTAACCAGAATCTGTTTTCCCTCAATCTAAACTGGGCTCCCCTAAACAACATTTTTAACATTTGTAACGAAAATCTGAACAGATATACAAATTTTAAGAGTTTTTAAATTAGAGGATACCGTCTAATTTTACCTTTCAGGGTCTCAGACTTGGCCTCCTCGATGGATTGGTTAACTTTGTTGTTGTCGGCCAATCTGGCTTTAGTGGCTTTATGCTCCGCCTCCTCCTGCTCCAGACTCTGTTGAACTGCTTTGAGTTTAAAGGAGTGATCGATCTCTTGCTTGTTCTTCTCCTGTGGGTGTAGGGACAACAATAATGGGGTTTCACAAAAATACACACAACCACACAAACATCATGTGCTGAAATGTAAGTAATTCAATCACTCGCTAAAACACGCAATCACCTTTTCCAGGGCAGTAAGATCCTCCTGTAACTGTCTTTTCTCTACTTCAGCCTTTGATAGAGAACTCTTTAAGTGTTTTAACTCGTCCTCCAGTCCGGAGACATGACCTGAGAATGAAAGAAAGATAGAAATGCATATAAAAAGAAAACTGAAGACCGAAGTTAAAGTCAAAGGTCGGGAATTCAGGTTAACATTAATGTTAAACCTGATATCATAAATGGGCGTTTTCTTCAACTATGGACACTTTTGTCCCCGAGTGTTTATTAAACTAAAAATGTCCATCACAGTTTTTTTTGTGTGTGTGAAAATGATGGTGATGGGAATGATATTTAAAACATTATCAGGATAAAAATGGATAAAATTAATTAAATATTTTGATAAATAATACTAAAATATATATATATATATATATATATATTATAAATGAATACTTTAACAAATTAATTTTTTTTTTTTTTTTAGAAATGACTCTGATCAATATGTCTGATCAAAATTAGAAGTGATTTGAAGTGTTCTAATTCACAAAATTAGAAGTGAATTGTATATATTTTTATAATGAATTTTTAATATTTTAAGATTAAAGTCTTCGGTCTGGGCCGGTAAAAATCAATGAAATCTAAATGTAAAAGGTATCTGAAAAGTAGCAAAAATGAATAAAGGCATGGTCTAAAGTTTTAAAATGACCTTCCATAACTAATATCTGTTTATTTAAACCACATGAAAATCTACCGAGACATTAAAGAGCCTACAGAAACAAATCCTTTAAATTGAATAGACAGAATTGAAAATATGATGGAAAATAAGAGATATTTCTTGTTTGCCCATTTTACCCTGTCTAGCGACATAATATCAGCTACCTGCCTCTGACCTTAAAATAACACACTACTGATGTTTACATTCGCTGCGAGCAGCTCCACCCCAACACAACACCGGCCAGCAGACAAGAGCCCAGTGTGCCTTTCAGCAAGAGCTGACCACTACACGCTCAAACATAAAATCAGCTTTTACTCGCTCACATAGACCGGCACACAAGTGTGATCCCTCGAATGTAACGCAATCTCCTTCTAGGAAGCTTGGTTGATTCACAGCTACTTCTGTCTGACGAACACAAACCGGCACAGACACACATGCACCCACCCTGTAGTTCATTGATGGTCTCTGAGCCAAGGCTTCTCTCTCGCTTCTCCTCTTCCAGTGAGGTTTGCAGACTCAGTTTCTCCTGTTCCAGACTCAGCCTGCCGCTCTCCAGCTGGGCCAGACGCTCCTGGAGCTCCTTGAGAGAGACCTCCAGCTGCTGGGACTGTCTCAACACCTCGCTCTGGGCCTTCTTCAGCCTCTCAGACTCCTCCACCTCAGCCTGAAGCTTAGCATTCACCTCCTCCAACTATGGACAAATTAATTTACTATCACAATCCCTTTTATTCCATAATACTGAACATCTATATATACTTAAAACAAAATCTAATTTCCATAACTGTTCAAAATTTAGGGGATTTTGAAAGAAATCTCATGCTCAACAAGGCTGAATTTATTTGATCAGTTAAAAACAGTAATATTGCGAAATAATTTAAAGAGATCATTTATATTTTTAAATATTTTACAGGTCATTAATTCAGGTGATGGCAAAGCTGAATTTTCAGCATCATTACTCTAGTCTTCAGCGTGATCCTTCGGAAATCATTATAATATGCTATTGCTAATCTGGTGCTCAAAAAACAATTCTGCTTAATATTTTTATGGAAACTGTGATACATTTTTTTAACCAGGATTCTTAAAGGGATACTCCATTTTTTGGAAATAGGCTCATTTTACCACTCCCCCAGAGTTAAACAGTTGGGTTTTACCGTTTTCAAATCCATTCAGCTAATTTTTTGATATTTAGAAGAATATCAGTAACCAGACAGTTTCTGGTCTCATTGACTTCCATAGTAGGAAAAAATATACTATGGAAGCCAATGAGACCAGAAACTGTCTGGTTACTGATATTCTTCTAAATATCAGAAAATCGACTGAATGGATTTGAAAATGGTGAAACTCAATTGTTAACTCTGGGGGATTGGTAAAATGAGCCTATTTCCAAAAAAAGTGAAGTATCCCTTTAAATGCAGGTTCAACATTAATCCAATATAGAAATATTTTTTAACATTATAAATGTCTTTACTATCACTTTTGCTATAATATCTTACTGACCCCAAACTTTTGTTTATATTAAGCTAAACTGATATTAGGGCTTCAGAAATGTATAAAAATATAAGCACATTTGAATATAACAGTATTTTGTTCCATTCAAAATTGTCTTCACTTATGTTAAGAACAAACCTCAAACATTTATTATTTATTTATTTTACTTTTAAAAAGTTTATTTTTCAACATTTTATCTGGGATAGGAGAAATTATTTTAACACTGACAAATTATGTTAGCATCAAGCACAAACCTCAGTAGGTTTACTATTTTATTTTTCTTATAGCCATTTTTTGCTGTTTTCTTCCTCTGGCTATTTGTTAAATAGTAGTTATTGTTCTAAGGTTAAAGGTTTGGTAAGTTTTGCTGAGGGACCAACCTGTCTCTCCAGGTGAATGTTCTTCTCAGCGGAGAGATGAGAGTTCTGGTTCTTCTTCTTCAGTTCGGCTAGCTGATCTCTCAGGCTGCCCACTGCAGGAGAGAGAAATGCCAAATATGTTAGCATCATAACATCAGCAAAGCAGAACTAATAGTTTCTAGATGGGAGAATATCAGAGGTTATTACTGAGCAAATTGTGTAGAAACTTTGGACCAGTGCTTAAGTGAATCAAGAATGAGCGTCAATATTAAACATGCAAAAGCGGCAGAGAAACTGAAGCAGCATATTCAGTAATGTTGTAGGTTTCGAAAGTTAAAGATGCACCAGTTAAAAAGTATGAATAGTCTTGATTTCTTTGTAGAATGATCCAGTATAATTCCATAGGTGAATAGATTTTTTTCCCACTCCTAGTATATACTCCGTGTAGTCACTGTTCATATGAATCAGCATTCATTGTTAATGTTGAAGGTCAATGGGGTGTGTTTCTGTCTGCCATTCTCACCCTCATTCTCAAGAAGACGCTTTCTGTCTGTCTCTTGGCCGGCCTTTCTTATACTTTCAGAACGCTGGTGCTTCAGTAAAGCCTTCTCTCTCTCCAATGCCCTCAGAGAGTCTTCTGCCATTTGTCTCGCATTCACCTTCAACAAGAAACAAACAGTTAGAGGAACTTGTAGAAAGTTGCATTTTGTTTCTGAATGGTTTCAAAACAATTGCCTTTGTTGGATGAATGTAATTTAAAGATGTGTCTTACTTCTTCTTCAAGCTCTTTGGACAATTTCTCCAGCCGCTGATTTGCTGTCCTGTTGAGATACAACATAGTTTACATCTGTTGTAAGTGAAGAATGTTTTTGATTTTGCCATATGTGACGCAAATAACAGATATCTGGATCTCTGAGGAATTAAAACATTCATTATTCACTAATGAATGTTTTAATAGATAGATAGATAGATAGATAGATAGATAGATAGATAGATAGATAGATAGATAGATAGATAGTATACTCTGTGCATGTGTGTGTGTATATATATATATATATATATATATATATATATATACACACACACACACACAAACACATATATAGAGAGCGAGAGAGAGAGAGAATTCTTATCTAATTGTTAATGCAAAAAAATGAATTTCAACATTTTACATTTCCACATCATGTTTACGAGTATTTGTACCGGCATTTATTTTCCAGTTCCTCCTTTGCTTGCATCTCATGTTTGACTTTTTCATCCAACTTTTTCAGCTTCTTCTGCAGGTCACTGGACTAGAGACATGCAAAAAACACATTCGAAGAATCAACAAACATCTGATGCAAAGTTGTTGTTTTCAATTCTATTAAAAGCAGCACTTATCTGAAGAATGTGGAGAAACACTCCAATTATGCTGAGTTACTGCACCAAACAAAATGGTTGTGGTAAATTCTGCTGCAGAATAAGTCTCATGAGCTATTTTAGTAATCTAAGTGCTAATTTTGTGCCACACAGCTATACAAGTACCACTTCATCCACAACATAAAACGAACAGATTATAAAAAGATTATTATTTAACAGTAAAATTAAAAATATATATGCACCTCTGCATGGTTTAAACCATGATCCTCAATGAGATTATTAGCACTTGAGTCCTCATCTGAACACTTGTTTTTTGGGGTTAACAACCTGAAAGAGACAGAGAGAGTTAGTGTTATGGAAAATGTTCCACTCATCACCAGCTACCGTCATCCTTGTTTACTCTGCACAGTCTGCAGCAACACACTTTAAGGTTTCATAAATCAAGACAAGATGAAAAAGACTAAGTCAGAAGAATAAGAAAGAAGGAGGAAATTAAAGAAAGAAAAATGTTAAATTTTTCAAAACAACTTTTCAATCTCCTCATCTCTGCCAGCGGCCCATGTGGCTTCACTCAGCCACACTGGAGAAACTGAGAGGGAGGAAACAGTGAAAGGATAAAGGAAAAAGGAGGGAATTGTGATGGAACAAATGTAGCACTCATTCACGTGTACCATAACCATGCAAAAAATACTGTACATCCTGTCTCTATCAATCCATAACAGGAGCTCGTTTTACAGCTTTTTAGTGTTCATCTGAGAGTGAGCGAGAACAAGATACCTGTGTAAAACTCAAACAGCGCTACAGTGTTCAAAATGTGGGATTTAATTTTTTTCTGTCACAGATTTCCCCATCTATGTCATTTATTTATCACTTTTTACAGTATTTGTTCATTTTTTTAAATGGAAAACATTTTATCAGAGTCACGGACAGTCTGACAATTACAACCAATCCAAGCCTGCCATAATCAGAATTTTTTTATGCTGGAAAAAAAATTATGCTCAGCTCAAAAATAATTCACAGGCTAGAAACTGTTCCTTGTAAGAGCAAATCTCTAAAATCTTTATCCAGTAATCAGAAATAGCAGGAAAAGTCATGGAAATTCACTGGCCAAAAAGAGTGGGAACCCTTTTGGGACTCTGAATCCTTTTCCACAAGCATTGGTTATTTTACATGACTATAGTATGCAACAAACAAATTATGTAATATCTTTTTTTTTTTTTTAGAATCCATCTTGTCACAAACAAACACAAAATGCACACATTTTCACACTTACTGGTCCTCCCTGAAATAAGTGAAGCCCACAAAAGGTAGCTGATTTCCTGCAAAGGCACGGGGAGGGGGGAAGGTCTCGGTTCCTCCAGGATCATCCTTTATATCATCATCAAAGTTACTGGTGTCAATATCGCTCCTCAGCTCCGGCACCACTGGAGCCATGGCTGAGAGACAGAGAGAAACATGGAGGGAGGGGGGTTTGGAGTGTGTGAGGGAATATTGTAAAAGATTTGAGCAAAAATAATGTCTCCTGTTTGAGTTTGAGTGTATGTGTGTGTGAGCGAGTGAGTGAGTCTCACAGTGAAAGGCTCAGTGTGTATAGCACACAAAGCAGACACTGTACTGAAGGGAGGAGTGGCACTTATGATTTGCCAAGCTGGCCGGTGCTTACTCTCTACCTACTGTGCATACACACACTCACGCTCACTTACACATCCAAAACACTCCCTGGTTCTGGAGCGAACACACTGAGCACGCTGAGAGAACATGTGCCAAACATCTAATGGGGATGAGGCTGAATGAATTACTGTAATTCCATTGTAGTACAGCCAGAGTAGCCTTTCTCAGTACCGCAATCGAAACACTCATATTTTCTCAATATACAAGATAAGAAGAAGATTAAAGGAGTAGTTCATTTTTAAAAAGACTTTTGCTGAAAATTTACTCACCCCCATGTCATCCAAGATGTCCATGTCTTTCTTTCTTCAGTCGAAAAGAAATTAAGGTTTTTGATGAAAACATTCCAGGATTTTTCTCCATATAATGGACTACAATGGGAACCAAACGGTTCAAGGTCCAAAAGACGGTTTTAGTGCAAACTGCAAGCTGTTCATAGGGCTTTAAACGATTCCAGACGATGAATAAGGGTCTTATCAAGCGAAACGATTGCTGATAAAAAAAAGTTACAATTTTATAAGCTCAAATGGTCGTCTTGCTCTGTTCTGTGATGCACGTTCGTGACTCTCCTGTTCAAACTCGTTTATCAAAATGAACAAATCTTTTTTTGTGTCATTTGGTTCATTCAACAAATGAAATGAACGAATTGACTCAGAAAAAGATTCGTTCATTTTGATGAACGAGTTCGAACAGGAGTCATGAATAGAACGCATCATAGAACAGAGCAAGGCACTGAAACTGTCTTTTGGACCTTGAACCGTTTGGTTCCCATTAAAGTGCATTATATGGAGAAAAATCCTGGAATGTTTTCATCAAAAACCTTCATTTCTTTTCGACAGAAGAAAGAAAGACATGGACATCTTGGATGACACGGGTGAGAAAATTATCAGCAAAAGTTTTTTTTAAGTGAACTACTCTTTTTAAAAAAGCATGTCAGAATGTGCCTTCTTTGACAGGAGTGAAAATATAATTGGTTTCTTTCCAACAACACAATTTGTTGTATTTTATTCTGAAAAGCAAGAAAAGTATATGTTGCCATATGGCAATACCGCACCATGCAGATAATGTAGGGATACAGTTGCTCGGATTCCCAGAATGCTCCTTGCATTAATAACAGACTACTGTGTAGGCAGAGAGTAAGCTAGATAGAAAAGAAATGTGTGCGTTTGGGCATCACAGGAGAAAGGGACAGAGAGAAGAGGAAAAAAACCAGTTTAACTCAGTGGTTTTGAGGCTCTTCTCTCATTAGTAACTGCGTACGGGCCACATGCTGGGTTCCACCCTTACTAAAACTAACCCAATACGAGCACCATGCCCCGCCCCCCGACAGGAGCAAACGTTACAACATGTAATGCATTACTAAGTAATTAATTACTGTAATTGAATTAGTTTTCCTTTGAAAAAAGGATTACTCTCTTACTGTTACTTTTGATGTAATTGTAAATACTGAGACTACAGAACAATTCTATATATAAAAAATAGTGGATTTAAAAATGTAACATCTAATGTTAAAATGTATGTTGTTAATGTAGCTTTCTCCCTTTAAATACTTTGGTCAGTTCAAGAATAATTAATGCAATGTGGGCTTTAGTAATTAGTAGAGTAATCCAATTACATTGTTGAAGAAGTAATTAGAAATATTTTTTTTTCAAATAACTTAACATTAGTATGCATGACTGAAATTACTTTCCTTTTCACCAGATGCATAACATGAGGGTGTGAGGTGAATGTTTGCATGTGTGTGGGAAAAAAATCTCTCAAAATCACACATCTACAATTTGAACAGATACTGTATGATTAAGTCAGTTCAAAACTCCTCAATCACAAATGAAATAACCAATCCAAGACTTGAGTATATTCTAGATTTCTTTGATTTTTATCAACCAGCACATGCATACTGTTATAGTCAGTAAATAATACTGACTCAGTCATAAATAGTGATTAGTTGTAATTTTAACGAATAAATGTAACTTAAGTTATAATCACAGATCAGCCACACTCACACTCAGAGGCTTACTGTCTCGTATGGTGTCGAAGGTCCACTGATCGTTCTTGAAGAAGGGGTGACATTTTATTTCATCCACTCCAGTCCGGCCAAGCCTCACCTCCCTGAACATATCGAAACACTGGTCAGCAAACCAAACAGAAAACCACAACCACAATCACTAATCCGCTAAGTGATGTGTAAGAGAGACTGGAAATATCCAAAAGCGACCGGCTGATGGGAAATGGCAGAGCATAGATGAGATGAGGAACGAAAGCAACACAAACTGCAACATCCAAAAATAAGGAACAGTCATTCCACTCCCTTTCCTTGCATCTGGATTCAAAGGGGTGCAGCAGTTTGGACTGCCACATGTGGGACATTCCTGCAGACCAGAATGCAAAGGGAGGGGTGTGTGTTGTGCTTTACGTGAACACAAGGAGAAGAAATCATAAAGCCCCTCTCTGGATATTTGATCAGGAATGCTCAAATGTGCGAGAAAGGGAAAGGAAAAATGGAGTTATAGGAAAACAGTTTGAAGTTGTCAGGCTGAAAGAGTGACCAGGTATTAAGATGAAGACTGATGTTTTACCAGTGACTGGCTCTTAAATGCACATAATGAAGAGGTAGACCGTTATATCATCTTTAAAAAAAAGACTTGAGTTGATTTTATTTTATATATAAAAGATACAAACACCAAACTATACAAACACCAAAAAGTGAATTTATATTTTTCCATGCTTATTTTGACATTAAAGGGGCACTTGGCAACTATTTCAACGTAATAAAACCGTTTAGAAATCATTTTGAATGGATAAACTATTCTGGAGAGCATGGTGACTTTCCCCGCTCCCCCCAGCGTCCCCAGGCGGAAAACCATCCTTGCAACATGAGGACTAACGTCCCGGTAAGTTGGAAATAGAAGTCTCGTGAGAAGCGAGAACGAGCGAGAACGAGCAAGAAACACGAACTGCTTTATGGCAATTGAGCATGCACATGAGCAGCGGTAGAAAGGCGCCGCAAGTGAGTTTCTTTATGACAGTGTTCTGAAATATAGCTACGCCACACAGCTGTAGGGGGCGCTGATGAGAACACATGCCACAACAAAAGTGGAAATCAGCGAAGATAAAACTAGAGTTGCCAAGTGCCCCTTTAAAGCTAAAGATAACAAGGGATGTTTAATAAAGATGTCTCACCTGTCAGTCAGAAAGGCACAGATGAGGTCCTTGGCTTCCTTTGACAATTCCATATCATCTGGGAAAGTTAAGTGGTTTTTATGATCCATGATCTTTCCATAGGTTCCCACTAGGGACTCAGCATAAAACGGTGTGTCACCTGCCCAAATCAACAGAAAAAATGAATATGTAGGATGGTAGGAATAGTGAGATGAGATTACAGGAGACAGGAAGATATAGATGAAGTTGGTGCAACTCACCCACTAGCAGCTCATAAATGAAAACGCCAACAGACCACCAGTCACACTCGCGGCCGTAGTAACCCGTCCCTCCTTGTGACATCAAAACCTCTGGTGAAATGTAATCAGGAGTCCCGACAGCAGTGTCACAGCGGACCATACCAGTCTAAACACATATACAGATACATATATAATAAATTACATTACATAGATTGGTTAAGTATTTTAACATTATAAAATGTATATACATTTCCACTTTAAAACCACATTATAAACAGTGCTGGGAAGATTGCTAACAAATTGTATTCTGTTACTAAATACAAAATACAGAATTGATTACATTACACCTTTTAGGTAATATAATATGCCTACTTTTGGATTACTTTTGACAAAAGTTGTTTTTCACATCGATTTGAATGTGATATATTGTATCAAATTAATATAAAAATACAGAAAGGAAATATTACACTTTTGTAATCAACAATGAGTGCATTAAATATTACTTCAAAGATTCCCAAACTACTTATTTTATAATTCAAACAATAATTAAAATGTGTTTGGCGAAAGTTGGTTAGATATGCAGTGTTGCAAAGTTGAGAAAATGCCATAGAAGTTTTCCATATTATCTGAAAATCCAGTAGTCAAATGCTGTGGTGTCTCAAATTACCATGTAATAATAGCCACACAACTAGTGACTGGTATGTGTGTGCAATTCCCTAAAAGTGAAAACTTTCCAAACATATGTATGCAATGGGCTTTTTAGAAAGATGAAAAAGAATAATGGAGAATCAATAAATTAGAAAAAGGTTTTGCTATGCTACAATTTTGAGATTAATGAATCATGTAATCAATAAAAAGTAACTGTAGACTGATTATTAGTATGATCTAATTACAAGCATTTAATTTTTGGAATCTGATAACAAAAGATTACATATAAATAGTTACTCCCCAGCACTGCTAATCTAATGACAATGTTATCATAATTCAGGCTGCACTATATGATCTCTCCACAAGATGGCATGATTCTAAGAGCATGGGGGATTTCTGCAGAGTAAATGCAAAATCATTTCAAACAGGTTTCCTGAACAGCTTTGTCTTAAAATTGTCAATGCACAATACAATCCTGCACACTTTTGAAACGTAGACCCTCTTTTTCTCTCTCCTGCACAATCAATTACATAAACACACATCAGATACACTTATCATAAGCCAGGACACACCGAATCCATCTTCATGCATGTTCCGAAGTCAGCGAGTTTAAGGTGTCCGTTACGGTCCAGCAGCATGTTGTCTGGTTTAATGTCTCTGTGGATAAAGCCCAGAGAATGAATAGCGTCTAGTGCCAGCACCACTTCTGCCGTGTAGAACCGAGCCCACTCCTCTGGGATGTCATAGTTACTGGTCAGAGTCACCAGGTCTCCACCGGGCATGAACTCCATCACCAAATAGAGGTACTTCTCATCTTGGAAAGCACAGCACAGCTATGTGGACAGAAAGAGTGAGGTGAACAGAGGTGTCATAATACCAATTGTTAAATATACACAACAGCGATATTAAATAGCCACTAATAAGCTATGAACACAGTCCTTTATTTAATAATAATTTTGTTAATAATAATATAATAACTAAATTTAAATAAATAATTAAATACATGATAAAATAAATATTATAAATATAAAATTAAATAAAAAGAGGGACATGTAGAGGGACAAAAAACACATTTTGTTTATTAATATCACCAGCATATCAACACAACAGCAGCTATTTTGTAAGGTTTCAAGGTCTAATGAACAGATTTTAAATTTATCTTTCTTAGTTTCTTATGTTCTAACGTTTTTCTTGCCTATTATATTAGGACATAACTGACCGTCTTTATAGGACTACAACATAAACAGCATATGCATCCTCTGAGGGGCAAGCATTCAAAAACAGCCACCTGTCAGTCAGATAGCACCAAGTCTTGCTTTACATTTTTGCAGTTTATTATGAACTTAGTGAAATGCTGGTAATTTTGACATCCCTAGAGGTAGTTATTTACTTTAATATTTTAATGTTCTTATTTGCACTCATGGTATGCAATATCGTTTTTCAGTTTGTTGGGTTATCAGATAAAGATATTAAACAACCTAACTAACCATCCACAATTACACAATACAAAACATTTGAATCCCACCTGAACTATCCAAGGACTCTTGGAGAACGCCATGATGTCACGCTCTTCCCAGAAGAAGGCAGAGTCAGAGCGCTTGACCATCTCAAACTTGCTGAGCTGCTTCATGGCATACACTTTTTGAGAAGCCTTGTGTCGTACCTACAGGCACATATGTTCATTATCAACATAAACATTTATATTAACCCTTGAGGCAACGTGCATTCAGCAATATGCTGTTTAACATATTTCTAAAAGTTTTTTTTTATGTATTTCACTGTGATGTGTAACTGAACATCGTTGATAATCTCTATCGTTGATAAATATTTAAAAAGTCTGACTATCAGCTTCCTAAAAGAATAAAATATTTTGTGCCTATGCCAAGGACACAAAAGCATACATGCTCTGTGTTGTTGTAGGTAAGTAGGATCAGGCAGAGCATGTGCGTACAAGCCTAACAGGCATTAACATACACACAGACAGACAAGGCTATGCCTGAAAACAAACAGCAGATAACAGGGGCAGACACTCATGTAAACACACACCCACACAACTTTCTGAAACACACTCACTAACCAGCTGCACTGCGCCAAACGCTCCACGGCCGATCAGTTTGACTCTTTCAAAATCATCCAGCTTCACCTGTAGTTCCCTAAGGCAGCACACAGCCTTTTCATCTAGAGATATTAGAAAACACATATTATATGAATGATGTTTATCATTTCATTATAAAAAACATTATACCAGGGTCTGATTAAATAATAATTCCCCAATTATTTAATTAAAATATTTTAAATTAGAAATATATTCCTGATAGTTTTATCACATCATAATATGATTTTATGATTTACTTTTAAGCAAACAATACTTTTAAGAAAACGATTTCTCTCAAACTAATTTCTAGGGGTCAAATGATGTCCCTTGATAAAATTTTAGTGTCTGATTCTGCTTGACTAGTTAATTTAATAGATTTTTTTTAATGGTAGAAAGCACAGTGGCTGAAGGCTGATAAAAGTTCATAATACATACATAATATACATACTAATATATGCTATTTTAAATCGAAAAGTACATATAAATGCGTGTTTATAAATATATAAAGCAATGCATATTGACCTAAAAACAATTAAATAACTAATTTTATACCATATTTACTCTAAACAACTAAATACAAATAAAAGAAAATTACATGTTAACAAGACTGTCAGTAGCGTTTGGATATGTATTGATCTATCCATGTATTGCTATTTGTTATATCAATATAGATACACAAGATACACAGGCTGATCTATACAAAATATGCCAGAATTTATATATATATATATATATATATACACTGTATATATATATATACTGTATATATATATATATATATATATATATATATATATATATATAAATGAATAATTAAAGAGACTTACATCTGTTTAAGAAGGCATCTATGTTTTTGTTCTTTCTCAGCGCAGGATGGTTCAGATCAAGGGCCAGGGCAGTTACTGAATCCTGCAGAAGACAAGAGGAAAGAGAATAAAACAAAAAAACACTTAAGATAAATAAGAACTATGCAACTCAAAATACACACCAATTTCTGTTGGGCTTTCCTCTTTATTCACAGAGCTAAAAATACACTCTTCAGACTCAGAGGGAGTTCATTACTCTCCTTTGATCCCTGAACTAAGCTCACTTTGACAGACAGTACTGTTGTGTCATTTTACTTTGGATAGAAATCCCAAAATGTTAGCCCTGTATAGCCACCTTTACAGTTAGAATTAAGTAACTCTATTCTTATAAATGAATGATGTGAATGATATACTGAATGATATATGAAATGACCTTACATACCCCTCCAAACACACAAAATGACACAGCAGAGCTAAAAATACAAAGACACACAAACCAACATCCCCCAAACATTCCCCACTCAAACACTTCCATTTGCTCGAGCCAACATCATAAACAAGTTGGCCCAACATAAAAGGTTAATATTGTTATTACAATACCATTGTATGGTGTATTGCTGCAGCTAAAAGAAAAACAGACAATCCAAGGCTCAACAGAAAGAACAGTTCAATCGTACAGGGCTAATGTGAGAGAGTTTCAGTCCAGTCGACGGACCTGCGTTATTTCACTGCATTTTACATTCATTCACCATGTACATACTTTCAAATCTGGAGCCAGTAAGACTTAATTTTTTGAAAGAAATTAACACTTTTATGTAGCTAGGATACATTAAATTGATCAAAACTGAGAGTAAAGACATTTATTAATATTATTTCATTTCATTAAATATTTATATTAATTATTTATTAATTATTCAATAATTATTATTAAAATCGTACCAACCCCAAACCTTTGAATGGTAGAGTACATTATATACCTTGAAGACATTATTAGATTAATCATTTATTACATGATTTCTGCTTCCGTGACAAAAATCAGCACACAAACAAACAAACCCAAAAACACACACATGCATGCACAATTAACAATGACAGAATCCTGTTTTCCCTGTACCAAGAGTCAGTCCACAATACAGTGTTCAAAAGTGCAAACACACTCAAAGGAAGCTGGAACCAGCTATCTCTCTCCTCAATTGAAGGATGTGACCTCAGCTTCCTGTATGACATTTCCCCTGGTAGCAGCACAGCAGGACAATGAGTCTGTATCCAATTTATCATTAATCATTATAAAAAAATAGTTCAGTTGCATCACAAATATTACAATGAAACTAGAACACAGTGTTAAATGACTTCAGCGTCAGAATGAGTTTGTGATGTTGATATCATAAGCTAAAATGGAGCTGCTTTGTCGGACAACCATGACTTGGAAGGGCATGGGATGGAAGATAGGATATAATAAGCAGATGAGGTGGTGAGTGAATGTATTTAAGTAAACGTGCTGAAGAACGAAGCAGCTGGGATTTAGTTAGGTCTTTCCCTGGGCCTCCCATAGCCAGAGTATGATGTGCGCGCGCACACACACACACACACACACACCAAAAATACACCTAATCACCCAAGACCTCCAGTGCTTGTTCAAAGATAGCTATCATTTTCCATTAATAAAAAAAAAGGTTAAGCATAGAACGCTACCTAACCAGAGATTTAAAAGGGTTTGTGTGTGTATAAATATGTATACATGTATGAGTGTGTGTGCACCAAGTTTATTTTCATTAATTAGTTTGCACTCACACTGGCTGATACAGCAAGTTGTCTTGAACTCATACTGACACCTAGTGGTGTGGATGCAGCATTAGTCAATAAAAGGTTTCAGGTACTGATGGCATTGAACAAATGTGCTTCAGGGAGATGAAGTGTCCAATAACAGGGGGCTTATTAAGACAGCTTCCTTGTAATAAATGCACTGTAAGATTTCGAAAGTTCTGCACTGTAAAGAATCATCCAGCGAAAGCAGGGCGTGCCAAATTTCAGTCTTGCTCAAAAATGCAGTGCTTGTCTGGAATGAGGGTTTTCTTCCGCAGAGGAGAATGCTGTGTAGAAAGGTGAGAGAATGCACTCTTTGCTGGGAATTGACAATAGGAGCACACATTCTAGTCATTCTCACCCTGTAAAGCTTGCTCGGCAAGTCCTCACATTTCACATGCATGGTGTCTTCACACTTCGTAAAGTTTCTTCCAGCTCTCTAATGATAATATGTGTGTATAATTTAAAACAAGTGAAGCCTGATACTTTAGCTGCTGTATTTTGGAGAAAATATTATCATTAAAAGACAGCAACATTACTGTGGGTGTGTTGATAACATACTGATCAGAGATAAGACACAGGAACATTACCACAATCCTCTGGGACAAACATCCAGTCATTTGTTTACACCCTCAACATGTAGTGCACTTTTTTGTGTGTTGTACAACCTATACGTGTATGAATGGATTTCCGGTCTCTTCAATATCTTGTTGGGTGGTATATTATAGAATATAGAATATTAACATTGTTTTGTAATATTTTGAAATAATTAACAAAATACAAGTAAACTTTTATAAACATTATTTGCAATTGCCAATGTTGCCCATATATGTAATTTAAATAGCAAAAATGTAATATTTGGTGTTTCCATGTTGTTGTATTCATCTGTTTTACATATAGATCTGATTCCAACCATCTGGTACCCCCTCTTTTTTTGTGACAGCAGAATCACGTGATTAAGATATCTCTATTGATTTACATGTGCACTAATTAAGCTTGGTATTCTGGTAAAGTCTTTATTCTAAAATTAAGATTCTGCTCCACAGCTCTTTTAAACATTCATGTAGGCCTACACATGAAATCATTATATTCTGAACGAACGTCCAATTGCATTCTGGAAATACTGGAGATACCAGCTCTTGCTATTACTGTACATTTTAGTCATTTTGAATTTAAATGAATCGACCCATTTTTATTGACAAAAATGTCATGAGAATAATGTAAGCCAAGATGTTTCTTATAATGTTTGTAAAATTGTAATAAAAAAAACTTTCTTTCTCACTGCAAAAGTTTTTTTCTTCTTTTTTACTGTATTTACCAGAATTAATTAATAATTAATATTAATTATTTAACTGAGGGGGAACCCAGGAAGTGATTTCAACAACCTGAATTGACATCTGGGCTTGTGAATAATTTATAAATAAGGTGTTTACATGATCCAATGAAAGCAGTCTCATTATATATATATCATGTAAACATCATGTAAACACCCTATTTAGAATAATATATATAACAGTATCTGACATTTGGCTCATGTAAGCACCTTATCTAGATTTATATATAGGCATATATATATATATATATATATATATATATATATATCAAAATGTGTAGCAATCAAAATGTGTTTGTAGAATCAAAATATGACCAAATTAAGATTAATATTACAGTTTGTAAACGCAATGTCATGTTACTTCCAGTCAGAACAGAACAACAAAACCTCCCATGTCCTATGTAGATGGTGTTAGTTACAATGTGAAAAAAAAAAAAAAAAAAAAAAAAAACAACAACATTTATTTTGTATAGCATCCCATTATTCTATAACCTTACCAGCAAACTCTCCAAATTCAACGCTGATCGTTGGTCCTTGATGATTGTCTCCAGTTTTCTCACCCGAGTTTCTAGTCTCATTCCTGCTCCGGTCGACATTGCGGCAATTCGGTGTAATGAAGGTCCCGGTAGACATCAGATTGCGGACTTCAATCGTCCGAATCAAACTTGTCAGTACCTGCCGTACCTCAACGCGACGCTTTATGAAAGCTCACCGGTTCTGGGTGAATGAGTTCTTTAGCCAAAGACTTCATACATTGCATAATTAAACTGAATACAGTTGTCGTGTGTCCTTTCCTAGTGTCCTAAATGACAGTGGCGGTCCGCGTGCTACTGCCAGCATATGAAATCAAAGGTTAACGTTAGACCCACGCGTTCAGGAAGCAAAGTGTTTCTCCCGCTCCGGTGCAGGGGGGAAAACCCTTCCGTGTGTAGCCTACGGTCCGTGTTTTTTAGTTTATGGTTGAAAATCACACGCTTGATATTGCTGACACTTTATTATTATTATTAGAAAATTAAACAGAGAACATGTAACCTACGTAAAACTGAATGGCGTGTTTCTTTGTTGCAGCTCGTGTCCCTCCCCTGCGGCCACTGGAATTCTTTGGATCTTATCTCAGCCATCGCTTTTACCAGCCAAACGTCACTCCCTAAATACGACCCACACGATATACTACACTAGATATATTTAGACGGTTACATGTATTTTTGACGACATGCGTAAGAGTGAATTTATAATAGGTAGAGACTCCTTCCATGTGCGTTTCGTAAATGTAGGCTATAGTGGTGCAATTCAGCTCTGAAATTCTGTGTTGCCTGATGTCAAACAAATAGCTATGATCCATCATGGGCTATTTAAATGTGTATATATATATATATTTTTTTTCATGTAAACATATTTTTTTTCAAATCATCCTCTTTGTTAACTATTATATTAAGGGAACTTATTTACCATATCTAATTCGTTTTTAGAGGCATATTGTTAACCATATAAAAATGTCATCCGCTGATGTCAAATTAATCTGAATCCATTCTCAATAATTTCTCACTCATGACTGTTAAAAACCATGAGTGAAAGTATGATAGAAGCCACCCTAAATAAAATCTGTGTTTGACACCCAAACCCATATGAGGCCCCATATTGACATGTTTTCTAATATTTTATTAACTTGTTACTCTCTGTATTAACCTTCTTGGTGCTATGTCTATGAGGACTGGATACAGTCATTATAGTGTTGTGTCAATGGAAAACAGCTGAAACAGCAGTCACATAATGTCTCTATCATGATACAGAAAAAAACTCAAAATCCGTCTGAGATTGAAGGCTAATTTTGTTATGCATGCAGGTAACTATCTAGGTCTATATAGTAACATAAATATGTGGTAAAAATGTATATGGTTTTGTTCATGTGAATAATTAATGATAGATAGATGATATTCTTCTGGTAACACCCACCTCTGGCACTGATTTGAGGAATGAGGAAATTGTTGTCTGTCTCAGAAAAGTCTCACTCCCCAGGTTTAGCTTGCTTAATTAATTTCTATGGACTAGACTTGAGAGCACTGCCATAGTAAAGCATTAACTGACCTTAAAAATCAGCTAAAGGAATATATATATATTACTGCTATCTGTTTTACAATGATCTGCATTGTAGTTAGTTAGTTAGTTGGGGGGGGGGGGGTATGTTTAAGCATACCCCATTCAAATTATGAATTAAAGATCTATCTACTATCTATGTGGTTAGAGTGTTAGTGCTTTTAACTATCACTTTTTAAAAGATAAATTAATTAATTGCAAGTCAGCCGCGAAGGCTCAACACTGGCATCTGGTGGTCATATTGAATGAGTTTATATAATTTTAGAACGCTACTGTCAAATGTATTGTTAAAACGTAACGTTAAACACGTATCTGTCCTCATATAATTTCTGGAGAAATTGTTTGTGGATAAGTCAATGTCCACTTATCGGTGGTTTTACCGTGTTTTTTTTTTTTTTTTTTTACCATAATAAAAAGCTCTTCAAATCTCGTCTCTCTTTTTTGTTGTGTGCTTACTGGGCTGGTTGTCATGACACTGTTCAACACATGAAGTGCGGGCAAAGATGGAGGTTACATTCTGTTGCTACAGTCACTATTATAAAGTGAGTAAATCCTATTATTTACAGTCTATGGTAAAATCATTGAACAAAGAGAATAACGTATCGAAGCATATAGGATTACAGAAGCACGCGGTTTCGATTTTTTTTTTTTTTAATTTTTAATCAAATTTAAATGTCGGATGATAATTAAATGATTTGTTACTGAAGTATAGTTTAACCAAACTGAAACAAAATTATAGTTCTGTATATCTGCTTTACAGTAACATATAGCCTACCATGTCATCCATTGTCTCGAATGTGTCCAACTACCCGTTAGTGGATAAACTCATCGAGAATGAAGCAGAGAGCGAGATTCTACTCTCTAAGCCAACATGTTTTATCATCATAGGAAAACCAGTGAGTTTCCAACTTGCATAATTATTTCTCAATCATGAAAGTAAATGTTCCTCAGTCAAAACAAATAATAGTATTTAAACAATATAATACACCAATTGAAATGTTCTGTGTTACATTGTGTGATTTATTTTATTTTCAGGGTGTTGGCAAATCTACTCTAGCCAGAAAATTAGCCAATACTTGGAATTGTATCCTCATTGATGGTAAATAATCAAGTGCCTCATTTAATGCCTCAATGCCATTATGGACTTTATGAATATTTTTGTATTTCTTCACCCTTTTAGATACAGATCTTCTCAACAGCCACATCAGTGATGAGACTGAACAAGGTATACAGGTGTGTATCACTGTTTATTTATGTATTTGATCATACTAGAAATAACTGATTCCCTGCAAACAATTCTAGTGGTGTCAAAAAACCAAATGTGTTTCAGCTCTTTAAGATTCTGGCTGAAGGGAAAGCTGTTCCAGAGGAGATGATGGTCGAGGTAATTGTTGGCCGGCTAAAGTCACCTGATGTACAACACTACGGTGAGGATAAGAAACAACTAAAATAACATAATTTAATAAATAATTGTTTTAAAATCTGTTAATATATATTTGTAATGACTTGTTTGAATGGTGGTTGAGCAGGTTATGTCCTGGCCTGTTTGCCATCAATTTCAGAGGATTACCTAAAGATACAGGAGCAAATAGACCTGATTAAAAGCCTCGAAATGCCACCAGACTTCATCATCAACATCAAGGTTTTTCATTAATACTATCAATACCGTTCTCAATTTTAAGATAAACACTCTATATTTTATATATTAGCAGCCATACAAAATAATTATATTGTTTTTGTTGTGCTGTTTTGGCATGTTTTTGCAATGCTGACATTGTGCGGTTATATTCACTTCTGTATAAACACATAAATGTAAAGTGATTGACATTGAATGTATGTGTGCAGTGTGCAGACAGTGACCTGATCCACAGGCTATCAGGAGAGCGTCAACATCCGGAGACAGGCCGGGTGTTCCAGAAGGAGAAGTGGGACCCTGTGAAGAAAGAGTCAGTCATAAAAAGCAGCAGCATAGAAGATGAGGATGAGGAAGAGGAAGAAACAGAGGATCTGGAGGAAGAGGTAATACTTAAGCAGTGTCCTAAATGACATACTGTACACTATGCACTTACCAAATGGATTTTATATGGTTATTTTGCCATTTAACTTCGCAGTCTGATGGAATCTGCATAAGGAAAGATGTGACAGTTGTCCAGCATTCCATGCTTTTTCTTTTTTTTGGTTAATTAGGTGCATCCAGGTATTTGAAATTCACTTTTTCTTTTTTGGATTTTTCAGGGTGAGCACACTACTCACACTATTTAAATGCTAAAAATGGCATAAAACAGTGCAAAAGTATGTTAACTGGGATGCTCCTTTAGAGCAGTGGTTCTCAACTTGTTTAACTCGAAGACCCCTCCCCTTTAGGCTAAAATATTTCTTCCGGTATTTCAGATTTCAGTTTTTGTTTATTAACAAAAATGGGTATATTCATTAAAATAACCAACCACAATTAATGTTGTGATTCCAGACGTTTCAAGAACTGGCTTCTACAATAAAAACAACAGTTGTTGAGGGGTGGAATAAAAAAGAAACATCATTGCAATTTACTACATTTTCCTTTCATTTTTTAGCATTAATGAAGTTCGATTATTTGATTACATAATCATAAAAATATATCATCATTTAAATACTATCATTTAAATTTATTTATATTTATTTTATATATAATCATTTAAATATTATTTTATTTATAACTTTAAGTTATCAGGTGGCCCTATTTGTTTTTGTAAGTTTGCTACTGCCCCTGACTGAGAACCACTGACAAAAGTGACAGGAATGACAAAACTGGAAATCGAGTTCATTATATTATTGCCGTTATTTATTTCCAAGACACTTTTCCAAAGCGCTGTTTAAAAGTTTCTACGCACAAATGGCTAAATACAATTAAAAAATGTGTTTTTAAGATGGAAGAGATAGAGCTACAGAAGGACATGATCACACAACTAGTAAGAGTGATTGAGAATTACCCAGAGAATGCCAAGAGCAGGATCATGCGCTATAAAGACACCATTCTCAGGCCTCTTGAGGTAATGGCACCTATTACACACACCTGAATACACACTATTATTGAGACAAATAGCAGTTATACTTATGCTTGATGTGTAGGATTACATGGCAGACCATAATCCCCCATATTTATTTGAGCTGGATGGAAACAAGGATCCAGAGGAGCTCTTTGAGGTGGGTGCCCTCCAACAAGCTGTAATGCCGAAAGGCCTGTTCACACCAGGGATAATAACTATAAGGTTTTAATAACTGCTATAATATACTATTAGACTAAAGTAGTCCACACCACCACTATAACGAGAATAATACAGGACATTTTTTCCTGTTGATGAATAATAAAAACATTGATAGCCAATCAGAAATCATCCTTCTTTAAAGACCTTAAGCATTTAAATGTCACCATACTGTGACATTTAAATTAATAAAATAAACCGAACAACAAAAACTACACAGAGGGGGAAAAGACTTGAATTGACTTGATACGACTTCATGCGACATGACGCAATGCAGGGAAAACATGAAGGGAAGCACAAGTCAACGATTTGGCAACATACAAAGACATACCATGACCAACAAAGACAATCCAGTCGGAAAAACTAACCAATAAACAGATAACACCTAAACAGAAGGGCACATTGTCGCGCTCACAACAAGACAAGACACAAGCAGTGTCAGAGCTCTGTCACCAAACCAAGAATAAACAGACCGAAGTGACAGAACCCTGACACTAAAGCGACAGCTACAAAATAATATTGCTTCTTATAATAAACAGATGATACGATACACCTGTATAATGTAATAATAATGAATTTTCCAATTGCCTGTATACAGTCAGTAATGTCTCGTTTGGAGTCCATGGCTGTGAGGTGTCCAGCTGTGCCGGTGCGTTTGATGCCGACAGAGGACCCAGAGCTCGCTGATCAGATGGACATGGTCAGATACTGCAAATACACACCTCTATAAAGTGACCTACATTTTACATGCCTCTTCACCATGCCTATTTTTATAGGAGGAGCTGTTTCGGACTCTGTCTACCTGTAGAAATGTCGCACCAGGCTTTCATTGGCGAAGGAGCCGATGGTCCTGCAACTGCCCTGTGGCACTCAAAGAGGGCAGGGTGGTCAAGGGTAGACCCGAGTTCGCCGTTGGGTTAGTAAAAACGAATTTTTTATACATTAAAATTCTTTGATGTGAGGGGCTACATTTTCTTTCTTTTCTCCCCATCAGTTTCATGGATAAGATCTACATCCTGTCATCTCAAAATGCTCTGCAGAAGTTCACGGCGAACCCTCGTTGCTACCTGCTGCCCCCCATGCCACACTTGCCTTGCAGGGTGTCCGTGATCGGCCCACGATGCTCAGGAAAGAGCACAATTTGTGCACTGCTAGCAGAGTATTACGGTGCTGTAGTGCTAGATGTTGAGGCACTGATGGAGCGTACACGGAGTATGTTCACACAAGACATGTTGGACAAAGTCCGTCACGACGCCACCCTCGCAGGTTTGGAGAAGGTCAGAGCCAAGATGCAGCATGAGGCTACAGATGCATCAGGTTTGAAATGTTATGAGCATGCCAATTTGGTAAACCTACAGTACCAAACAATAAGCTCCATGACATGATAGAATTAACTTTTAAAGCATTCTGGGACATCTCTGAGATGTTTTTTCTCCATTTCTGTAGGTAATGTGACAACCAATAAGGGAGAGTCTGATGAAACTTACTCAGGTGAGGTCAATCCACAAACATGGACTTTAAACCTCCTTGGTTTCACTGATAACAATGTATGTTCTGTGCTTTAACATTTTGTTAACTGTTATCATTCATATCATTTTTACATACACACATGAAATAAATGAAAATGGTACGTAATTCCGTGGTTACAGTGTTAAAAGGTATGGAGGGATATGGTGAAGGAAAAATTTATTAGCACATTTCATACACTATATGTATTATTCCTTGAATAAAAGCAAGCAAATTATATCAGTAAAAGGAATTAAAAGAGATATCATGGGATGGAGGAAATTTAGTTGTCAATGCATTTGTGTTCACCCGGGAAACTTTGCGTCTTTTTTACAGTCTATGGTTCCCTCGCAAAAACTTTTGAATTCCGCAAAACATTTTGCAAGTGTCTGCAAAGTTTCTTAGAGGAGTGCAAAACATTTGCAAGAGAACACGAAAGCATTGACTTATTTTTCCTCCCATATCATATTTTTTTCCACCACCATGTCCCTTTAGGGGCTCAGTAAAATTGTTCACCCAAAAAGGAAAATTGTGTCATCATTTACTTACAGTATTTCCATGTCATTCCAGTCCCGTAATAGCAAAACTGTGGAAATGAAAACAGAAAATATAAAAACAAAAGCCAATTCAAAATATTAACAAATACATTAATAGTAAATAAATAATACTAAAATAACACTGAATGTGTAATTTACAGCAATAGAAGTGACAGAAGATCATCCAGATGTTCAAGCTTTTGTGGAGGAAGCTATGAAGGAAGCAACAGAGTCTCCAGTCACAGCTTCACGGGAGCTTTATTTGGAGGCCCTGGAGAAGCACATAAGAGAGGTAGACTTTTGTGCTGCCATCCTCAACTCTCATACTTACATAGAACAACAGTATTTGTGTTTTAAGAGTGCCTGTGGTTTATCAGATTGAGACTGAAGATGTGGATTCTGAATATAAAAGAGAGTGGATACTGGACAACATTCCCAGCAGTAGATCACAGCTGATCACCATTGAGGAACTACATGGTGCTGTAACACCTGAAGTCCTATTCTGTCTGAAAGACAATGATGGAGAAGGTGAGAGAAAGACATGTAAACATTTTTCAGTCCTGATTTTTACATTAAATGATACAACCTATGCTTGTTTAGGCCATGAAGTCCACTTGATTGTGATGGTCACTGGTCACTTGTTGTTGTTTATTGAAGGAAGGACTGTACTAACAAGGATGTATGAACAGAATAAAGAAGAGGTGGATCGAGCTGTGCTGGCTCGCCTAAAGAAAGATAGGAAACTGCATAAGACACAAGACAATCATGAGACACTGTAAGTGCAGCTAATGTAAGGGCCCAGTTTCAGACAATATAAAGTGGGGATTCAAAGTTTGAAACCACTGGAGAAAATGCTTCTATTTGGTTTTAATTAAAAATTATATTATAAGCATACTTTGAATCTTACTGACCCCAAACATCTGAACGTTAGTGTAGAGAATTGAGACTCCCAGATATCAGATGAAATTTCCAAGAATTTCATGGTTTCATGTTGGAAAGTGGTGGTTTACTTTTTCAACATGGAGATGTGATTCGATTCTTTTTTTTTTTTTGTTGCAGGAAACCGATTGAAGCCTCAAAGAAAGAATCACAGCCTACTGACACCCAGCCAAAACTCGAGACATTGATTGAGGAGTCAGGTAGTACTCTTTCACATCATTGCATTGCTGTGCATTAATGTTAAACTCTGCTCAACCTTACAATATTGCCTTGTGGTCTTAAGTGTTAAAACATGTTTTGATAAATAATTGGTATGTATTTACAGAGAGTTCTGATAAGTCTGATGATGAAGCCAAAATTTTCAATCATGAAGGTTTGTAGTCTTACTTTTCCTTTACTCGAGTCGAGTGTCAGTAATGGTACCATGACTTCTGCAAGGTATATATAATTGCATATCTTCATATGTCTGGGTGTACAGAGGTGGTACTTCCAACGGTGTGGGAAAATGGTTATCCTGACGGCCCAGAGATGGATGCCTTTAGTGTTCAGCTGAAGCAGTTTGTAGCAGATTGGGAAAGCAAGGAGCACACCATCACCTGCAGCTATGTAACACTGGACATCACCAACAAAACACCACAGGACATCCTCCAAGAGATGATTTACCATATGGAAAGTACGTAAAGTGGACTGTCTGTGTGTGTCATGCTCTCTAAATTAGCGGTCGCACCCTCTCATTCACTATATCTTTTCTGTTCTGTCTTTCCCTCTCTAAATTTCTCTCTTAGAGCCATTTAAGTACAAAGCTTGGAAGAAATCTAGTGCAGATCTGGAGGAGGAGGAAGAGGCTATGTATGCACAGGCACAGGTTGAGAAACAAGATGCTGTTGATGAAGAGGAGGAACAAGAATCAGAGGTTACACATCAATAATCCAGCACTGAACACGAATGAAGCATGAAATCAAAACTGAACCCATTTTACCCCCCCCCTCCTTTCCATTATTTTATTTCAATGAAAGATTCGATTTTTGCCATTTTTTTGAATGAAAGATTAAAAGGATAAACAATGCAGATTTACTTTTTACAGCCATTTTTGATCATATTTACCAGGAGTGCCATTAATTCTGACCACAACTGTACATATTATAGCAAAAAAATGGTTGATTACGGCATTAGGAGTTGTTCACTCAGGGCACGTTCTTGCATTCAAAAACAACTAGGTGCAGCATTGCTGAATAGAATGAAATAAAACAGAAAATAGGTGTCTCAAACATGGAACTCATGTTGTAAGACAAATTGCAGACATCCATACAGAGCATATTTACTTTTGAAACGTCATTAGCTGCTTCTCCACCGTTGGGCCGAACCGTTCTCGTTGCTACCATTCCATTCCTTGCCGATCCGGTCCAGCCGGTATGGATATGATTTCATTTTTTACTTTTAGGCTGATAACACAGCTCTTTGGAATGTAATACAAATGCGTCAATCATTGCCTTGGTAACTCATACAATTTCCAGACTGTATGAGATGTAAATAGCCAGCCAATCCTTAGTGGTGTTGTCACTAGACGGATTGTACCAGCACGGCTCAGCATGGAATCACACCCAGGGAACAGTTTGTAATTTTGCTGTGTCAAAACAAGCTTAAGTGGAAATGTAGCCGTTCCGTGTCAATCTTAGAACTGTACGGCCTGACGGTGGAAAAGCAGCTTTTGTCCGCCGAATCCCTTTTTAAAATATTTACTTGAAGTACTCCCTAAGATATCTTTGGTACCTAAGATACCAACAATTGAATTTATAATAATAGAGCAAATCAATGTAAGAACACTTATTCTGATCTACTGATTCTTAGAATATAATACCTCTCTTTTGTTTATGATGGTCTCAGGAGGAAGTCAGCTTTAAGAGGCAGCTGGGAGACACCAAGCATTTTTGTCCAGTGGTGCTGAAGGAGAGGGGTACGCTGCAACCTTGTCTGGATGAATATGCTGCCAAGTACAGAGACAAAGTCTATTATTTCTCCAGCACAGAGGCACAAGAAAAGTTCCTGAAGAACCCTGAACTCTACATATCTAACACACAACCATTAAAGGTACTTTTTTGGTATTTTATAAGGATAAATGATCTAAAAAATCTTGCACAATGGCTTTAATACGCAACGATTCAGTCAACAGACCTTACTCGGGTATATTTTTACAAGATAAATTCATCACATGTATTTCTACATCAGGATAAATGATAAAAACACACATTGGAAAGTGACAACAAAACGTCTTCTGCTTCTGTGAAAACAAATAGTAAATGACAAATATGTACAATATGTGGCAAACAATGTACATATAACACAAAGCTCTGTTTGTATGCAACCAGCCACCTGCACTGCGTGTCTTCATGCTTGGAGTGAGGGGGTCTGGAAAGACCACCCATGGGAAGTGGCTTGCAGAGCAGCTGGGAGTTTTCCACATCCAGTTCCGAGAGCGGCTACAGGAGCTGATCCTACGGAAGATCCAGAAGCGTGTATCATATGCAGATGATTCTGAACCCCCTGAGGAACCTCCAGAGGAGCTGCAGGGCCTGCTGGAGGCTCAGAGGGCTGAATCCCCTACAGACCAGGAGGACCAGACCAGTCATCAGGATACCGCATCTGATAATCCAAACACAAATGTAAGGGGCTGTAAAGGCAAGACGTTTGAATTTTTTGCTTGAATTTTGTTTGAATTTGATGCATTGGTGTATTTGTAGGAAGAACCAGCATTGACTGATGATGAGGAGGCCATAAAGGCATACCTCCAGGATGGTGATCCTCTCCCTCTGGAGATACTGGAAATGGTTTTATTACCGTGGTGGGATCAGGAACCCTACAAGTAAATGTTCATTTACAAACACTCACTAATTCACACATGCTACCTCAAAACAATCCTGAAACTTTAGCTGAAACTTTAAATCATTAAATATTCCACCTCAAAATGTACATTTTGATCATTATTTATTCACCCTCAAATCATTCCAAACCTGCACAAAAAAGAGAAGAAAACCTCTTTCATACAATTGCAGTTAAGGTTTGACGGCTTGATAATGCTTTAAACGGATATCATTCTGTAATATCTATATATTTTTTTTAAAAGCATCTTAATTATATATTAAAAATTAATTTGAGAGTTATTTTAATATTATTTATTTACTATTATAGTATTTATTCAATTATAAATTCAATTTCATTGTTATATTTTAATTTTAGTAATGACAAATACCACAATATCACATGATTTTGCATAAATATAATGGCACAACTAAAAATAATAGTAATATAATTTATTATTATAAATAATTATTATTAGTAGTAAAATAACCTTAATGCATGTATTCATTCATGTAATCATCATGTATTATTGTGTCAAAAATATACAAATACTAAAACGTAATTAAAAATTGATTCTGAATTATTATTATTATTATTATCAGACATCTGTATTGTATTGGTCATAAACAGGCAGTAATAGTCGATCTCTAATATAAAAGCCAAGTAGTCCATATGACTTGCATGCTATTTTCCAAGGGAAAAATAAGCAAATGTGTTTGAATGTAGGAGGTTGAATAAATAGTGTATGAAAGAAATATTTGTCTTTTTTTTTTGTTGCAAAATATTCCTTAACTTTTCTCTCAGATCCACGGGGTTTATTTTGGAGGGATTTCCCCAAAGCCAAGAAGAGGTGTCCTTCATGGTGGAGCATCACTTATTTCCAGATATGGTGGCAGTGATGTCGGTAGAAGTGTCTGCGGTGGTCCGGCGTCTCCTGCCTTCGCGGCTCACGCGCTGGAGAGAGAGACAAGAGCGCAGGAAAGAACAAAAGCGGCTGGTCATTAAGCTGCAGAGTGAACTCAGGGTGAGTGTTTAAGCGAAAATTTCAAAATGATGTAAAAATTCACCATAAAGCAGGTGAAACAAAGTTTTTGGCGTAAATATGCATTGGTCTGTGTCAAACTGCAGGAACGGGCCATCACCCAGAGAAGGGCTGAGCTTATGGCTGAACGTGAAACCAAAAAACCAAGCCCACTCACTCTGAAGCCCCTCAAAAAACAGGTCATTGACCGCTGTCGTTGTCTTGCATTGGTGAGTGACTGACAGATTCTGACTGGACATTCTGTTGCTTCATTAGGAGGATGAGGTTGAGGATGACAAAGAGGTGCAAGAAGAAGCAGAGGCGATGGACGAAGAAGAGCAGGAACGGGAGGAAATGGAGGCCATACTGCTGGAGGAGTTTCCTCCTGTGGAGGAGGAGGGGGCAGAGGAGGATGAAGAAACAGAAACTAGTGCAAAAGAGAGACTGGAGACGGAGATCAGTCAGAGGTTTGAGAGGGATGATAACAAACTCACCAGCATGACAGTAAGGAGAAGATGAACGCTTATATTATAAACAAATTTATAATGCAATTTAAGTCCTTCAGAAATGTAACACTTGTTTAACATTATAATTTCATTTACTTTTTCTATTCTAGAAATTCTGCAGATAATACATTGATTGATTTTTTATAGGACTTTCTAACAGACAACCAAATCCCCCGTCTGGTTATAAGCGCAGGCAGTTTGCCTCGGATTGTGAGGTATCAGCTCCTACAGGGAATCAAACCACTGATGGTAAACAGAGACTCACTCTTTCAGATGTGTCAGCCAATCAGCTACAGTCTCGCCAGAAGACTCCTGTACTGCTCCTTTAAATATCCCAGTGCCTTCGGGTGCTGGGATCCAATTAAGGTAAAAGCAGATATACAACATTTTGAAAATTAATTGAATAATATAAGCCTAAAAATAGCTTTATCAGAGTATAAAACAAAAACGTCTGTTTACCGTTATGTTTTGTAGTACGCAGAGGGAGATTTGATCCAGACTCCACAAGGCCCTTTCAACACCACATTCCCTGTCATCCTACATCAGTTCATCTACTTCTTTGCATCCAGGGAGACACGCAACACCTTCATCCTCAACCCAATCAAATATATCCGTCAACCAAAGCCCAACCCTTCCCTTCCAATCAAACTGGTTATCATTGGCCCACCAAAAGCAGGCAAAACCACAGGTCAGATTTCTGGAGATAAAATACACGTCATTAGATGCTCATAAAAATATTGATGCCTGATTTCACAGAAGAGGCTTAAGCCTAGTCTTAAGCTGTCTTAAATGAAAGCAACTTGTACTGACAAAATAGGCGATGTCAGTGCTATTGTTTGGTCTCAATATGAACACCAGTAAAAATTAGCTAATTTAACTAAGGCCTAATCCTGGTTTACTCTAAGCCCTGTTTGTGAAATCAGACCTAAATAACTTAAAACCAAGTGTTTTTATAGATTTCAGAATAAGTAGCTTTTAACTGTGTGTGCACTCAGTGGCCCAGGTGTTTGCACGTGAGTACGGTCTCGCTCGACTCTCCATTGGGGATGCAATACGTATGGTGCTCAACAGCCAGTCCAAAACTGAATTGGCTTATAAGGTACAGAAGCATTTGAACCAGGGCCTGACTGTTCCTGATGAACTATCCATCCAGTGCCTGGAGGTGGCAGTAATGAAACAGGTCTGCAGCACTCGTGGGTGAGGAGGACCACATTTTTTGAATAAGAAATGTACAACAGATAGAAAAAATAACCTAAAGGACAGAAGACTTTAAGTCTATGTAAGTGGCATTATACAGTACATGTGTTTGATCCTCAGGTTTGTGTTGGATGGCTTCCCTGCGACCAAGCATCAGGCTGAATTAATGCAATCCTGCAGCATTATTCCTATGCTAGTGATTGAACTGCAACTGGACATGGCGGAAGTGCTGAGGAGAGGCCTGAGAGATAGGGAAAAAAACAACAGGTCAGACCAGCACAAACATAAATAATATTTTGGATTATTTATATACTATTATTGTATTTATTAATATTTTGAATTAGCTTTCACATTTATATTTTCAGGTAACATTTTAACTTGTAATGGAAACCTAAATTTGAGTCATTTTGTTAAGCTTTTGCCATTTTTATTAGTTTTCTGATTTCGATGACGCAAACTCTAAATCGACATGCACCAATGCTAAATTTTACATCTCTGTAAAGCTGCTTTGAAAAAAATATCTATCGAGGAAAGCGATATACAAATAAATTAATTTATATTAATTAATTTAAGTTTGATTTATATTTATTTCATTTTTATTCATTTTATTAGTTAGTTACCAAGGCAACAGTTCTAATTTTCATGCAAGTTTTTTTTTTTTAAATTAAGTTGTTTCATCTAAAATTTAGACTTTGTTTTATTTCCGCTTTCAATTAAGGAAAACGATTGAAATAGTTGTATAACAATAACACTGACCTAAATAAATCAATGTCACTGCTAAAAATTACACCATTTTAAAGTCTTAATATATATATATATATATATATATAATTTTTATTTAAGACTAGTCATAACATTAGGTCAATAAAGTCATATGGTTTCGAGAATAATGTTATAATAGACCTTTTACGAGAATAAAGTCAGAAAAAATTATAATTCAGTATTAAAGAATAAAGCTAAATATTGCTTGTATTAAGTACATTTTTTAATTATTTCTATTTTAACGTTGACAGTGTTACAAAAGTTGTGGTAATATGGTCTGGCATATATATATATATATGCCAGACCATATTATATATATAATTACAATCTGGCAACTCTCTCCAACAGGCCTTACCCAATGAATGACAGCCCCCAGGTCCTAAACATACAAAACTCTTGCTACAGACGGGAAGCTGAAGCTCTTAGGCAACACTTCCACCAGCAGTATCACAACTGGACTCCCATTGATGCTCACAAAAGCAAATGGTGGGTATGGGAGCGAGTTTTAGATGAAGTTCGCATAAGCATAAGACTCATCCATGCTTACCTGGAAAGAATTCACAAAGGTGAGAAAATGCAGTTGTCAAATAAGAAGCACTAATATCCATCCATGTATTAAGCATTACATTTGCATTAAAGCATCAATATGTGTCGTTTTGTGACCGCTTTCTGTCATCCTTGCAGGCCAGGCAGCCTGTATAAACAGATTGTGCATTACCCCAAGAGAGCTGCAGTCTCGGCTGGGCGAGTTTGGCCATTATTGCCCAGTTAGCTTAGCTCTCCATCACCATCTGGTGGACTGTTCACATAACACCTCACTTGAATTGGCTGCAGAGTTCAGGGGTCACTTCTACAAAATGGCCAGCAAGGAGTTTCTAGAGGTAAAGTTTCAGATGGTCCAGAAACATGTTTACATGTTCAAAAATGTTTTGTTTAACATCTTTTTATATGCTTCTTAAAGAGATTTTTAGAAACCCCGGAGCAGTTTGTGGTTCCAGGTTGCCCTTACCCATTACCCCCTCCTCCACTCCTGCCTCATAAGCTCAATGCCGGCCAGGTGAAGAGCAGGTTCCCTCAACAGGTGGAGATGAAGGGATTCTGCCCTGTCACTTATCTAGATGGTCAACAGAGGTACTCCAAGAAAACTCTAATACTTTCTAATTTTTACTACAGACTTCATCATTAATATCTAAGCTACCTTTTCACTCACATTCTAAGTAAAAGACTCATTGTAATTTAAAAGCATTCGGCCATAAGTAAATGTAAATGATTCACAGTGGAGTTCTACCATTATTTTCTCTTCATCTGTAGGTATGAGGCCTTGGTGCGAGGGAATATGGAGTATGCTGTTGAGTATCGAAATAGGATCTATATATTTGAGAGTGAGAAGAAACAAGAGCAATTTCTCCAGTGAGTAGTAATTTTTTTTTAAAGAAATTAATTTGTTCATACAGCAAGGATGCATTAAATTGATAAAAAGTGACAGTATATAGATTGTTTCAGAAATACTATATTTCAAATAAATGCTGTTCTTTCTATTATCAAAACATCCTGGAAAAAATGTATCATAGTTTCACACAAAAATATTAAACAGCAACTGTTTTCAGCATTGATAATAATAAAATAAGCTCCGAATCAGCATATTAGAAAGAATGATTTCTGAAGGATCATGTGATAATCATGCGAGTAGTGAGTAATTCTGCTGAAAAGTCAGCTTTGCCATCAAAGGAATAAATTACATTTTAAAAATTATTGTTTTTATAATTTTTCAAAATTTTACTGTTCATACTGTATTTTTGATCAATTAAATTCAGCCATTTACAATAATAATTAATTAACATAACTGGCATTTGTATACATATATTATATATTATCTTAATTAAAGATCATGTTAATAATAGCCATAGCAACAGGCTATTTGTAATACAGCCAGATGAAGCACAGATAATTCACAACAGAACTGTCCTCAGGTCACCTGAGATTTACTGGGACCAGAAACTTCCACATAAACTACCTCCGTTGGAAGATCCGGTCTTACTAACTTCTTTACCGATCATGGGCTATTTGGAGCAAGTAAGAAAACACTGAAACCCAGACACTCACTTCAGTCTGTTAATCTGATGCAAAATGGTCTGCATAACCATCAATAAGCTATGCTTTTAACAAGTGGTAAAATAATTTTCTTAACCACTGCTGAGATTGTAATTATTGTACATGTGTTATTTTTTGTAGAGTGTGGCAGTACCCATAATCAAAGCCATGACTGCTGTTGGTCAACTCAAGCCAAAGTTCCCCTTTCTCAGTGTGAAGAGATCTGCTTTATTGTACCTGGCCTTTCATTTGAAAGGTGGCCTTGATTTTCTTATTTTTGGCTTACTTATGAATAGCTGGGGATGAGAATGGTCTGGATAATATATTTTAATAACATTCTTGCCCTCCACCCTCACAGCATTCAACACCAGGAACCCAGATTATATTCGACAGAAGTACAAAAAGAAACTTCAAAAGTTTGAAGAAGGCTGTGAGCTCATTTCACATCTGGGTACCGACATGAAGACATACAGATCCCCTCGCAACCTGCCCCCAGATTTTGCACAGAAGCTGGACAGGTTTCTGGCCCTTGAGAAGTCCACCAAAACAGCCTTGGGTCTGATACAGCTCGGGGGCAATTGAAACAACTTCAAATAATAAAAGCCTTGAGTCAGCACATCACAGTATTTGACCAGTGTTTGTTGACATTTACATGAAAACATTTTGCAAGCACTTTGTTAGTGTGTTCTGTTCAATTGACAATTAAATGAATGAGCCTAATAAATATGTTTCAATCTATTTTGTTAAGTGTTATTGTTTTAACATATATCCCAGAAGAGGCTAAAAACCTAGTCCCAGAATAAAATGCTATTTTAACTGAAAGTAACTTACATTGGCACATCTTAAAATGTCTGTGCTATTGTTTTGTCTCAATATGAACACCATTTATGTTTTCCCCAGGTTATGTTTATAAAAGCTACTTATATTAAATGTCCTAATTGTGCCAAGGCCATCCTGGCTTAATCTAAGCCCTGTTTTGTGAAACTTCTGCAGGCCTTGGTGTGTTTTTACAGTCAAGACATATTCCAATTGATACATAAATATAAAATGTTTTAATAAAATAAAACGATAATGGGAATGGTTTGTCATCGTTGTGCGCCACTCCCATCGGTTACCCTGACAACGGGTCTCTAACTTCTGTGCTTTACACAACATGGCATCCCCAGTACATTTAGAGATCGTCGGTCTGTTAAGCAAACACAATTTTCAAATAGCCAAAAGCATTGCGGAGGTAAAGTTTTTTTTTTTTTAAGATGCTGACCACTTTGCATTTTGGCGTGACTAACTAATAAAGACTGCACACCTGTTCACAAAAGTTATAACGTCTGCTGCACTTGCAGGGTTTGAAAAATAAATTCCCGGAGTCATTTGATGATCCAACAATTCACCCGCTTCTTGAATGTGACTGGCATGACTATTTAGCTAACAAAAAGAAGGTATGGCACTTGTTATTTTACTGCTGGCTTGTTTTCAACACTAAGTTACAGTATATCTGCGGAACAAAGCAAGAAATAGCCTACGTACGTTTTCTTCTTAAGGAGCTGAGAGGAGAGGTTTGGCAGTACACTGGATGCCTAATGTCCTTCGCAAACGGCCAGTTGCTCGGTGATGAGAGGAAACTGTCCACCTGGGCAGCGAAAGAGTGGAAGTTTTCTTTTCAGCGACCACAGGCGCTTTACATGGCCCTGGCTGAGGAGTATTACACCAACTATCTGCGAAGCACAGCTGTAAAAAACACAACAAACAACGGAGCGAGACATAATTAATAATACAAACCAAGAGAAATACACAAATAAACACACTTCATAATGCGACTACAACCATTTAACATTCACAACATCTGCTCTCTCTTTCTCACAGCACATTTTTGTTTATATGGATATTGAAAGCGGTGGAGAGACATTTGGCAGGCTGTTGTTTGAGGTAAGGATATCCTCTGCTTCCTGATGAAGTGAAAATGTATTTCCGTGCCATTATTCTCTACTCTGAAAGTTTCAAATGTTACCTGCCAGCTGTTCTCAGACGTGTGTCCAAAGACGTGCAGGAACTTCAAGGCCCTGTGCACCGGAGAGGCAGGTTTGTCCAAGAGTAACCTTGAGTTGAGCTACAAGGCCTCAATTTTCCATAGAGTTGTGCCAAATGGCTGGCTGCAGGGTGGAGGTAAGAAGCAGTAATACATTTACACATTTATGATAATTTAATACAATTAATCATAAATGTGAAAATGTTTATGTTTTCAATTACAGATATTTCACCTGAAAGGAAAGGCACTGGGGGAGAATCTATCTATGGTCCAACATTTGAGGGTATATGCTTATTAGCAAATTTATGTGGCACACAAATTCTGTAATTCACACTTTAACACAATATTTGCTTAAATGTGTTATAGGCCACATATTGATTCATGCATATAAAAAGCACTAGGCTGTTTTCTCTTCTAGATGAGAGTTTTGTCATATCCCACAACAAACGTGGCATTCTGGGAATGGCTAACCAAGGTCCTCATAGCAACGGCTCTCAGTTTTATATCACACTACAGCCAGCGACCTGGATGGACTACAAATATGTGGCTTTTGGGTAATGACCCTATTAAATTGCATAAGTATGCAAGAAAGCCAAAGTTATGAACCTGTTTCTTGATATTTGGCTTTGCATTAAAGCAGACATCATACCCAGTTAAATACCTTTGCTATTTAACAAATCCAAAGTCTCCATCACAGCTTTTTCCCTCTTTCCCAGGCAACTCATTGAAGGCACTGCGGTTCTAAAGAGACTTGAGGCAGTGCCCACCTACAACGAACGGCCAAAACAGGACTGCAAAATAGCAGCATGTGGAATATTTGAGCCCTGAGTTTTCACATGTGGCCTATAGATCAAGAAAGGAATACAAAATGAGAAGCATTTGTAATGTATGTGGACAGGTGCACCATGTGTTAATAGCCGACGGTCCACCGACCCAATATTTTTGACATATTGCAAATGCCTATTTTTCTGCATACACATTCAACAAATAAATTGACCTAAAATTAAAAACCTCTCTTTATATGATTTAAATATTCAGTTTGTTTGACTTATTTCTGTGGTGCTTTTCTTCCTTTTCCCATGGCAACTAACCGCAGTTATTGCAAAAAAGCAGTGATCTGCAGTGACGTGCACATTATAAGCTTGGCGAAAGAGTCTGTTGAAGTGCTGCTGAGAAACAACCGTGTTGAGAGTGCATTGCTGTAAAACAGATTTATTTACTTGAGAGAGAGAAAGAGTCCCTGTCAGTCATGGACCCTGTCAATTAAACCTAAAAAGACAAAAATTAATGAAATATTCCAAAAAAGATCCAGCCACCAAGACCCACGTCATGGCTTTAAATTAGACAACATGCTCCTGCTCCTCAAACACACCCAGAACTATACTTACACTTAGTTAGCATAAATATTAGCAACACAAGAAATTTGATCAAAGCTGTCAATGACCTCAGAGATAAGGCAAAGAGAGCTTTTATGCTATTAAGTGAAATACCAAAATTGACATCCCAATCAGAATCTGGCTAGAAATAATCAAATCAGTAATATTTATTTCCTGTGACATCAGTAAAGTCACATCCACTAACCTCTTACATAGTGTTGGTCACACCACAAGGTGTCACTGTGGCCTCAAAGCTTCAGCACTGCCAATAAGCAATAAATGCAATAAATGTATAAATGAATATTGAACTCGGCGAAAATCTACGCGTTGCTATGGTACTGATAAACAAACCTGAATTCTTAACTTTTGTAAAATAAATTTTATAACGATAAGTTGTCATGTCAACTTTTTTTCATGATATTCTAACGTTGTTAGGGCAGTTAAATTATAGACATTGATTGACCCACTGACCACTATCACATTTTTTAGCCGATTAACGTCCTCAGCAACTTTTCTCACGCAGCAGCCTTCATATAAATATCTCCATAACCCTCATCAGAGAGATCATACAGAACTGACAGAATCAACCCTTCTAATCTCTCCGCCATTTATGTTCGACGTATTGCGCACTTTATGGAGCTGATTTCAACTGCCAGTGTGAAGGCGGCGTCACACTGCTGAACTTAAGTGTCACCGTCCTCCTCGAGCGTGTGTTTTAATGAGGACTCACCACCGCGCAGACTGACTTACCGACCAACCAAGACACTCACCATGACCACACCGTTTTCTCCCCCGCTGTACATGCAGAGATACCAGTTTGTTGTCGATTACGTGCAAACCTACCGACCTAGGAAGGTAAATAACGTTACATTTCAAACTTGCATTTTAAAGTTAAGTTGCCATGGCCGTTGACGCTTGTTTGAACTTGCGTGCTTATCAATAGTCTTTTTACATCTTCCTACATCGATTTGATCGCATTTCTGCGTCCGCAGGTCATCGATTTCGGGTGCGCTGAATGTCGCTTACTGAAAAAACTGAAGTTTCATCGCAACGGTATACAGTTACTTGTGGGAATTGATATCAACCGTGGCGTTCTCCTAAAAAGAATGTAAGTTTGGCATTTTGCCCGCGAACTAACGTTACTCTTGTTTGTGTAGTGTAACTTACGGCTTTAAAATGGAATTAGGGGCCTGCATGTACTTTGGGCCATCTCAAAGAAATCTGGCTTCCTGTGTTCATCCATCTTTTTTTCTTGTCAGGCATACATTGGCTCCACTTGTAAGTGACTACCTTCAGCCAAGCAACGGGCCTTTGACCATTGAGTTGTACCAAGGGTCTGTCACTGAGCGGGAGCCGTGCACCAGAGGATTTGATCTTGTGACATGTGTTGAGCTGTATGTTTGCCACATATCTTGTTTTTCAAGCATATAAACTAAACATTATTTGAAAATTGCATGTTCTACTTGAGTTTTTCAACTTGCTAACGTCTCTTACCGCTTTAAGAATCGAACATCTAGAGCTTGAGAAGGTGGAGAGCTTTTCAGAGGTGGTGTTTGGGTACATGGCACCAGGTGCCGTGATAGTCAGCACACCCAATGCAGATTTCAACCCTCTGTTACCGGGCCTGAAAGGCTTCAGAGACTGCGATCACAAATTCGAATGGACTAGAGATGAGTTTCAGACTTGGTAAGGAAATGTTCAGTATCTAGTGTAAACATTTTCCAGTGTTGATTTAAGATCCGATTTAAGGATCAATTTTAAACTTTTTTTTATCTTAAAGGGTTAGTTCACCCAAAAATTAAATTATCCCATAATTTACTCACCCTCAAGCCATTCTAGGTGTACAGCTTTTTTCTTTTAGACAAACAATAATCGGGAGTACTAAAAGAAATATATCCTGGCTCTTCCAATGGGAGTGAATGGTACCATTGTTTTTGAAGCTCCAAAAAGCACACCCATCAATCATAAAAGTAATCCATATGGCTCCATGGGGTTAATAAAGGCCTTGTGAAGCAAAGCAATGCATTTTTGTAAGAAAAATATCCATATTTCTAGCTTTATAAACTATAATCACTGGTTTAGTTCTGGCGGAAGAGTGACCTCTGATCCAATGCAGGATGAGTAAATTATTGGATTATATTCATTTTGATATAAACTAACCCTTTTAAAATAAATGTCCCTCAGGGCTCACAGAGTGTGTAGAGAATATGGTTACTCCGTGCAGTTCACTGGAGTTGGAGAAGCTCTTGGCCACTGGAGAGATGTGGGATTCTGCACACAGATCGGTGTGTTCCAGAGGAATTTTGATGGGATAAATTGGCCCATGAGCAATGCTGAACGCTTGGAACCTTCAGTGTACAAACTGGTGAGAAATTTGTAAAGCTGTTGCACCTCTATTGTTTAAATGAATGGTATGGTACTTTCTAAATCATCATTGTATAACTTGCACTAAAGCAGTCACAGTTTATTCTAAGCGCTGAAATGCGCTTGATTTCTTTTTTTTTTATCACAATTAGGCAAAAAAACATTGATCACACATTTTTTATCAAAATAACAACTTGATCTTCTGGTGGTACAACAGACTTTCTCTGATGACATGCCAGACCTCTCCAATTATTTAGTCAGTTTAAACCCGCCCCTTTTGGACTGGAAACTTGCATTCAAATCTTCCTCTATCCAATCAGCAACTCCTGCATTTTTTGATAACCTGTTTCACTCGGATGTGTCACAATACAGAAGAAAAGATCTGCCGCTACTTCTGTTAACTTGCATCCCGAATTTAATATTTTAAATTTTCGGGTTCAGAAGGATGTGGAGAGCCATAGGTGCTACACACAACATGGTCATAAACATCATAAAATCTGGCAAATTTAATCTTTTTGACAAGAGATTCTGAATGTTCCGTATACTTTCACAGTAAAAAAACGACTCTCACTCTCATCCCAGCATAAAATGGAAGTTTGGGTTTAAACAAACTAAATTATTAAAGTCTGGCATATGCCACAGAAGATCGAGTTATGACATTTGTTTAAATTAAAAATGCGAATGAACCATTTGCATTGCAATAAGATCAAAAACATTGCATTTCATGGCAACTTTAAAGCTCACAGGTTTAAGCTAAAAAAAAGTTATTTCTTGTTATTGCACTCACAACTCCTCTTTTTTGTTGTTCTTCATTAAGTTGTACAAGGTGGTGTATCCGAGCCTGTGTGATAACAACATCTACCAAAAGACTTTGGTTAATGAGGTCCTGTATGAGGCACAACACCTAAAACAGGAATGGCTTAGTAGGCTGAACATGGACTCCAACAACAATGCACATTTTTATGGTCCTCCACTTATGGAAACTATGCAGCACGAGGATGCATGTGGGTGGCAGCCTGTCTACCAGCAGGACCGCATCATTTGCGTGCCCTTGACGCGTGTGTGGTTCAGCCCCAAAGTGAGAGCGCTGTGCGGGAGCGTGCAGCGTCTCAGGGAGGACCTGCTTGAGGAGGAGAGGGTGAGGATGAGCGCTGACGGAATGGTGCTAAACCTGCCTGCCGAAGATGAGGAAGAGGTAGAGGAAGAAGAAGAAGAAGAGGAGGAGGATGTGAAAACAGTATCAGGTGTATCAAACAGTGTGCAGGAGGACTGGGATCGGGAGCTTGGGGGTTACGAAGGTGTATAACAGATCCGGAAAGCTACGTAACCAAAATGTAAAAAAAAAGAAAGCTGCACTTGATGTTTGTTCTGTCAAAAACATATTTGAAGGACATGGCTGAAACTGTTATCGATTGGAAATGTTCTTGAAAAGAAAACCATTAAAAATGCAAATGTGTGACGCCTTCATTGGAATGTGGTTTTATTTAACAGTGTGTGGTACATACCTTACCAGCATCATAACAGAACACATGGCATGGAAGCCACTATTGGTCAAAAGTTGGAACACAACATTGCAAGACATTTAAAAAGCAATGTCACCTTTAAACATCAGACACAGTACAATTACGAGGACCAAAACTTCACAGAAGAGATAAAGCCACCATGTTTTTACAACATGTAAAGTACCAGGACCTACTTACAGGTTATGTAAGAGAATTAGGGAAGAAAAATGACAGTAAAGTCTTACAATATCATTATCACTAAAGATCAAATACATAAAAATAGACTTAATTTTGGCAGTAGATCAATTAAAAAATAAAGTTCCAAGTAACTCATATTACTGAGCGTCTGCTGAAAAGTAAAAGGCCAACGTATCGCAGAATAATAACCTCTAAATGGATATTCGCAAACATTCGTCATAGAGCCCTTAAAGGGACACCTTGATGGAAAAAGTACGAGATGCAGAAGAAACTTTGCTTTCGCTCGTAAAACTTTTGAGTTTTTTGCAAGTGACCGCAAAATTTCTTTTAGCGAAAGAACACAAAAGCACTGAAATAGAATATTCTCTCCATCACAGTCTCTCTTCAGGGGCTCCGTACATTTGCAGTGTGGTGCTTTGATATTTGTGCAGTAATAGTAAAAGGAAATAATAAACCTGAGATGTGTGGCCGAGTTGAATCCAAGCTTCCTGTCAGTATATTTTTAGTGTTCGGATCTCAGCGGGCCTAGCAAAGACTACAAAAAAAAAAATGCTTCGGACACGTTGAGTTGGTGTGACACCCATGCATTTCTACAATATAACTCTAGACAATATGATATAATCATAATCAAGTGCTACAAATAGATTGTACACACTCAGCTGATAATCCCCACACACACTTAAATTTCAGAGGCAAGTAAGTTTACATTTATAAAACGGTAAATGGCTTTTGAGAAGATATGGGAATACGGTCACATTAAACGAGAAGCACTAACTTATGCTTCTGATATGCCATATAGCTGATCGTACAGACAGAGATACAATGAAAAGTAGTCATTAAAATACCTTCATTTTAATGATACATCAAATATAACTACAAAAACATGGATAAAAAGGTGTTTTTGTAGTGTTCTAGATAGGATTAGAAGAGCTACACGCCGCTTGAGAGCCCTGTGCTAAACATTTCAAGCATTGCTGACATGGTTAAATGCTTCATTCTGTGCTGCTATGTTACTAAGTGTAGCTTGAGAACAGCTTGGCTCATTTTGTCCTTGTGTGAAAGCGTGATATAGTTAGGTGATGTCATTAACTGTCATAGACTGCTGCCAGAGAAGTACTTTTCAGATATTCACCTGCCCAGATTTGAAGTAGCTAATGTGTCTATAAACTGAACTGTGAAATGACTTAGTCCAATTTAAAGTATGCAGTAGAAGTTGAATCTACATGAAAAGTCATTTTCAGCTACAAATAAAGAATAACACATTTAATGTGTATAAGTTAAATTGCTCAAAAGCTCAGCCTCAAAACTCCCTACAATGTTGGCGATACATGTAAGTTCATGTAAAGTCCTTTAATTTAAAGTGCTACTGAATTGCAAATTTTTTTCAAGTCTGAAAACGGCTCCATCTGTTCAACGCATCACGACTTCTCACACGCAAAAAGTGAGACGCGGGTGGGTGAGGACGGTTTGATTTCCATTCGTACAGTAATGAAATGACAACAAAAAAATGAGTGAAGAGGTCACCTTCATCTTCAGACATATAGATGTATATGTAATGATGTATATAATCCACCAAATGTTTCTGACAGACCCCTTAAAATAGTTCAAACATGTAAACATGGTAAAAATAAACGTATCTCACTAAAATAACAATATGAAATATACGTGTTTTTTTAAATCAGCGAGGAAAATATAGGGCAAATGCAGACATATTATAAGACAAAATTTACCTCACAGTGAAACACAAGACACCAAATGGCAGCCTCATACCTAGGAGCTGTCAGTTCATTATGTAGCCAGCAGAGGACACTGTTTCATCGAAAGACTGAAACAAGTTTCAACACTGCTAATGTGAGAGACGACAAACATGTCTGAATCTCTTCGTCCCTTTCTCCTCCCACGAAACAGACTTTGGTTTTTGACACTTCTCCTTCTAGCATCTCCCAACTCTAGCGTTTAATCACCACCTGTTCGTAAGCACCGGCTCCAACCCTGAAAAGAGAAGAAATCAGCAGTCACAAACAAATCGGTAAATCCACTGATTTACACTTTTTTCAAAGGTGCCCTAAGCAATGTTGGGTGACGTCACTTCTTGTTGACGTTCGAAGTATTATCAAACAAACCCTCCCTCCACCTCATCCCGTCCAGTTTTACTGATACTTCATTCTAGGTGTAATGTCGCCAAGCTACATAGAGAAACTTACCTGGCAGGAAGGTGGTGGCTACCAAGTGCTGTGCTCCCACCAGGACCCACAAACAAGCGCAGACCTTCCTCTGAAACACACACACACTTGAATCAGATATCGCCTCCATTCCGCACACACAAAGTCACGACTTCTCTGGGTCCAAATCGATCCAATTCTAATGAGAACCTGTTGGCAGGTCATCTAAAAAAGAATGCGAAACCTAATACAGTAGGACACACATATAAAGACGGGCTCTGGCAGAGATACACACAGCAGCTACCGGTAAACACTGCTACCAATTAAACATCCTGTTTCTAGCTCTGCGTTTTCTATTTCTGTTTGCACTTGATCCAAGTTTGCTCTGATACCACTCCATCTCAAGCATGACAAATAAATGGGCCAAAACTAGATTTCATGTCAGCCAGAATTCGCCATGTTACACAGTGTTAATAGACTATCAGCAATCAGAATGAAATAAAGATTGAATTTATGCAATATTATTGGACAGGCAACAATCAAAAATACGAATGTTTAGTAACAATTAATGAGAGATTAACTTGAATCTCATGAAACAAATGATGTAAACAAATAATGGTACAATATAAAATTTGATTTATAATAAAACATTTTATTTATATAGCACATTTTCAGTGCTCCAGGATGCTTAAGCAGTCAGAATAAAATAAAGATGTAATTTATGAAATATTATAAATACAGTCACCAAAGTATGAAATGTTTAGTAATAACTAATGAGAGAATGAATCTGATGAAACATTGCAAATTATATAAACACAATATAAAACTACTATTTATTGCAATTTATTATAAGCAGACAATGCAGCATAATCAAAGTTTATTGTAATATAATAGTAATGTATAAGTTGTTTGAGATTGTAGGGAAATTGATTACATACTCTGATGGAAGTCAGTGAAAAGAGGTGCTTAACCTTCATAAATTCAAACTCAAGGTCAAACTAAATATTATCTGAGCTGTTTTATTTTTTATTTATTTCATATTAGGTATACTATTTACATCACACAATACTGTTCAAAGTTTTTTTTTAATAATTTAAAAGTCTCTTAAGCTCACCCAGGCTGAATTGTATGATATCAAATATACAGTAATAACAATAATATTGTGAAATATTATTACAATTTAAAATGAAATTTGATTTATTTTCATTAATCAAAGCTGATTTTTCAGCATCATTTCTCCAGTCTTTAGTTTTACTTTAGAAATCTTCTAATATGATTCTAATCAACATTGATCAACATGTTTTAACTGATTAATATTTTTATGACGATTTTTTCAGTATTCTTTCATGAATAAAAAAGCATTTATTTGTAATATAAACATTAAAAATGTTTTTTACATTATACAATGTCATTTAGTGCCTCTCACATACTCTGATGGAAATTTGCTGGTAATACCTTCAGGGATGTCTTCAAATAAACATGAAGAAGCCATTTTTACCTTCAGCGCTGGAGTCTAGCATACTGTGGGTGAAATCCTGGCTTTGCAGGATCTTCTCTACTACATCATCAGCATCCACCCGTGTGGCATCCACCCTTTTCAGCTGAGACTCCATGGAGTCCTGTTTCACTGGGTACCTTTGTACATATGAGAAAAATAACCTAAATTGATTTCATATCCTGCATCTAAAGCTTGATGAATATTGAGCAGGAAGAGGTAGCAGTGTCTGTCTGACCTGCTGGCAGCCCTGTCAGGCGTTGATGGGTGTTCAGGCACAGCAGCACAGACTGTAGGTGGCGCTGTAGTTTGGTCATTCTCCTCACTGGGCTCAGGGATGCTGGCAATGCCAGTGGAAGCACTGCCGATCGAAGTGTTTCTCCTGTGGGAGAACTCCGAGAGACTGGAGGAACGCGAGTGACTTGTACTATAGCCTAAGAGAACATGACAGCATTATTTTAACATTGAAATTCAGTTAAAAAAAAAAGGGCAGAGATATTTTGACATAATTTTGAGTGTATTTGTCCATTCAAGCGCAAAAACACACAAAAAAGAACTCGATTCAGTTTTCGTACACAATATGGGAGGCGGCATTTTGTGTGTGTTCACACAAACAGCGCTCTAGTGCCGAATTGAGTGCTCTTTCGCATCATCTTGCGCTTTAATTGTTTAAATCACATTAAAATGCACACACAGAAATGAATAAGCGGAATCAAAAATTGCCCTACTGATGACTTCTGTTTGCTTTGTGGGACTTAACAAAACTAACTCTACACTTTGAGAATACAAAAAGTCGATGTGAGGAATGTGTAACTGAATCTAAGAGAATAGCTTAATGAAATAAGGACTGAGTGCTGTCACTGAGTGCTATCAAATTAGATCTGGGACATTTAATCCAGCCATTTTGCGATGGCACAGAATCTTTCTAAGAGCCCAGGTACATATTATTTAATAAAGCAAATAGCACTTTCCACAAATTGAAAACAAAAAAGGGCCTTAAAATGTCTTGTATAGCAAAATGGTCAGTGAAAGGAGGTGCTTAAATTGTTAATTGTTCAAACTCAAAAGGTCAAAATAATGAGACACCAAAAAGTACCCTATTTGTGGAAAGTACAACCTAACTAAATATAATGTAGACACACACTTTCTTTCTTTCTTATATGTGCACACACATATCTTCACTCCATCACACAGAACAGAATCACATGACATGCAGCCTACATGCAAAATACAAAATTGATGATGTTGATTGACAGCCTGATTTTACAGCCAGGGTAGCAGACAATACAATTAATTCAAGACGAGCAAGACAGCAGTCACATTGACACATCGCCAATTAGTGATCAGAGAGAAAACAGTGGAAAAGGAAAGCCTACCTGATACTTTGGACTGCTGACTAGCATAACTGGACGTTCGAGAGTGTCCGCACAGCCCCAGTTCTTCAGGCAGAGAGCCACACTTCCCTGATGTCTCTGTGGACATAAGGGATTCAGTTCAGTACTAATTAATCCTGCTCAGTTGCTTTACGGTATTCAATGCCAATTTAACCTGTTCTTCTCCTATTTTTTAACCTTATAGTAGATCATATATCTGATGTAGCCATGTACTTGTCCATTGAGAGCATTTAGTATGATTTGGCTATTTAAATTAGGGCTGTTGATTAGAAAATCAACATTCTCAAAATAAAACTTCTCGAAATCGATTAGTGGAAATCCAATATAACTAGACTGATTTAGGGTCATGTCCACCAGACATATAAGGGATATATAAATGGCAAACATGGCTCAATTTCAATAAATATATTTTTATTTAATACATAAATATATGTACTCAATACATACAACCTTTTTGCCACTAAAGAAAAAGTATTATGGATATTAATTGCTCAGCAAAATTCAAAATTGGTTAAAAAAGTTTATGATGATTGTAGCCTTTAAAATTGCAAGCACACGGTTTTATTTCCTGTTTTAGCATATTTCCTATTAATGGCATGACACATTTTTAAATAATCCTTGTTTACATCAAACCTATGAAACATGATTTGCTACTAGAGCAGGTGGTGTATTAGAAGGAGGGAATTTCTTATTATATTAAGCATTTTATTGGCTAGAAATTTGCATATGCACAGAATAATAATCATTTTCATTAATATTTTTTGGTCCCGGATATTTATTTTATTTGATTGTACATTTTAAGTACGCTAGCATCAGTGTCTTAAACTATTAAACATAATTTAAATTAATATTAAATAAAAATAAATCATAAATATTGGATTATACTTACAAACAAAAATATTAAATGTTGCATTTGATTAGGTTTTACTAATAAAATAAGTTTAAGTTCAAGTACTAAAATTATTAAAACTGTTAAGCATTTTATTGGCTAGAAATTTGCATATGCACATAATAGTAATAATAATATTCATTTTCATTAATCATTTTTGCCATTAATGTTTTGGTCCTGGATATTTATTCGTTTTATTTTATTGTAAATTTTAAGTACCCAAGCATCAGTGTCTTAAACTATTAAAAATAATTGGAATACATATTAAATAAATTATAAATATTAGATTATACTTACAAACAAAAAAGTACTACAATAACTAAAACTGTTGACAAATTTAACAAATGACAAAAGCAACAAAAAAAAAAGTTTTTTTTCTTCCAAAAACTAAAGTTGAAACATAAAATAAGAGAAAATCCAAGTAAAAGCGCATTCAAAATATTAATAAATAACAATAGTACATAAAAAACATTGGCAACATATGCACAGCCTTAAAGGTTTAAGCAATGCTTTTATTGCTTATTTCTGCTCATTGCCAAAAAGTGCCCCCTAAAAGTGAAAACAGGGAAGCGTTCTCATAAATGATGTAAAATTCTGTCAATGGCGTGATAGAATTAATAGCTACAAAACTCTAAAATATTAAAGCTGTAAACCAATTAAATCGTTGCTCTCATTGACTTGGTTTTTCGAAGACTAGAGACCATCTTGACCAATCTCTAAATGAGTCTTCTCCACAAACCCCTTTCAAAAGAGTAGCATTTCTCTGCCAAAATCACAGGCCAAATCATATTTAACTCTTCAACATGTTCCTCTGAACAAATGGGGATACTGATTAATTCATCAATCGCCTCGACAGCAAGCCACTTTTGGCATCGTGTCTTGTATTCCATTAAAATTTCAGATTAAACACTATGAATATTCGTACGGCTTTAATATTGTTCGGTGATCGCAACTCAAAATCACTACAGAAGAGGCACTTGGAAGCTAATCATGTTTTATGAATTGTAAGCCTGCTCTTCATCATAAGCATTCAGTCATAGTGAATCACTATGAAACAGAGTTAAGAGTCAACAGCAGCACATGGCTAAATTATACATTAAAGACTAAAGCTTTCACCAGCCTCTGGACAGAAAAGGCACACAGCATGTATGAGGGAAAAGAAAGGATAAAAGAGAGAGTAGGGGAGAGAGAGCACTCTTTCAAGCTCCTGTTAGTTCAGCTACATCAAATCAAACATACAGTCTTGTTCTTTACTACAGGACTGAATGCAGAAGCTTTGATTTGGACAGTTGATTAGAGCAACCAACATAATGCAAACATAAAAATTAAGAAATGCATACACATTTAAGCACATGTAATGGACAAATGTTTAAAACATAAAAAACAAGGTCTGTGTGTGGAGCTGCTATCATTCCGATTCATTGATTGCAAACCGTGACCAGTGCATTTTGTGTTAAGTTTACCTGAGAGGCTCAGAAAAGGTTTCTGTGTGTCTCCTCCTTTCCTGTCTTCCAGCAGGCTCTCGGCATCACCTTGAATGCCTATCACCATGGCGGTGGACGGAGGCCTAATACATGGAGAACCCGCATTCAACAACATGGTTTAAAAGCAACCCCCAGAATCCCTGAACCTCATACTCTCTCCACGCTTTAACCCACACAAATCTTTTTAGCAGGTTTTTGCTTTCACACACACAGTGTGAGCTACAGTGTGTGTGTGTGTGTGTACATGTGTGGGTGGACAGTGTTGGTTTCCAGTATTCAAATCTGTGCTCGAAGCTCTGACTTCCCCAGAGTGCAAATTAACACTCCTTCCCAACACACCATTTCTGAGAAAATACTATTATAGCAACTTCAAATGTTTAACAGGAAAAGGTCTCGGAAGGTATTTAACTTAATCTAAATTTAAAAATGCAGATGGGATGGCATAGAGATAGAAGCCCTTTTCACAACCAAACTTCAATACTGAATCATAACACATTCACAACACACTCACGTTTTGAAGCAGGGGTCCCCAGACATCAGCTGTGTGCTAATAATCACCTGCAGGCAAAGACAAATGACAAAAAATAAGAAACTGGGTGTGTGTATGACATTTAACATTTCATTTTTGGCCCTTACAGAAACTAACTAACTAAATAATGTTTGGATGGTTTCCAGGATGCTGCAAGGCAGTTCCTGTGTTTATTGGAGTGTTTATTAGAGCATTGCTATGCGATTGCTAGGGTGTTCTCTGAATGGTGGTTACTTCTTTTCACCAGTTTTATCATCTGTCAGGTAAAATTCTAGGTTGAATTTTTTTCGTACGGTTTAATAAACCCCAAGCAAATTTTTGGGTTGTACTGCTCAGAATAAACCTTAACCTCTAAAAGCAAAAGCGATTTTGCTTTCTCATCCAAACATCCAAATGACGACAACACTTCAATTCACTGAAACCTGTCCTACTTTCTTTGCACATTCCTTTGGGGAAGTTGTATCTGGACTTTGATCAAGGGTTTTTAGGCAAGTCTGAATCAGTGTTCTCTGTTATAAATATATCTCTGCTATATTCTCAGAATAAATCATTTTGTGGGAGAATATGAGCTTTGTAACTTCGCAGAACGTGCACAAAGAAAGACATTACACTCTAAAAGAAAAAATTAAAAAAGCATATAACCCCTTTAAGATAGTATGATTGAAGATATACTCATCTAAGATGAGGAGTTTGTAATACTAATTAGTGACCAATAGCACCACTAAGAACCACTAACTTATAACTCAAGTTACATAAATCAAGACTTAATGCATCAATGGAGTTTCGCTGAGAGGAAAGATCCTGAGAGGAAGTCTGAGCCTTTCTATACCTTAAGAATGGAGTTGTCTTGTCTAGTGTTTTTGGTGTCATAACCCTCCAGCAGACACCTGCGTGTGGTGCTACCCGATCCCGCAAACTCCGCCAGGTTGAGATCAGCAAAACCCAGCTATACAGAGAGACAAAGCAAAACACATTCAGGAAAGAAATTCAGTTTAATCTTGCTTTTTGCAATAGAATAATTATTAAAAATAAAAGGCAATGGAGCTTTTGAATAAAAAGCTAAATAAAAAGGTTAATGCCTTTATGAAGAGAAGTGTCCTGCTCATACACAAACAGAAGCGCATACAAACACAATGTTCCAGGGTGATCTATTTTTAGCAGCTACTTTGCTATCAATATTTTATAATCCTCTCAGAACAGTCTACTTGATGAATTACCAATGCCCTGTGTTAGCATCCATTTATAAAAGGTACATTTTTAGATTTTAACATGATTTTAGCTATATGAAGCAATTTATAAGGAAATATTTATATTTTAGATTAATTTTTGTTCACCCATTTTAGCATTTTTGTAGTTGATTTAAACTATCATTATGTGTAATAATTACAAAATAATTTGAAAATACGTTTTAGATTACTTACAGCATGTCAAACATTGCACATCATGTCAGCTACCCAAATATAAATAGTGTTGGTATGTTTAATAAAAAAAATAAAAATAAATTACCTTTGCATAAGTCTTTCCACCTTTTAGTTCCTGTTACATAAATAAAAATCAAATCATTCTCAGTATTTCAACTCCAAACTGTTTATGGCTAACCAATAGTGTGCAGGAGTGTGTTTGTACCTTTCTGACTGAAACTCTACACACACAGGGGTCAAGGACTCCGGTTCCAGCATTTGCACTCATTTTACAGGGAAAGGAGAATCTTTTTCTCCAGCGTACACAGTTTGCCTGGACAGTCTCCCTGTAAAACGCAAACACACATCGGGTTGTTAATGCAAGGTGTCACTGTAAAGAACACAGCATTGGCTCAAGGCTTTAAAACAAACAAAATTTCAAATGATGATGAATAAATAATCTTATTTTTTGTCATTCAGAACAGCGTGAACCCTATCTCACACTATCTGATCTGCATTTGCAAAATCCAACACGGGTGGACAGTTCATGCAGCATTGCTCCTCGGGGAGATTGTGAAATGATTTCACAACAGAATGAGTCACATAATCCAGCCCCAATTCAATAGAATGATTTTAATATTCACTTCAAGTCGACTGCATTAAAAGAGTCTGACTCACGTTCTGAGATTAATTAGAGACTGGAGTCACAAGGCCTTACTGACAACAAGAAGTTTAATTAATTTCCAATCTGAAAACGGACCTCCATGTGCAGGAGTGTTCTGCTTCCTAATTAGACAGATGTTTGCAGGCAGGGCAGACGAGCGAGACCCAGAGGGCTTTTGGAGAGATACGAGTCTATGAAATGAACTTCAGGGAAATTGTGATGCTATTAAACACACGTATGAGAGTGATGTGAATTTAAAGGGATATTCCACTTTTTTTGGAAATAGGCTCATTTTACAACTCCCCCAGAGTTAAACAGTCGAGTTTTACTGTTTTCGAATCCATTCAGCCGATTTTCTGATTTTTAGAAGAATATCAGTAACCAGACAGTTTCTGCTCTTATTGACTTCCATAGTATATTTTTTTCCTACAATGGAAGTCAATGAGACCAGAAACTGTCTGGTTACTGATATTCTTCTAAATATCAGAAAATCAGCTCAGTGGATTCGAAAATGGTAAAACTCGACTGTTTAACTCTGGGGGAGTTGTAAAATGAGCCTATTTCCAAAAAATACATGTTTTGTCATTTTCTGATTTATTAAAAAAGTATTTTGACTTTTTTTAATGAAGAAAAAACCCTAGCCCAAAACATGACCCTTAAGAGTTTATTGAGGGAAAACTTCTAGTTAATAGTGAAATATATATATATATATATATATATATATATATATATATATATATATAAGATAAAAACAAAACACAAAAATTCCACACCACATCCTCCCCTTAACATCCTCATATTCTAACATTTCATAACGGTCCACAACGATGTCTATGGGAAAATAACACATACTGTAATTGGGCACTTCCCATCCAGCTGGAGAGATTCCCTACCATAAGGCTCAAGCTTAGTACTGATTGAGTCATTGGGTGAAACCACAGCTGGATGAAACCCTCAACTCTGATTCTCTCACGAAGGCAGCAGAGGCCAATGACTTCTCTAAACAACTGGCAATACTATCCTCCCAAGTCCCAACAAGAAATGATTTTCCTTCTACTAAACATGGGCAGTATCTAAGGAAATAAACAGTGTGAGAGTACTAACAACAATTCAAATTACACATGTAAGAATAATTCATAATGGCTGTAATGCTCAAAATATCACACTTTTTATTCCCAATAGATGGGCAGAGGGAAATTGTTAAGAAAAAGGACTTAGCCAGCACTGAAAACCATGGACGAAGAGTACGTTTACACGACAATGAAGTTCCCTTTACGTTTATTTTTTGCGTACAGACAACTAAAAACGAAAAAATACGAAAACAACTAAAAACACGGTATTAGCCTATACATAACAGGCCAGTAGTTGACAATGTCACTTTGCAAAGAAACACTAAACACCTGTGCACATACGCAAGTCTAAAGACTGAACGTGTGACATCGGTTTTCACAAATTCTCGTTTTTGTAGTTTACACAGAAACAATGAATCCCGTTTTCGAAAGTTTGCATTTTCAAGCCCCCCAAATGCCTGATTGCCGTTGTTGTGTAAATGAATGACCAAATTGCATAAAAGGTATCCCATTTTTAGTTGTTGTGTAAACAGCCCCTAAGGCTCTACGGATCTTTGCATGACCCTGTAAACAACAACCTGCATTTCACTTTTATAAATTGGGCTCTTGACATGCACACTTAAAAAAAAAAAAAAAAAAAAAAATTACAAGTTAAAATCAATGCAAAATCAGTTTAGCAAAGCCATTTTCCTCTGTAATAAGACATATGAGCGAAATAGGACACTAATATGCCATCAAATTATATTACATTTAGATTTCATGTTGATTTTAACTGTTATTACTCCCAGTCCAAAGTGCTGCTTTGCTGCCTCTTCTCGCCAACATAAAAGGTGTCAGGCACTGCAAACTTATAATAAAGGGAGGATATGATAATGTCAGGTAATATGACTCCTTTCCTAACCAATATGATTATAACCAAATTACTGGCAGTGAGACTATAAAAGAAGAACTGCAGACTCATAAATCAGACATCCAACCCGGCCAAGTCCAGAGCTCCAATCGATACAGGATGCTCCATATTTGTAATAACAACACCTGCAGGTCAACTTAGACTTTTGCTTTCCAGCATCACAAAACGAATCGTGCTTAGCCTCTGACTCTCTGCTATATAATAGACACCATTGGTGGCACACAGAGCTTACTGGAACAATTCAGCATCACAATGACTCATTACAACCAACACTACAAAGCACTAATGATGTGGAAACACAAAGAACATAATAAATGTAGTACCATTAGGTGCTAATGCCACGCATTAATAGCACAAATGAAAACAATTCTTCCTGGAAATACTTTATGGTACAATACTTTTTTTCCCATTGGTCCATTAGACACAATTATGAATGTGCTAGAGTCATTAGCATCACTCCTCTCATGGGAAAACAAACTGATGATCTCATTTACAGGCTTGATTATGCCAAAATGTGCAAAAAGCCTAATATTGTAATACAGAACCATAACCATGACAAGCCTCTGGTCTGATTTCCGTATTTAGAATATATGCCGTTGCCATGGCAAAGCCAGTTGAACCAATGAGAGCAGGAGTGCGTTGGTTCTGTGTGCTTCTTCCTTGGGTTCTCCCAAAGGATGTCTGCAATGAAACAGGAGTTCTTCCAAAGGATCACCACAGGCAGATGGAGGCACACTCAAGCCTCTAAAAGGAGAATAAACTCACGAAACCTCAAGACACTCCCTGCAAACTGCAGTTGAAAAGAGAAGCACTGGTGCAGCCCAAGCTACGTCTAAACTGCTAGGGTGTTAGTCTACAACTCTCTTTCTGTATGGATGAATACGCTACTTGCTTATGTATTGTGGGAGAGACGCTTTGAGGAGAATTTGTCATGGTGAAGTTTGACAGCCCACTGTCACTGCCTGACACGTTAATATTTAACTGTGGGAAGCCTTTGTATTGTGGATCTCCAAAAGCGAGTGAATGACAAACGTTACAGCAGAACACAGAAAAACTGAGAGGGAAAACACAGCTGATTTTGTCCAAATGTTTTTTTAAGGGATCAATTCATTTTATCCATTTTATTGATTTATTGGATATTGCACATCTTCATTAGTGCACAAGTCTATATAATAAATCTAACACATTGTGCAAAAATAGCTTCAACTAATGAATAATAATAAAAAGTATTGACAGGTAATTTTTTTGTTGATAGGCTTGTGGTTTGGTAGTTTATTTATTTATTTGAATAAATAAACTACCAAACCACAAGCCTATCAACAAAAAAATTACCTGTCAATACTTTTTATTATTATTAATTAGTTGTTGCAGTCTTTTTTTCTCTTAGCTGGATGCTAATGCAGAACTGTTCAATGTCACAGGGACTTAAAACATGTTTTTGTCTGTCTGAAACAAATCATAAAGAAGTAAACAGGGACAGAAACATGAGTGACACAATATTCCTAAAGCTCAAACATGGTGCTAGCAACACCAAGATCAAGGGTTTGATTATTAGGGAACGAGTGAACTGATCAAATGTATATTTAAATCTACAGAGGTTGGACAATGAAACTGAAACTCATGGTTTTAGACCACAGTAATTTATCAGTATTGTGTAGAGTCTCTTTTCGCAGCAAATCCAGAATCAATTTGTCTTGCAATGACAGATACAAGTTCTTCACTGTGGCCATAGGGATCCCTCTTCCAGAACAGTTGTCAGGTCATCAATGCCATGATATTGCAGTCAAAACTGATCCACCCCTGTGCTTCACTCTTGGCTATATCAGCCCTAGCATGAATATTAACACTGTGGGTGTGAAGCTCCCGGCGAACAATTTTGGTGAACAGGAGAGTCGAGGTGCTCATTTAGTTCTGCATTAAGTTGGGTTAATATTTTTAAATACAATCCAGGTTAGTACCTGGACATCCCTTTCAGACAGCTTTCCTCTTGTTATTCCTCTTGGACGTAGTTTGTCACGTAGCTATATCAGTATGCTGACATTACTCTGGACACCATAGCTCTAGATACACCACAAAGACTTGCTGTCCTGGTCACAGAAGAGCCGGTAAGATGAGCACCAAAAATTTGTCCTCTTTTGAACTCTGATGTGTCTCCTATTATTTTGTGTGGATTGCAATATTTTATGTAAATCTGTGCTGTTGCTCTGCGGATTTAACCTTCACACACTACTCTTACTGACGAAATTGTAATCAGTGAAGATTGGCCATCAGGCCACACATGTATAGGCGTGAAACCCCCAACACTATATTGGCCAGTGTTTCACTTTCATTGCCCAACCCCTGTATAAGCTCTGGATAAAATAATCTTTATGCTAAATGCATGAATAAATTAAACATAACACTGGATGGTCCAGAACTTGACTGTCTCATTTACAACTACATGATATTCATTGTGCAGAAATGATCTGTAACAGTAACAGTTCTCTTTGCTGCTCTACATTTAAACCTGTGATGCATTAACATGCTGCATGGAGGTCAACCTGTGTGCTGGTCTGAGAAAAGAACAGCTCGTTCACACATCAAACACACACACACACACACACACACACACATACAGTTTTAATGCGTGGCCTGAAGTGACTCGGCTCAAGAAGTACAAACAGCATACACAAAAAGCACAAACAGCATACAGGATGCAGTTGATTGATAAAAGTTAAAAATATTAAAAAACAGCAAGTAAACTCAGACCAATTTTTTTGGTTCTCCTGACAAAAGAAATATTTTGCCAGTAGGTTAAAGTGACTTAACTCACTGGCAATGGCTTTAACCAGTGGGTTAAAGTGACTTAACCCACTGACTTTAGCTCAGGAAGTATTATTTTTCAACTGTCAGTGTCAGTGACATCTTCATATTCAGATTGATCAAATGCAAAAGCAGTGGACTTTCTTGAGATTATTTTTATCGATGCCCTCTGCCATACTACTAACTAATTTACAGGATGTCAGCTTCCTAGAGCACTAGGCCATTTCCTCTTGAGTAAAACTTAAATCATGTAGCCTAGGTCATGGTGTAATAATTATTCATAAGCTATGACAGTTTAAAATTAATTTGTATATAAAAATACGACTTACATGCTGGTAAGGATTTAACAACTAAACTCTAGGTTTTTGACAATTAACAAATTGACGACATTAAATTCATTCATTTTGAGTTAATTCCACATAATATAGACATTATATGTAAATTAATCCTACACCAATCTAACATGACAAAATCAAATCTACAAAAACACAAAAGTGTTGACTTCAGTCTTGACATTTAACTGTATGATGACCTCTTACACACGAACGTAAACTAAGAATCTTTAGACACAGACCCTTCGTCCCCCAGCTCTGAATATGTAGTAAGTTACTATAACGTTATGTGCACTAATTTCTGATTCTCAATATGAATGAATAGCCTATATGTTTCGGTTATGCTTTATTAGAAAGCAATACAGACAGAAAACAGCCAAATATCACCTATTCCCATTATAATAACCATCTTCATTCCTCCATATAACCAAGTAAGTTACAACAGCCTCCTTACCGCGATGACTCCTCCGAGAAACCGCCGTCGAGCAGGCGGACTTTACAGAACAGAACTCCGTTCACGAACGGAACCGAAGACAGCTCGTCAAGCTCAAAATCCACTCTGAACTTAAACTTCTTTTTCTTCATCATCTTGACGTCGATTGCTACCAGTCCTGTTGCGCTCGATAGGACCTTTGGTCATACGCGGTGGAGGAGCATCACTTTTATTTGCTCATCTTTGGTTAACCTCTGTTGTTGGAGCTGATAGCCGTTAGCCACTAACGTTACGAATGTCTCTTTGCTGATGATGATGTTAGAAAGCTAAGCTAACGATAATAATATAGTCTTAACGAATTCTTCTGTCATACTACATCGTTAGAGTAAAAAATATATTACTGAAACAGATATGCAGCCTGTGCATGACGGACTGTTTCGCTCGGTAGAGGCTAGTGTTGTGCTGCTGTATTGTGTTGTCGTGTAGTAGTGGAAACACAGGCGACGCTTCTTAAAGGGCCAGTCAACTCTAAAGCTAGAGTGAAGCAGGGGGACAAAGGACAAATCATAGTTCAACCAGTTCACATCTTAAAATAATAATAAGGTTTTTTTATTGTATATAATATTGATAGTAGGCTACTACACAAACGGAGAAATCCTTAAAGTTCGCCTATTATAGATTTTTGAAAATGACATTTCACGTAAAGTTTTAAATCTGAAAGTTCATCGTATATAAAGTTATTGTCTTTCAAAAATAAGAGTCAATGAAATGAATATTTTTTTCAAATGAGTCATAAGCTGTGTCGTTGTGACGTCAAGGCGTTTCATTAGCATATTGTGTGTATATATGTATATATATATATATATATATATATATATATATATATATATATATATATATATATATAGCTGCTATTATTGGTTCCTGTCTTTTTGTTGCTGCTGTTGTTGTTGTTGTTGTTAAACAGCCTACAGTAAGCGGGTAGTGGTTCTACCGTTTGTAAATAATAAAATAAAAAATTACACCAGTGCCACCATCCTTCTCATACTATTTACTCTGGAGCTTGTTCTTTCAAATTGGAGCTATAGAGCTCTTGGTGCAGACCTTGTAAGTGTTTGGTTCATTTGGTCAACGTGAACGCAGTTCATTTCAGCTACTTGTGTGAGTTCTGTGGAAATGAAAGGGTGAACGTAAACTTCATCACTAAAAACTTCAGTAAGATGATTCTGAGTCTACCATAAACGGTCTATACACATACCCTCGCGCAATACTATGGCGCAACACTGACCACTAGTGGTTCATAGTAGTCTAACACCTGCAATTATCAGAAAAGAGTGAACTTTGTACTGCGTATTTGTATATAATCTTCTTCTGTATGACTTAACTCACACTAGGTGGCGCTGCAACACTTCGATTGTAATGTTTCTGCTCTAGCTAAACATTTTGGAACATAAAAAAGTGAAACTTCTATTAAACGCAACAATTGTTGAAATGTTTGATTCGCACTTATCAAACAAAACAAATAATATTTGGGGGCTATTAGATCAAACTGCAATATTCACTGTAGAAGCTGTGTGCATGATGTCATTTCACAGGTGCGCTCCATTCTACCGTCATTGCAAATGTTTCTTCTATTCCTCATAAATAATTTATGTAGTTCAGATCAAGTTTGATTCAAGATTACACACTAATGTTTTGGGGATGATGACGACTAAACAGCACGCGTGTTCAGTGCGTCTCTCCTCCATCCAGCCCCCTCATTTCAGCTCAAATACGTCACTGCTGCTTCTTCTCAATCCAGTTTCATGCTGAGGACCAGCACCTGCCTCATCTGGAATTTACCTTCTGGACTTTTGCAAAACCTCATCCCGCTTCAGTTAGTAGGCTATTTCATCTGGAGGGCTGTGCAAATGGAGATGTGTTTGGCGGTTTATCGTTTTTGAAGAGGAAAAACCCAATTTAAACGCACAATCTAAAGCGTCATATGTTTGAAGGGATTACCGCAAACAATTTGCATTATGACCGAGATGAGAATTTGGTGGGTTTTATGGCTCATGGCATTCGCTCTCACTTCAGCCGCCCCGAAATCACACCATCGACTTCTGGAGAAGACAAAGGAACAAAATGACACATTGCAAGTTGAAAGAGATAATCATGAAAATATATTAAGTCGGGTAAGATACTTTTCACAAGCGCTCGAAATGATATTCCACTGCAGTTTCTTTAGCCTAATCTGCAATTAGTTACACATGTCATAACTTTCATTAATACATTCTTAACATTATCTGCACAATGCCTACAGATCGGTAATGTTTAATGTAAATTCAAGACTATCCTATAAAAACATTTAATATATATAAATATGAATCAAATAATTAGGCCTATGTTTCAATATGCCTATAAGTTATGATATTTGAATGCAGGGTGCGAATTGAGGGAAAAGTATTCAGTTTTTGGCTCGTAGGTAGGCTGTAGGATCAGTAGCAGCTAACCTAACTGACATTGTTAATCGTAAAATTTTGATTTGTTTAAAAATTGTTTTAGGCTACGACTAATTCTATTGTGCCATCGGTGACAGTCGTTTCAGCGAGAGGAAGCTTAAAAACTTTTCTTTCTTTATATATTTTTAAACGCGCTCACTGTTTTGAATGGAGTTTGTTAATGTTATTAATGAAAGTTATAATAAACTTTGGTAATTGAAAAAAAAAAAAAAAAAGTCCATCAACGACAGTCAGATTGCATCAAAGTGCAGTGATTTTGCTTGCTGGAAAATGCATCCGTCCTCTTTTCTTTGTAGCTGCTGGGTGATTATGACAAAGTGAAAGCGCTTTCGGAAGGCTCTGACTGTGGCTGTAAATGTGTTGTCAGACCTCTGAGCGCGAGCGCGTGTCAGCGGATCCAGGACGGTCACGCGACGCCTCAGGATTTCTATACGGTGGAGACCATCACATCAGGACCCCACTGCAAATGTCAATGCATTGCACCTCCGTCGGCTCTAAACCCTTGTGAGGGTGACTTCCGTTTGAAGAAGCTGCAACAGGCTGGGAAAGATAATGTCAAGGTGACCACATCTGAAATTGGATCATCTTATACCAAAATATGGCAGGATAACAATGCATAACGTTTCCTATATTCTAAAATAAAACCAGCTCTTGCCATGATGGAATTTACTTCATCGTTACAGCTGTCAACTATACTGGAATTGCTGGAGGGTTCCTTCTATGGCATGGACCTATTGAAATTGCACTCAGTCACCACCAAGCTTCATGATCGCATCGACACAATAGAAAAAGTAAGTGTTGTTTCCTTTCTTTTCCTATCTTATACTTTTTATACACATTAGTGATGTGTTTTATTATTGACAGATGGTCTTAAACAACAAGACAGAGGAGAAGTCAAACACAAGGAGCAACTCTCCGAGTCCACAGTCACCCACATCCTCATCTACAAATCCGTCCCCAGAACAGCAGCAGAAGAGGACGAGTTTGAGGGAGCAGAATGACGAAGCAGCTGCTTTTCGGCACATAGAGGTGGGAGGTGCTATTTAAAACAAATGTTGCGTTACATAATTATCATGTCCAATACGTAACAGTGGAACAATCCAAACATTATGCTATTGCCACAAAGTGAAATGGCCCACCTGCTGCGGACGTTTATTTATTTACTTAGGATCTGTCTCAGAGTCAATGACCTCATGCTGTGTTTTGAAACTCTTACTAATTTATCCTGCTGTCAACTCTTACATAATTTGGCATGAAAAGAGCCAAACGTCTTGGAATATTAAAGATCCAAAATAGATGATGCACTAAAGGGATTGTTCACCCCAAGATGAAAATCATGTCATCATTCACCCTCATGTCATTTCACAACAGTTTCAATCAGTCTTTGGTTAATCTTCAAAACACAAATTAAGATATTTATTTATTTAACCTTTTTGGCTCTTTTAAGTTTTGTTTACCTGGACTTTCAATGGAGGGACAGAAACATAAAACATAAAAATATCTTAAGTTGTGTTTCAAAGATCAACCAAAGTTTTGTATTTGGAATGAGAGTGAGTAGTGTACATTTTGGGGTGAAGTATCCCTTTAAGAATCACATTTTAAAGGTAGGGTAGGCAAATTCGGAGAGACTAGTAATAGTTTTAAAAGCATAAGATCCCTAGCCTGGGAAAACCCAGACAACTTCTGGCAAATTTAGATTTGCTCTGAAAGTTAGTCTGGCAAAGAGCTCATTCAAGCCCATTTCCAATCCGTCGAAATCGCGGCACCAATCAGAAACGTTGGGGCAGGCTTTACACGATGACGACAGCGCTGGGATTTTGAAGCAGATTTTTGTAGCCTACATTACAAAGATGGATGCCGCCGTCGAACATCACTAGTTCGAATCAGCTATCGCGCTGTTTTAAGCGATTTGAACGTTTCCTTTTTGTTAAAAACCAAGCAAAGAACAACACTCATTGCTCTGATTGGTTTTAGGTCTACCCGCGACGTCCGTTGGTGACTCCCCTCTGGAAATGATTTGTCTATGACGCTTTGCCAGACCAAACTCAGTTACAACTGAGAATGGTCTGGTATTAACCAGGCTATAAGATCCCACCCTTTCTTCAGAAATCTCTCTCCAAAGCCATGCCACTTCTATCATTGATTGCTATCAGGATGTGAAGAGTGTTTCAACCTGTATAACAAAAGTGTTTGTAAAAGCAACTGCCTACATTTAATGGATGCAGTATCACAGTGTCTTCTGATGTACTGAACAGAGTAAATACGAGGAAAAGTTTGTGGGAGATCTTCTGAAGAGCAGTGGATCAGACATAAACAAGGCCGTCGCAGCTTTGCAAGAACAAGAGCGCCAAGGAAGGGAGAAGCAACCAAAAATAATTGTTAGGGGGATCACATACTATAAATCTGACCCAATGGATGAGACAGACACAGAGGAGAACTGTAAGTATAACTGTGTTTCCAAAATCTATTAAAAATTAAGACTGCACTATATTGGAAAAAAAGACTTGAATGAATTGAATAGCTCTATTTGGAAAGAATGATTCATTCAAAGTAAATAAACCAAGCTGATGACGCTGATTGACATAGGTTTGTCAATTGCACTAAGCCATATTGCAATATCAATTTTATTTTGATATATGGTTCAGCCTAATTGAAAGTTCTCAGAAAGAGAAGTTTGAGATTTTTTTCTAGGCTACTATATAAAATGCTTTGTTCTTCATTGCAGTAGATGATAGTCAGAGTGGTGACAGCCCAATTGATCTTTTTGCCGACGAGCAACTCCTTCATCACAAAGCACGCCACTTCAGGCCGGTTATCAAGGCATGGTCTATCCGACCAAAACCCAAGATTGAAGTTTCAAAAGGAGGAGATGTACGAAGTGGCCTTCAAACTCCATTTAATGGACTGTTGGACTCTGCCCTGCCGATTAAGACGCCTACAAAACCGATATCCGTTCAGGCTCAAACCAGTCAATCCACCAAAGACAACTCTACGGGAGATGAGAGAACCACACCGACACCTGCTGGGATAGATATTTTGAATCTCACCATCCCCAAGGAACATACCAAACCTCAAACCATCGTCAACAAAAAGGAGGCAAGCAACGTGAGGCCCACAACTCAAAACATGCTGGTCAAGTCATCCAATCTGGGCCACATAAAAACAATTGAGTCAGTCACAGCAGCTGCTGCTAAAGTGGTGGCTGCAGAGCCAACCGTGACAGAACAGACCAACGGGACTGCTGAAAAGGAAACATCTGTATCTTCTGTAAACAGAAGTGGTACTGTTACCAAAGAAGATGCCTTCCACACTGGGAAACCTTTGTTTTCTTCTGAAAGCACACTTAGAAGATTAACACCATCACCAACTCCTCATTCAAACACTTTAACAGTCACAGAAAGCTCATTGGGAACAACTGCTCACACAAGCACAGCTGCCACCATTGTGACGACGCCACATGTCACTGAGAGCAAGACAGTTACCTACTTACCTAAGAAGAGTCCTAAACTGGCATTAACCTCAGTGGCGTCTTTGATGACAATTACAGGAACTACCTCAACAACAATAACAGCCAAACCTGGCAAACGCAAGTATAGCATAAGCTGGGATGAAGAGGAAGAGGTCGTGGGAGGGGAGCAGATGGACCAAGAGAAAGCTGTGGTGGAACAGAACGTTGGAGAGGAACCTCAAAAGAAGTCAGGTATAGCTTTATGATGTTCTTGTATGATATATAAATATATATGCAAAACATTTTCCATTATTACTTAAATCAATATGTAACTCTGAATATGCACTGAATATATAGCCTGACTTCATACTCATATTCTAGTCAGGATGTGAGTCTGAAACTGCTCCATAGAGCTTTGATTATGAGGCGTGTCTTAACCGAACCAGGAAAAAATCTCTGCGCTCAATTGGATAGTCGGTAGACCTACAACCAATCAGAGTCAACTACTTTGCATATCACAGTTGTCAACAACATAACTTACTTATTTTTAGAAGTAAAATAACGAGTGTTGCTTCTTTTACTCGGTCCTCCATGAGTGCGACCAAAGGAGAAACCACACCGACCACACGCTTTTCATTACGTCCCATCTTCTTAGCGACCATCGGAGCCAGCTGATAAGTTACACTTATGCCGAATCATGTAGGAAGGACAGCAAAAATATCTTTCCGATCAACAAATGCCTTGATTGCAGTTCTCTGTTTGTCTATCAAAATTAATGCGCTGTCGATTCATTTTACAAAAGACGCGACAGCGGAATCTATACATCTCAATTCTCCCGCTGCAGTCATCTTTGAAGAAAACCAGTTAAGCGCTCTTTGATAACGTGATGATTACGTCCCTGAAGATCACCTGTCCATCATCGTATAAAGCCCGCCCTGGCAATTTGTTTGGCCCGATCATTTTTTGACTGATCATAATTACTCCTCAATGGATCGACCAAAGAATGTTGTGGGCGGAGTTCGGACTGACATCCAGGCTACTGAATATGCATAGTTTAGCATAAAATGATATAATCCAACGTAATTGTGAATGGTTTTGTTTTGTTTGCAGGAATCTGTAAGGACACCTTGGCCACAATTTCAGAGCCCGTCACACACAACACGTATGGTCGTAATGAGGGCGCTTGGATGAAGGATCCGCTGGCTCAAGATGACAAGATCTATGTCACAAATTATTACTATGGCAACAACCTAGTGGAATTCCGCAACATGGATGTCTTCAAACAAGGTATCTCTCTTTAATTCAAAATGAACACACTCAGAACAAATAAGCAATTTTACTTCATTCATTTTCTTACTTTCATTTAAGGCCGCTACACTAACTCCTACAAGTTGCCTTATAACTGGATCGGCACCGGCCACGTTGTCTACAACGGAGCTTTCTATTACAACCGGGCATTCTCTCGAGACATCATTAAGTACGACCTGCGTTTGCGTTACGTGGCTGCGTGGACCATGCTGCACGATGCAGTGTTTGATAATGACGACGTGTCTGCGTGGAGATGGAGAGGGAACTCAGACATGGATTTGGCCGTCGATGAGAGCGGACTTTGGGTCATCTACCCAGCTCTAGACGATGAAGGCTTCTTGCAGGAAGTGATCGTCTTGAGCCGCCTGAACCCGAGTGATCTGAGCATGAAGCGTGAAACCACCTGGAGGACCGGGCTCCGGCGCAATCGCTACGGTAACTGCTTCATCGTATGCGGCGTTCTTTACGCGACGGAGAGCTACAATCAGTACGACACCAATTTGTCCTATGCCTTCGACACCCACACCAACACTCAGGTGATTCCGCACCTGCCTTTTAGCAACAACTATACTTACATCACTCAGATCGATTACAACCCCAAGGAGAGGGTGCTGTACGCCTGGGATAATGGACATCAGGTCACTTATAATGTTCAGTTTGCGTATGTTGACCCACTGTAGACCCTCATGGCAGAGCAAATACGTTCTTTGCACGGAATAGGAGAAACCATTAATGTGTTCGTGGATTGTGGATCAGTTCACTCAGCTTTTATTAACTCCACGTAGTTTAATGTACTTATTAATATACTGTTATGTTTTCAAAGTGTAAAAATCGACCCATATCTTTACGTATATAGCGAAGACTAAGAAAAACACGTACATAATGCAGCTTTATGCAGTTTGCATTGACGGTCATTTCTTTAGATATCGCAGCTTGCTTTTGCACTATGAAAACGGACCTCTTTATGTTTATAGCTGTACCTGAATGACAGAATTATGAAGTTTTGAGGTGTTGTATTCTCAAATCCTGTTGAATACATTGTATATACTGTAATATAAAAAGGTAAAACCATGTGATGAATGAATGTAAAAAATACAATTTGTATTTTCATAAATATATCTCAAAGTTTGTTAGATTTTTTTATCACATGCATATATAAAAAAATAAAGTTTACAACTCTAGATATTAAGTAAAAGCAAGAGTAGACAGTGTTCAGGGCACATTTTAATTGTTTTATTTCATCAGTACGTTTGATACATTTGATCAAATGACAGTAGCCTACTGTTTGTAATCTTTTTATGCATATTTTATTGCAATTTCATTTGAAATTTTTCTAGCACCAAATAAATTAAATCTCTGTCAAACTCAATAAATGGCTGCAATAAATAGAGTTGAGATAAGATTTATGGAATTGGTCTTCTTTTCATATTGATGATGTTGAGCGAGTGTATTCTCAGCACAGAACGTCTCATTGGACGCTTAGATAAGAGCAAAATGCTACACTGTAAACCCCTTGATCCACAGAGCTAAATCCAGACAAACAAAAACCAAAAACATTGTTTTCCCCAGCCCTTTAAATGACCTATAATTAACATGTTACAGCGCCTCAGACCCCACATTTATACAAACCTTTAATTTCAGAGAGAAAATTCAGACTTAAGACTCTTGTCTGCGCCCTGAAAGAAGATGCACACAATTCAGCCACAACCTTGAGTCCAGTGTTTATTACTTTGTTACAAAATTCCTTTCATTTCTTTCACTGCATGAACAAACAAAAAGTATTTCCAAAAATGCAGAAATTGAATATATTAAACATCAAAAATATTGCTCAAAAGGAAAAGGGGATTTGATGAAATTAACTCATGAGCATTAACTCATGTTTCAAACCAATTATGAACACAACACAGACATTTCTACTGAAATGTGGTCGAAATGTGACTTTCTCTTAATATTCTAATAATCATTCAGAATTTTGAGAACAAAGCTTCACCTGAGTTTTAATAATCTGTGAAATTCAAATAATGAAGAATCCTACAACCCTCGAGGAGCTCTAATGCTGATTGGTCAGCGCAGGCAAGTTTGTCTTCGAAGGGGAATGGTTCTTTGAAAGTGACAACAAGTTGGACAAGGACAAGCTAACGACTACACTGCTGTCAAAATAGCTTGCCTACGGCATCCTAAACCATACAAGAATCGAGCGAACATCTAAACAGGCAAGAATAATAGAGACGAATACATAGTACACAAGGACAGATCAGGTAAAATATTAGCATTAATAATGTCTCTTCTATAACTTCAAATAAACGAGTGTTTGAATTCATGTCACGTACACCTTATTAAAAGTGCAATCAAACCACTAAGATGAACATGAGGTCTTAAAAAATATAAAAGAACTGACAGATGTTGCCCAATCTCTAATCCCAAAACTGCTATTCCAAATTTGCATTTAGACTCAAGCTTCATAGACTAATCAAAAGACAGAAGTGTTATCTAAAGACTATCTTCTTTACAATTTTTTGAGGGATTTATTTACATCACTGTCTGGATTCAGAAGAATGGAAAAAGCAAGAAAATGATACAAAATGCCTCTATTCACAGACACAAAAGGGAAATAATCAATTCTTACTTTTCTATTCAACAGTTAATTTGTAACAAAACAAAAAACTTCAAAAAACCAAAATTCAAAGCCCAGGTGGGTTGTTTGAGGATATTGACCATTAAAGATGCACCAAATAAGATTGGTACCAAATTTCATAAATATTTCAATACATGTTATAAACAAACAACAAGCACAGCGCAAACAAAATCAAAGACAAATCCCTGACAGCTACCACATGGCAGAGAAGAGTTTGATAATTGAGCCCAATTGCACTTTGGTGTGGGAGATTTGGTAGATGAATGCTCCTGTTGGCAGAACATGTCACCAACAACACTTAGGTTGTGTGATAAATTTCTAGGGCGCACAAAACTGAAAAGTACATACATAAACAAATACATAAATGTAAATGTAGATGCCTTTGAAGATAGATGTGTAAAAGTAGTCTCTGGAAACAATAGCCTGGAATAAAGACTAATTTGATTTTCAGTAGTATTGAATGGCCCACTTTAAGCATTTTGAAGAGGTGACTTTAAGATAAATTGTCATTCAATTACCTTGGGGAGATCTTGGTTTGCCACGCGAATAGGAAAAAAAGAAAAGAAAAAGGCAGGCTTATTATGGTGGGAAAACTGGCTAATTCACAGAAGAATAAGTGGATTAGTGGATTGCTGGGACTAAGAAGAACCCATAAGGACTCCAACTGGGGCGGCGGGCTGGTTGTTGCTGGGAGCCGCGTGATAGAAAGAGCCTGTGTCTGTCTGATTGACCCGCAATATGGGCGGAATACTAGACGACTTGATGTGGAGGATCCTGGTGTCCATGACCTCACAGTCGATCTGCATCATCACCTCAAACTCTTTGTCTTTTATGACGCTCTCTGCAGTGAGACAGAAAGGTAATTGTATTAGCCAAGGAAAATACAAATAGTTGTACGAAACAGCATTTGGTGTTCAGTTCTGTGTGAAAAGAAAAGCAGGTGATGTGCTGGGTGGCCCGGAGGCATTTTAGGGGCTCTTTTCACACAGAGTTAAAGCTTAGTCACACGCTGGAATTTATTTTAACATAGCAGTAAACACAAGAGATGATGACTCCCACATACTACCATTCCAAAGTTGTTGTTTAAAAAAAAAAAAAAAATTGAATTACTTTTTTTTTTTTTCATTTAACAACATAGTATTATTTAGTGACAGTAAATACATTTATAATGATATATAATGATTTCTAGTCTTCTGTACTTTGGAACTTTCTAACCTGTAAAAAAATCAGTTTCCACAGAAATATTAATCAGCACAACTGTTTTCAACACTAATAATAATAAGAAATGTTTTTTGAGCACTACATAAGCATATTAGATTGATTTCTGAAGGATCACGAGAACCTGAAAATTCAAAATTCAGCTTTGCCATCGAAGAAAGAAAATATTTTAAAATATATAATTTTTCAAATTGTAATAATATTTCACAATATTAGTGTTTTGCTGTATTTTTAAGTAAATAGAAAAGCATTAGTGAACATTAACAAATCGTACTGACCACAAACATTTGAATTGTGGGAAGGATTCTATTTTTCTTAAGACCTTTATGCAAAATAGCAATGAAATTTCAAAACTGAAAATCCAATTGCCAGTACATTTTATGGATTAAAAATAAAAATTGAAATTTGGATTAAACATTTTAGGTCAAGCAAAAATATAAACTATTATATTTACTATAGAAACTTAATATTCCACTAATTTCTTTTCCAGACCTGGAGATCACTATTTTAAAATGTATATTTCCAAGTTTTACATCATCGTGGAAAGTCAAGTCAAAGTCAAAATATTAACATAGTTCTAGTAGCAAATTTAAAAACAACAGAATTTAAACCACAATGTACAGCATAATTCAGAAACCCAAACAATGCTTTATCATACACAAGTAAACAGGTAAATGCCAATTATCATCAAATTATCCAAATCTACTGGTATTCAAGTACAGATTTAACAATCCTATTCGATTCATCCATTAAGACTGTTCTAAAATAAAAAGTAGGCAATACTGATCAAGCTTTGGTTTAACTTACACTAAAGTCTAAGGTCAGGTTTCGACTGCTTTCCCCATGTTTTGACAGACTCATAAAAGTGCTTGTCAAACACAAGCAGTGATTATTTTGTAAGAAAGCATTAGAAGCATGATGCTTAACACTCACTACAGATGTTCTATGGCCTATCGTCTATAAGGACACCTCTCTATAACAAAAAAATAAGATGAGAGAGCTTTAAATGTATGCACAGCATATGGGCGGCAGGAAAATAACTTTTACAGCAGACTCAAGCACCGATAAAAACTTTATAGGCTGGAGAGTATCACGGTAGGTCAATCTAAAGCACTTTTCCAGGCATTGCTGGTGAATACATTTACGTATCCTACACTTAGTAGTTCCTGATGAGCGCTTCAGCCGCACACCCACAATGATGATCTCATAAGCTGTGATTTACAGTAAACTTGACTGTCAGAGTCTTTCTGAAACCAAAATATTCCCATCTATCTCTAATGCTACCACAAAGTAATGGAATAAAGTCTAAAAATCTCACAGAATGTGTATTTTCACAGGTGCTTTTAAAGAAAACCTTAGCAGTGCTGCAGAAATCATCATAGATGATGGGTTATAGCAATTGTGTCACTTTATTTCACAGCAAGCACTAAAATGACACCGAACTGCTGAGCTGTACACATCATCACATTTTTTTTTTTAACAAAAATGATCTTTTCCGTCATATATATAAGTTTCCAATATGTCAACAATGTCATTTTTCCATTCTTACAAAAGGCTTTTCGTTAGGTGAATTCCCTTTGGATATTTCTGGTTCTAGGCCCGACTTTCCAAACACCATTTAAATACTGATTAAGGCAACATGTGGACTCAAGGGTAAATTCCTGATGAGAATGTGGTTGTGAACCTTTTAGCTTCCAGCCAAACTCACTTTCACTCATAAAAGCAGTGGTTTGCCCCAAAATGGTTGATATTTAATGCCTAAAAGGAATAGTTCAGATTTGTCATGCATCAGTATTGAAATGACCAGTTCTTTAATAAAAAGAACCATCTCAAAAGAAAGAATCAATTCAACTGACTAAATGATCCAGTCACAGTGATTTGTGAGTTAACAGTCACAGCAGGAAAGGATTATAAGTAAATGTATTTTCAGATGAAGACTTTGAATATAATGCATAAGCTGCATGTCGTCAGTCACATGAACTGGACAACAAATATTTTTGTGTCCATTTGAAACAAGAAGGTGAGTAAATTGCACAATTTTCATTTTTGGGTGATCTATTCTTTCCCGAATTAGGCTTTTTAACCATAAAGCAATGCCTTTCACTGATATGACTTCTTGAAACAAACAAAGAAAGGGGGATATTATGGTCATCATCTTCAACATTCACAAACGATTATAATGCTGACTCACTTCCCCACAGGGAAGAGCGTGAAAAAGAAAAGATAAATATGCACTGACTCTGCCAGGCACTGCAACAACAGTCAATAATCATGTTGAAAACCAAACATAAAAAAATTATTGAAATTGACGAAGAAAATTCACGTTGTATTCAAGACAGAAATCAACAACCTTGAAAACAGAACGATTTTTCCTCCATGCCCGTTGTGGAAACCCCCCCGACCCAAACACAATCTTGAGCATGTAGAACAGAACGGAAACAGCTGGGGGCAATTTCTAAACGTAACTAAACTAAAACTAAACTTCTGTTCTGAGTTGTTCAAAAGATTCTCTTGTAATAAAATCATGTGAAAGTCAACTTTGAACATGCATTTCTAAATGGAAACAGGATGGAGCTAGAAAAAAACTGATTTAGAGTACACAATGCTTAACTGTCTTCTCAAGAGGGAATACTTAGATTTGGGTTACATAAACAATTCAATGTTATGATCTTTAAGATACAGCAGGTTTCTTGTTTTCTGGTGAGCCTCACTAGCCGAAGACTATGTGCGTCAATCATGCTCTTATGAGACATCACATTCTCACACAAACTCACGCACATAGCAACAGGAATGTTTATTCTTCTTTTCATTAGACAACTTGGATCAAATGCCCTCATTTTGAGAGAGATTGTTTTAAACTCTGCTTTTCAGTGCATTTCTTTATCAGCTGTGGCTAGATCGTTGGGACAATGTACACACCTGACGACTAGTCTGAAAGATTTCAAACAGATTTAAAAACTGGTTTGAAACCCATTGAGTATATTGCGTAGTTGTGCTCAAATTTAATCGTTTTATTTGTGATAACGCAATTAAAAATGCCAAATTGTGTGGACATCATTTTTGGCAAGGTGGTCATACAAAGAAAATTATGAACGCATACAAAAACAAGAGAGAACAAACTAAATATTAATAACTGATTGTGTTGTCGTCAAAATATGCTTTTTCCTGAGCTTTTTGTTTCTCTATGCATTTTTTTTGCATAGTAAAAAAAACACCTATAGCTGTAGTATGCATTTGTAAATACTGTATACCTCATGTGTATGCATGTATAAAATATTAATATAATACAAAAATATATTAATTCTCTTCTATTATGTTTTTATAATGTAATTTTTTTAAATAATGCAATATTACTTTAATATAAATATTAAAACGATACAATATAAATACGATAAAATGCAATACATTTTACATATGTTTAATATATATACATACACAACTATATATATATAAGTCAACTTAAATGTCAAGTCAAATGTTCTTTGAGGTACAAAGCAGTGAGACAAGGACCAATTCGTTCATTAGATAATAAGATGATTCTTTTCTCTTACCATTGTAATTCATAGCTGGCAGGACCAAAGACATCTTGGGGCGGCTGCCTTTGTTGTGATTGTTGGCAGGAAGAAGGAGGTGATCCTATAAGCAAAAGAAGAACAGGCAAAAAAAACATGAATGAGGAGAGTTTATTACTTTGGTGAGAACATAAATTACACTGGTCACTTTTGAAGAAATTTGAAGCATCAATCTGGTTGCAGGAAAAGTCTGATTGTGTTGAACAGTACAAGTGAAATAACCGGAGGATGAAGGCCTTGATATCCAGACTACTTGTGTATAGCAGTATACACTACCGTTCAAAAGTTTGGGGTCGGTAAGATTGGAAAGTAAATGTTTTGCTATGCTCAAGGCTTTTTTGGGAAACATTACTACTCTTTAATATAATTTACAAAAGCTGAATTTTCAGCAGTCATTACATTACAGCAGAGAACCAAAAAGGTTCTTGGTTTTCAAGAAACGTTTCTTATTAATAAAGAAAACAGTTGCTTTATATTTATTTGTGGAAGCCATTATTCATTTTTTTTTCTTTAAAAAAGAAAATTATACTGACCTAAACGGTAAGATTTGCTAAAGCCAGTTTATCTCAGTGCAAGATTGTTTAAACTTCAAGCGCTAGAGAGCGTCATATAACAATTCTATAATCGGGTCAAAAATGTATGTACATTATGTACATTTAGTCCAACTCAACTGTAACATTCGGAGGCATGAACCTGTCAGGACACACACCTGTTGAAGACAGAAACCATATGGACAGGAAAGCCATTGAGCTGGAGAATGTAATAACACTCATGTCTGTGTGATGGATGGGAAACGGGTCATGGATGTGTGACGTCTTGTGTCATGCAGACTTCAGTAAATGTGTTAGCGTTTAATACCATCTGTTGTCACTGTAGTAAAGATGTGCAGAAAATTTTATTCACAATGAGACACAAATAGTTCACCCAAAAATAAAATTCCTGTCATTAATTATTCATCTTCATGTCATTTCCAAATCTGTATTACTTTACATTTCTTTCATTTAAAAGGCAAATACATTTGGAATCCATTGAAGAATGAAAGTAAATGAAGACAATTTTTTCACTTTTGGGTGTTTAAATGTTCAATTCTGGTTCTGAATAAAAAAAACAAAAACATTTGTGTTACATCATTCTCCTCCCCAGGCCACTGTGGTTCCCTAGACTAGATTATGACAATGAGGTCTTTTAGGAAGAGCACAGAAGTTGCCACCTTCTCTCTTTGTGTACTCCAGCAGGTGACCTGATCCTCCAATTCAATTGCCTTCATGACTAGAGCCAATGAAAGGGAAGGTGGACGAGAGAAATAAAGACTGAAACTGCCAGTTACTAACCATCTCAGATAGAGATGAACTTTGAAGTGTGAGTATCGACTCTGAAGTGTGAGTATCTCAGAGGGAGCAGCAAACTGAGGATATTATGATCGGCTTACAATGAAGATAACACTTAACAAGAAACTAACATTTAGAACTATTTAGAAATTAGAACTATTAAGTTGCAAACACAGTCCAGACAAGGATGTTGGGTCACTGCACAAAAGTAAACCTAAATAGGAGGACACGCAAATTCTCAGGAGACACATGCCCAGAAACCTAGGAAACAAAATAAACAAAAACTACTAAACTTTATGAAAAAAAGTTAATTTCTTACTGAAACAATTAACAACCACTTTCATCCTTTATTTGAACTGATTATTTGAACACTCCTCTCCAAGCTACACATTCTTGAAATCAAATTAGAAGAGGGCTGATCCACCAAGTCAAAGGACACCAGGGTTGTTTAGCAGTAGTTCACATGGTCAAACTCAACTCAAAAACCATAAATAACCCTCTTGAGGTTTTCTACAAAAACATTTCTTGTCTTTAAAAGAAAATTTTGTGGACAAACCCCTTTAAAATCTCAATATTTTGCTGATTATCTGTCAGCTATTAAACAAAAGGTCACACATTAGAATCGTAGACAGACAGAATTGAAAATCTGACGGATTTTCGACCTTTTTACGTTCATAAATGGAGGTTACAATCTGAGGATCACTGAGTCACTATTACTAAAGTCTGACTTCCCAAAAGAGTGAACAAACCTAGAGACATAATGAAACACAGAAAACAAGGCAGTGAGTGACTATGACTAAACCAGTCAAACATCTTCTGGCTCAACTCACATAGATGGGGATTATTTTCAGGGCTGATATTACACAAAAAAAAAAAAAGACAACATTGATTATAAAGTCTTTAAATCAAGTCATTTAAAAAAAAGCTTGCAGAACAAGATGTAACGTCCACAAAAACATATTTATTTTCTTGTTATGAGTCATTGACATTGAGTCATTTCTTTTGTTTTAGTTTCACAAAAAAGAGAAGGGAAGTCCGGTTTGCCATTAAAATTTTTTTTACCAGAATGAACTGATGAGTGATAACCATCTACTGTCATATCCCCTGCAAATTGGTGAAATATGATATAATTTTGCTTTTGAGACATTGTAGTTTTTCTCAATTTGGGTGTGTTTCCTTCGTAACAAAAGAGATTTTAAGATTACTTTTTTTCAAATATGTCGGGCAACATTATTCAAATCTTCTGAGTGAATAATCAAAAGCAGGTACTGAGTGTATGAAAAAAAAAAAACAACTTCAAACACAGTTAGGAATAAAAACTTAGTAACTAAACTTACAAGGAATAAAGAACGTAATGATGAAAGATGACATGCAATTAGACTGAAACAAAAATGTTAGAAGATTACTTCAAACGCAGTCTGACTCCAAATAAATATACGCCCAGCTTGAGATCATATACATGTTTACCAAAAATTAGGCCTTGACTCATTTGAATAACTCTTAGTCGATTCAGTTTTTCCCCTTTTACAAAGCTGAAAATAGCTGCAAAAAACATTTTTTAGCTAAAATAAAAAATACAATCTATTAATGTGCACTAATAAAGCAAAATCACAGCTCACTTTTAGCAAGTGACTTATTGGGGGGGGGGGGGGGGGGGATTATATTTCCGAGCATGTGGAAAAATGGAGCATGTGTCAGACAGAGCCTTGCTTGGTTGATCCAAACAGCCTAGGACAAACCTCTTGAATATATTCTGATAATTATACCACTATATCATAATCTCACAAATTTATCAAATGCAATGAGTAATTATTCTGTGGCGCAGGTCATCTGATATGGCGCAGGTCATCTGACATCATTTTTCAGGATACTTTGATGAATAGAAAGTTTATTTGAAATAGAAACCTTTTGTAACATTATACTGTAAATGTCCTTGCTGTCTCTTTTAAGAAATTGAATGCATTCTTGCTGAATAAAATTATTAATTTCTTTAAATCTTATTAACCTAATCTAATTTACATTAAAAAAAAAAGTACAGATTAGCTTACTGCCTTGTATCTTTAAAATTACAGAGACATGCGGTCAAGGTGGCAATACAAAACAGACTGCGTGTTTTATTTCAAACAAGAACGATAGTTTACAAACTGAAAAAACAGGAGTCTATAAAGACCTCCCAAGATTTAATGCTATTTAATGCATTCTCTGACAGGCCATGTGCTCTATTGTGGTGGAACCATCTCAAGTGTCCCTTTATGATGCTGTGTGGGCTCTAAAATCAATTAACCATGTTCATGTGTGGCCACAGGCCGATAGAAAGCAGATAGATGAAAAGACAGATAGGCAGACAGATGGGGTGGTCAACTTACCCGGCGGAAAGAGATCACGTAGAATGTGTCCCCTCTTCTGTTGAGTTCATCAAAGAAGTCATTGTAGGTGCGGCGAGGGGCGTAATACACCTGCAGCTCGCTGCTGGGAACCCTACATAAAGGATACAAACACTTCAGACACTGATTTATATTTTATCACTGATAAGAACTGCATGTGCCAGTTATGATGTTTACTGCAGGTAAAGCCTTTGACTTGTACTGAAGAGGGAATTAATATATATATATATATATACTGATTATTTCATATCAAAAATTTCCAGCTGTATCTGGTTTACTTTAGATAATTAATATTTTTTTATTATTACATGTAATCTAATTCTCAAAAATCTCTTGATAAAATTCTTCCCTGTGTGAATGTGGCCTTCCACCAATGCTGTCAGTGTGATGCAATGGAATGTCAGCCATGCTGAGTTTTTGCCCAATGTACTGCTGAGTTCAGCCAAAAATATGATTTACCCTGAGGGAGAGCGAGTGAGCCAACCAAAAACACGAAAAAAAGAAAAATAAATAAATAAAAATAGTTCGTTGTTTTTTATTTCGTAACAATTTCCAGTTCAACATCTCCAGGCACACCTTGAAAGAAGTGAAGGGTGCGGTAATGTCAGCAAGACCAAGTTCCTCTCCTGGTCCCAGCGGAATACCATATAGGGTCTATAAACAGTGCCCAAGGCTCCTTGTTCGACTCTGGAAAATCCTGAAGGTGTTTTGGCAGAGAGGGAAGGTGGCTTCCCAATGCAGATCAACTGAGGGCATCTGGATACCCAAAGAAGAGAATGCAAGTACCATCGAGCAGTTTCACATAATCTCGCTGCTCTGTCTCAAAGGGAAAAATCATCTTCAAGATCGGGAAGAGAGCCAATTATGCAGAGCTGGTGGAGGTCGGTTGCCGGGGCGAACACTCAAACACCTTGGAGTTAAAGGACAACTGTGCAGGCGAGCCATAAAGAACATATCTGAGGCTGCCGAAAAAGCCTGACGATGGCTGTGGATCAGGAGGGGGGGATCCGTGGAATAGCATACCACTTGGACACAGGGGTCGCCCAGGCGAGGGTGTCTGTTGATTAAAGACCCAAAACACCTTTTGATCCCGGATTCATCACTGATGACGTGTCCAAGTAGCACCAGTAGGTGTATGTTAGAAAAAGAAATAGAGGTATGTAGGCGGATACCTCTTTAAGGTGTAAAAATATTCAAGAGAAGAGTTCCAAGATGGAGTTTGCAGAGGTCTACTACCCTCTTAAAACATACCAGCACACACTTGTGAGGGGGGTTTGTGATTGGGACATGACAGCTAAGGGTCAGGGTTAAGACTGAGAGCATCTCATAATTACCGAGTTAACTTCTAGAAAAAACAATTATATTAAAGGCTGAATGGCCTGCAAGCCTAAAACGATGCTTATATAGCAATTTGGAGAGAAAAGATTATGAACAAATGATGTTTTCTTGGAATAACATGTATGGATGATTGTGCACAAAAAGATTCCTCGAGCATTAATACTGAATTTGATGACAGCTTTAAAAAAAAATATCTTAAAAATTCCAGAATTCCACACCTCGACACGCTCCAATTTTTTGCCAAATCGACCACCGACTTTGGCAGATGACGAATTGGCTGTCAAACTTCAGTGTCTTGTAATACATAAATTTAAATTGTCCTCAGACCATTTCACAGAACACACATTACAACATTTGTACAAAGTTTACATTACAAATAAAGGGACCGTTTTTTTTACCGTTTTGCTCACATAAGCAAATACCCCATTGAAAAGCCTGTATGGCTTTGGTACAACACTGCAGAATCAAGAAATGATAACTGACTCTCATACACAGACCATGATGACAAATATGTTGATATACTAATATGCTGTTTGATGTTGCAGGAACTTCCTCACACATCTAGTGAAACTTACTTTTCAGAGGAATCCGTGTACTGGATCTGTGTCATTATCTGTGGCACCTCAGCCCGTTTATCTGCTGCTTTCTGTCGGACAAAGAAAAGAAAAATGTCACTTTCTATTACCAAATACAACAAGAAGCACATTCCCATCACTGACTGTACAAGCTTTAACATCTCAATGCTTAATCTCCTGTCATCGAGTGTTAGGCTGATAATGTGCATCTCTCTCACACTTTGTTTAGCCCTGTGCTGTGTCGAGAGCACAAAGAGTCTGGGAAATAGCCATCTGTCAGTATAGCCATCCATCTCCAATCACCTAACCTCTCAGCACTCTGCATGGCAGTATTTACTTAGTGCCTCAGTCCTGGTGACGGAAAGCAAACATTGCTGCAACTGGCGGTACCAGAGTACACAGCTTTGTGATTATAATGGGAGCGAACTAGATTGTTTGTAGCGAGGACATTATTTATCTGGCGTTAGCAGTTCCTGTTTAAGACCACCAGTTTTTCTGGGCCAGAAGGCCTTTAATGTAGTGGAAACGCATGGAATGACTTCAAATTGGGCGATGGGAACCTATTTGTGGAAAATGGTTATCAGTGAATATGTGTGATTGTGTCTGTCAGGGCAGTTTCCACACATAAAGCACACGAACACAGGACAGCCTTTCAAACAATCAACCTGCTGCACACTATGCTTTTCTAAATCATAACAAGCTGTCCATCCAACTGCTCTCACTATTAGTTATCTGAAAAAATAAATGATAAGGAACTAAAGCAAACAAGTACGGTCTGATTAATTCTGTATAAATGTGATGCGTACAGCTTCACATTAAGCCAAAATGAGGCTCAAGGGAAGGTTTCTGGAACTAGAATTGAGAAGCTTTTTTTGCCACATGACTATTTATGCTAAATTATTTCAATAAAGATTTGAGTAGACATTCTGCTACCAAAGATGGTAAAATATGTTTCTTGAATATTGATGCGAAGTTATGCCACAGAATACGGTCCAGTGGTTTTAAAGCGAATCAGACTTAGTGTGGTAGAGACTGTAAAGGAAAAAAAGGAAGTTAGTCAGATTGTGGTAGATTGTGGGGTGTTTACTTTCCCAAGACTACAGGGTTATACTAAAAGTGGTAGACAGTAGTGTGAGAGGGGAGAGAGAGCAAAGAAAGGGGTCTCATCCCTAATGTAAACATTTAGAAGGATCTATTTAAAGAAAATAAACAGTGTTATATCCTGGTGGTTCTCAGCTGCCTGTAACTGGGTTGGAGGTATGCAACAAAGAGTCGTACCAATACAGATGTCATGCTGAAGGTCAAAGAGAAAGAAACAAGACTCTTCAATGACTACAACTGGACAATGTCAAGGCCCTTAGGTGTCTCTCTCTGGCTTTGTTCACACAAATCTGATTTGGATTTTAAATCCAATCTTTAGGACAGATTTTTAACAATGTCAGAAAGAAAGCAAAAAATAAAGAATAACAAATTTAGAAAGACAATTGGAGGCTTAAAAGAGGAAAAGTGTTGTAAATTCATACCGGGATGGTTCTGCCTCTGTGTTGAGTGTTGCTCAAGCGGCGGGTTTTGGTCCGCTCAACCTCATGACGATGTACCCAGCCTCTCAGCTCATGCGCTATCCTATAGTTATGCAGAGCAGAAACATCCTCTCAATTTTATAAGATAAAAAATTGTCATTCAAAACATGACTGGTTTATTATAAAAAAAAAAAAAAGGTCAACAAGAACATATCTTTGTGGACTTTTTTGACATGAATTTTTGATGAATGGCTGGACATCAGATTTGAAATGGCAACCAAGTTACATGATATAAGAAAAGAGTATACAAAGAAGAATACAATTTTTGTACTCTGAGGTGCTTATTAGCTATAAGTTTAACATTATTTTTCTTCGCTTAGGGATAAAAAGAAATTTGAAATGCATGGCCAGCAGTATGTTAGCCACACTGCTGAGAGCAGCGTTTAGATGAATATTTTCTTTGAATATATATCCAATTAATAACTAAAACACACAATAAAAAATGACAGTGGTGAGAAAACAATAGTTAAGGAGCATCTGTTCATAGCGATAATTTGGTGAATATGTTTGTACGAGCTCTGCAATTTGGCACTCCATTAAAGTCATGTCACATTTATTTATAAACCAATTTATTGTTTAAAAGCAAGCGGCTTTTCGGTATTAAACATAAAAAAAAGTTTTTGTCTCTTTCAATTAGAATTAAATTCAATTTCTACTATAAAGTGGCTCTCCAGTCTATTCATGTTTTTACTTCTAGGCGTCTGAACTCGACGGAATAAACAGAAGAAATGAACCAGAGAACGAAGGCGGAGCCTCAGAGTCAAAACTACCTATTACGTACTCGCCAAAGACAAATGGTAGTTCGAAGGTGTTTACCAGCCAGAGGCAAGCCGTTTCAAACTCCCAGCGAACAACAAACTTTATTTTGGCCTAATTTAGTTAAAAAAGACGTTACACCAGTTTGTTCTTCGATTTCTCTTCAATCAAGTATATTGAGGCCACAACTATCCATTTTTTAAAAAGCTGGTCTAACAGCTGTTGGAGCACTGATCGAAAGACTGCTACAATTATTTTTTACTCTCTTAACAACAGAGCTCAGAAGGTTACGTACCAGACAGTAATTGTAATTGTAATAAAAAGTGCTTCTCAGTTTAGATCAGATTTAGGGTACTGTCGACCAGATGCTCTGTACTCAATTTTAAGACAACTAGCTTGTACCAGAACTGCCAGACACAACTAACACTATTAAATGTATAATAAAATAGCACTTGAATGTGAAAGAGGGTGGGGTAATGTCAACATTGATGTTAAACAAGTTCAGTACTAACTTTATGCACTTGGTCCTGTTGACGGGTGGCTGGCAGGGTGGTGGAGTTCTGAAATAAAGAGGATCCTTGACCACCATCAGATCCTTCTGCTCTGATAGCACATCCTCCAACCTATGAGAAAGAGAGACAAAAAATAACATTAAAGACAGGAAAGTGTAACAAGGAAAGAATGGAGAAGGGGGTTTAGAGTCTTTATAAGGACATTTTAATTCCAAAACAATGTACGGAATTTTATAAGGCTCTTGTTTTAATCATCTCTTGGTACTGGCTTAACATCTGAAGGAATACCACGTGCAAGTGTGCAAGCCAAGATGGTTCCTTCTTATCTTGTCTATGGGAAAAGAGAGCATCTCTAAAAGCTATCAATGAACGCTGCCAAGTGCCAACAACTAATGCCAAGTTAATGTTTAGCACAGGTACAGTGAACCTGTACTTAAAATAAATCCAAGATATCATGAACAACAAAATCCTAAACCATCTCCCTGCAAGAAACTGGTGTAGACATTTACAGCTTAACGCAACAGCTCCAGAAAACCAGGAAAACATGGCCACTGAAACAACATGTCAAACGCTTCGGGTTGGGGATGAGTGACGGTGAAGCTCCGGGAAGCAATCTTTGCTGACAAAGAGAAGCTCATCCCACAGTAGAAATAGTAAGTGGAAAGTCTGGATTACTGTGGGCTTAAATAAAAAAAGAAAGAACTTAAGAAAGCAGACTAAACGTCTTAATATATTTAGCACTCAACAATAAAAAAATGCTTTACATAGGACAAACCCTGGACTTTTAGAAACACAATCTCTGGGCAGATCCTAACTCAGACTGGGAAGCAGGCAGAAAGTTGAGGATAAACCCTTTAGAAATGTCAAATACAGGAGCAAGAGCTACGAGATCTGTGGAAATATTTTATTAACTGGAGATTTCAAAAGAGATTTCTAAATTCTTGCAGGTAAATTAACTCCCTATAACAACATCTGGATCTGGATCTATATCCTATCTCCAGTGCTAAATTACATAATTGAATTTCCTGCTTTGTACTCCCTGAATAGCCAAAAAACGAACCAGCTCAAACAATCCAACCCTACGATGGTTTTCAAAGAACCTATTACACAGTTTGAACTGGATAAGAAAACTTTAGTCAAGAGTAGGAATGGCTGTTAGTGGAAAAAAAAAACAGCAGAAATGGAAAAGCGATAGTAAATGAAGAGGCAATGAAATAAAAACGGACCTAAAATAGAGCCTTGTGGAACACCACCTGTTTTGGCCAACAACAAAAAACAAACTCAGTCTTACTAAAGCTGGTGATTTTGTCTAACTCAGGCCCCAGGAAGTTTGAAACATGACCCCTGGGAGTGAAGTAACTCAAAATTCACTAGACCTGCTTGATCAATGTATTTGGGAAAACATACAGACAGGTTTACAAAGTAATCATGTCTTCAAATATCTGTCTTTTCATGTGGGGGTATTTGAAGTCTTCTGAGTTTCATGTTTTTGAAGCAATTTATTTGAAGCCAGTATTGCCTTTCAAAACATCATCCTGGGTAGATAAAATAACAAACTTAGCTAGCTGAGCAGTTTCAATATGAAAATGTGTGTGGGGGGGCAGATGTGAGAACAGAGCCTTGTTCTCTTATGCAGGCAATTGGTCAGAGTCACTCAACACCTGTGCTGACGTGTTTTGTAAAACAAAAATGGACTCTGTAAGCTTTGGCAGGAAAAGGTATCTGGTGTTTCCAGTCCCACACAGAGGACTGAGCATGACTAGATGTTCATGCAACTGTAGAAGACTACAGAATAGTATTACCTGTTCGCAGTGCTAAATGCATCAGTCTGAGGCCTGTCTGAATCGAGGATTCTCTCTGACTCAGGGGAAAAGCCCAGCAGGTGTCTGCCATTGAACCCAGGGGCAGCAGGAAACGTAGACTCTCTGTATCCTCCAAGCAGACTTGGTGGGACACAAAAGGAAATAAAACAAGTCAGGATATTAAAAACACATTCCTACTGGTTCCTTCAGAAGAGTTACATATGGGAATCTTTCCATGGGACCACCAAGTTTTCCTTATGCCACCAAGTACTTACAACTACAAGTTTCATGTGACAGAGATTTATTCATTTACCAATCTGAAAGTGCAACCTGTAACAAATTCAAATATTGAAATGGTAAGATTAATTTAAATGATTTACCTTATTGGACCCAAGTTGAAGACCAAGAAGACCAGAACTGCCATAAGACACACAGCCCTCCTTTTTGGAGCTGTTGCTTTTAGCACAGAGTTCTTAAGAGATGAATAATGATATAAGTTATTAGGCAAGGCAAGTTCATTTATATAGCACATTTCATACACAATGGTAATTCAAAGTGATTTACAGAAAAGGAATTAAAATAGTCATAACATAATCACAATAAAAATATCATGTAGAAGAAAAAATGTCCTATCTGGAGTGAAAAAAAAAGGAGATTCAGGTTCATGATTTTACACTAGACATGCCCCTTCTAGTGTCTCTTCTTCACTCGTGAGAAGAGACACTAAAATATTCTAGATCAGCACACCCCATTTCAATTTCAACTTTTCATATAGTAGACAAAAATTGAAACAACGCATCCATTGCTCCATTGAAACAACACATCAACAGTATTATTTTGAGTTGGTCTGCTAATAATCAAAGATCTTTCATGCAATTGCAGCCTCCAATTAGATCAAGGTAAACTACTGTTTAAACATTTTGGGTCATTATTTTCATTTAATATTATTTTTAAATACGTTGATACTTTCATTCAGCAAGGATGCATTCATTTGATCAAACAAGGCAGCAAAGATATTTATAATGTTAAAAGAGATTTCTATTTCAAATTAATCCTGTTCTTTTGAATATTCTATTCATCAATGCATTCTGAAAGAAATGTATTATGATTTCCACAAAAACATTAAGCAGGACAATGATTTTCAACTTTTATTAGAAATATTTTTTTCAGCACCAAGACAGCATTTTAGAATGGTTTCTGAGAGATCATGTGACACTAAAGACTGGAATAAGATGCTAAAAATTAAGCTTTGCCGTCATAGGAATACATTATATTTGAAAATATTAGGCCCACATAAAGCAGCTATTTTAAACTGTAATATTGTATTACAATATTACAGTGCAAACTGCATTTTACTGAATTGACCAAATGAATGTAGCCTTGGTGAGCATAAGATACATATTTTAAAAGCATTTAAAAAATCTCAACGAACTCAAATGTTGGAATGCTAGTGTAGAAAGCATGGACACCCACCTCACTCATCAGGCCTTCCACTTGTCTTTTCAATGTGCCGTTTTCATTCTTCAGCTTCTCGTTCTCCGAAAGTGCCACCTTCAGACGGGCCTCCAGCGTCAGCAAATACTCTTTTTTCTTCTTCCGGGAGAGAGAGGCAGACTCTCTGTTCTTTATCATGCGCTGCTGTCTCCGAGACGCACTTGACTTGAAGGAAAAAGAGAGATATCAGGTCAATACTGCTCGACAAAACCTGTGAACAAAAACTAGTGTAATTACTAGTAGTAACACACAGTCAAGGTACTTTGTGGTTGAACTTGCCCCCCCACCACACAAATGAGATCTTTGTCTCATTTATTTGTAACAGATCCTGTAGGAAAATTGCATCATTACGATCATTTGCAACACGGTTGAGTCATACTAAATGTTATTTATACTGCAAGAAAATTAGAAAAGTGAATGCGGCTAGGATCTGATTTTTGCGCTAGCTGCACCTTTGATCAAGACAAATTACATGAGGCTGGATAGCCATAAGTCTGTGTCCCCTCTGTACACACACACACACACACACTCCACCTAAAGATAATAGCAGACAGGACCATCTGGCATACTGTCCAGTATAGAGGAATGTGAAAAGAAAGAAAGAAAGACCTAATGTCCTATTTTCTATTCAAAGCCATGAGATTGTTTCCTTTGCTCATTACAGGTTGAAATTATAAATGGAAATTGAAGAGGAAAAATGATAAGAAATGAAAAGTAATTGATGCTTTACTTTTTTTAATACAAGGACACATTAAATGTATCAAAAGTAACAGTAAACACATTTATAATTTCTTTTTTAAATAAGTGCTGAAAGAACCCGGAAAAAATGTCACAGGATCCACAAAAAAAATTACACAGCATATTTTTTTTCAAAATAGTTAATAATATGAAAAGTTTCTTATGCTGATTTGATGCTTATTCAAATGATTTCTAAAACATGTGATACTGAAAATTCAGCATTGTATATTCACAGGAATATATAACATTAACAAATATTGAAAAATGTATTAAAAAAATTGTAAGTTGTCACAATATTACTATTTTTACCAAATAAATGCAGCCTTGGTGAGCATAAGGGACAAAAAAATTATATATACACACACATTCATTTATTATAGAATATAAATAAATTTTAAGTCACCCAAACTATTGAACAGTAATGTATACATTTTATTTGAGACTGGAAATGCTCCGATTTTGGAAATACATGATATTGTTTGGGCAATCTGAGCTTTCTTCATTAAAATATACACCAGTTGTACTTGTATGGCTGGACAAAAGAAACTATGAACCAAAGAAAAAAAATGAACCATATAAAAAACAACTACGCTTTCCAAGCTGAGACATAACAATGAGCCCTATTCTTACATGAAAGCTTTAAACAAAGTGTTGAATTTATGTATGCTCCACTTTAACAATGTTCTGGAATATAATTAAAACTCCAACCTAATTAAACATAGTTAATTAGGCTTACATAAACAGGGCCTGCTCATAATTAAACCACCACCCAGTCCTGACAAAACTCAGGGGTCAGATGCTTGCTGCAGCAGACATGTTTGAGAACACACCTCATCCTAAAGAGAGGAGAAAGACAAAGGTGAACAAAAGATCTTTACTGAAATAGACTAAAGAGAAACCGAGACCATTGGTAGGGTGGGGTGGTCTGTTCTCACAGCAAGACCATTTTAAGACTGTGGCCTAATAGTCATGGTGATTAAATTGCTTGGATCTCCATGTGCCTGTTTGTGCTCCCATCTCATGAGAAAGCTCTCCTAAAACCGGGAACCGGGCCACGGCCAGGGCCTGGGAATGAATAACATGTTTGGTTACAAGAGCACAGGGTGCCATCACCATGACGATCAAATCGGGTGGGAGGGGGAGGGATTGGTGGATGTTGGCACCGCTCACCAAAATTCAGCACTACTGAAGACTTGTGCTGAAACAATGAAAGTTCCTCATATAATTTAACCAAAACCCCAGTATATTCAAACCAAATGTCCATCACCTAACACTCAGATTGATTGTACGACTCAACCAAACCAATCTACCAGAGCGAAGTAGGCTCAAAACACCAACCACTGGATCTTCTTCTAACCAACCAATTCAGTCTGTCAGAGACTCTTGACACATTTTTGCTGAATTTATAACTCATGGTTATTACTCAAATTCACAAAGCTGATCCAGCAGTTTTCTAACAACATGATTGCTGAGAGCTAAATTGCGGAGTTTGAAATCTGCTTTATTTGGCATCGCCTTCAAGGATTTATGACAGTTTATTTTACACTAAGGAATCTGCTTTAGAAAAGATGTGCTTAAGTGAGTTATTCATAATGCTGAGTGTCATGAGAAAAAGGGAAGCATCTACTAACTGAAAAAGCAGCATCTACTACTGCTTAGAAGCCTATTTTGTCCATCTCACAAGAAAAGTTTGCACCTCATGAATACGAAAAAGGTATATATTCTCATTCTGTAAAATCTATTTTCTGAAGAAATAACCATTTCTAGATGGCATCCACAATCAAAACTATAATTAAAGTAACAATTTACCCAAGAATGAAAATTGTGTAATTTTTAACTCACTCTCAAGTCGTTCCAAACCCATACACTGTTATTTTTACATGGAACAAAGATATAAAAAATTTAATATAATCTTCTCACATATCTTTTCCACACAACGATAGTTCACAGTGGCCACAGTAGTGTGTGTATATATTATAAATACATGTAGATGTACGTGTGTGTATATATACATCTATATATATATATTTATTTATTTATTTATTACACACACACACACACACACACACATTTATAAAAAAAATTAAAGCACCACAATAATAGTTCATCCTTTTTAATGTGTGGGCTGGCATTGTATGTAACTAATACATTTAATCAGCAAGTTAAATTGATCAAGATTGATTTTTTTTTAAAGGTGTATAATGTTACCTGTGTTGGATGTAACTCATTACCAAGTAAATAATAACTTGTTTTTAAGTGATTTTTTAAATTATTATTATTTAAAGCAAGGCATTACTCTAATTTTTTCTGTAATTTAATTACAGTTACTTCTACTGTAATAACATTAAATACACATAGACCTAAGAACAACTCTAATAAAACAAACGTAGTTCTTTTGAATTCTCTATTCATCAAAGATTCCTGGGGGAATTTTAAGAATTTTAAAATAAATTGTAATAATAATAATTCACAATATTGCTGTCTTTAGTACTATTATTTGATCAAACTAATGAAGCCTTAGGTGAACACAAGATGAGAATCTTTCCAACTTCCAATCCAATCTTTCCAAGTCTATGGGGTTTCATCCCACATGTCACCCAGACAATGCACACTTTTCATGCAATGATAGTAATATAAATTACTGGCCAATTAATCAGTCAGGCTGATATATTGGTTTTCTTAATAGTGTAAAGCATGACTATTTTTATAAATAAAAGTTTAAAGGGTGTCAGCCTACTGTCTACTGGGGCAGGGAACTAAAATATTCTCAACGCTGCACAGATTGACTTGCCAAAGATCATTAATCTTAAACTGCTATAACAAAGTATTACATAAAATCTTCTACAGTCATTAGCATTCAGCTGTTTCAAACATCCTACGCCGCAATAACTCTCAAGCAGCCAAACATAAACACACACACACACACACACACACTCAAAGACACCTGCCCCACCTGCCAGTTTTACTGTTGCACTGTAATTCCTTCTAAACCCCCTCAACCCAAAACCTCCTCTGAGGCCAAACCACAAGCAGCCATAGTTAAACTACAGCTGTGCTAAACTCTACAAATACACACACACACACACTTAATGGCTCTCTATGGACTGTGACAGTTTCAATGGGCTTTCACATTTTACCACTGCATGATCATGACATGCTGGGAAAAAAAGATAGGAAAGATAAACATAGGATAAACTCTCTCTCTGACCTATTTTTAATTTTAACTTAAAACTAATTTGTTGGCATTCCATGAAACCTGTTTGCTTTAAAATGAGGGATACAACCCATTAACCAAACCAGGACAAGTCAAAAGATTCACTGCTACAAATATGGTAAACGAATATTTCTACAAAATGTCGGTCCTCATGTCACGGTCTGGGACAACAAGGGTGTGATGGTTTTAATATTTTAGCTATTACTCATTTCAGTGTAAAAACATGATTGTTTAGATTTTATTGTAAATTAAAAAAATAATAATAATAAAAAAAAAACAATCAAATGTTTTAATATAGATGACAAAGCCCATATACAAAAACATTATGCAATAAGGCTTAACACACACACATTGCTATATATACATATATATATATATATATACATACTGTATATATATATTAGGGCTTTCAACGTTAACGGAGGGGTTTGATTTTTGTCCAGTTTAACAAGTTAAAATATTAACGCAGCATCTGTAATTTCCATCGTCCTTTGGCTAGCACTAAATTATATGATCCCACTCTTATTCATGCATCTTCATCTTATTCAATTAATCTTATTCATGTGTCTAACATTGAACTTTATCAGGATGCGCAGTGTCCTGGATCCATGAAATAACTATGCTAATTTAACATGGGGTGTGGTGACTTATGCACCCCGTATTTTAAGGAATAACATTTATTTATTTCCGATACATTATTCATTCACAAAGAAAATTGGTGTCCTTAAAGGTTGGATTTTTCCTATTTTTTTAATTAAGTCATTAAGATCAATTTCCAAAATTTCCAATATCATTTATTACATGATCTTATTTATTACATGGTCTTATTTAAGTACTGCGTGTGTATGTATATATATATATATATATATATATATACACACACACTGTGTGTGTGATCTGACAAGCACATATCATTAAATGCATTAACGCATTTAATGTATTTATTTTTTCCCTTTCTCTACACAGCAGAGAGTGTGCAAGTTCACGCATGATCATGTGTGTGTTTGCCACGTAGGAGTATAACACCCCAACCAAGAGTCGGGAGCTTAGAATAAAGGACAAAACCAGAAGCAGGAGAGAGAGTGAACATGTGGCTGCGCTCTGCTAAAAAGTTTTTTTTCTGAAAGCCAACAGACGTTGAGGCTGCAGAGGCGAATCTTTCATCATATTCCACTTATTGTCAGATCCATCTAGTGCAGTCATTGCTTATAGA